CTCGTTCAGCCGCAGCACCATGCGCGCTAATATCATTTCTCGGCTTCGCTCCTTCCCCCGCGCCTCGCCAACCTAACAACTGGGTCAAAGCCTCGCTCTTTTTCTTTCTTCTTTCCCTCTTCGCGTCGACTTGTCTGACTCGTGCCGCACGCGCCTACGTGTGCACTCATTGTCATTGAGACCAGCTGCGAGAAGCTGCCTCAACGTTGCATGGACAACCCGTTGTAGCTTAGGCCAAGCGGATCGAGCTGCTCTGACTGGATGTGGCATGGAGTGCCAGTCGATGGATCAGCCGACTTTTTCAACGACTCTTTGTTTAAACACTCTTTCATTCTTTACTCTAACGTTTTCACGACTCCGTTGACGAGCTTTCTTGCAAACTACCGCTTTTTGCCTTTAAAATTCAATTGACGCGCCGTTTTTCAGGCTATTATCTTGTCAAGCATGTTTGCGTGGAGGCCTTTTAATGGAATGAAAATGCAACGACGAATGTGACGGACGAATGCCACGTTCAAGATCAAATGTTCCACTTGGCTAATTTTTTCAAACAAAATTATAGCAAATGGCTTAATTGAAACAAACTTTACAACAATAATTTGACGTACCTGTGAGCAAGCAAAATTAAGCGAATCACAAGGTAAAACATCAGAATCCGTTATCCTTGTTAAAGCGCTTATTAAACAAAAATGTCTCGAAGGTAGCGCATATAATAAAATGAGTTTTTTTCAACTCCGTATATTCTATCGAAATTTCCCCCTTGATAATTTAAATTTTGTTTATAAGAAAAAAAAAGAATACTCGTTCTAACAACCACGAAAATATTCGAATTCGTTGCATTTCTAAAATCTGGCTTTCGACACTTAAGGAGAATGAATCTGAAGGAGATAAAAACAGATTCCCAAAATGCAGTGAATTCTAAGCAGCTGTCAGGCGAAGAAGTGAAAAACGCAATAACCGAATGGTAAGCTAGAGAGAAAGAATGATAAGACCCCAAGGCTGCTGCTAACTGAATTGCCCAGCGACCAGGCAGAGCGCACGCGCGAGTTAGGCCAAGAATTGACGGCAGATAAGATCGCGAAGGTCGACTTGAGCGCCGACCAGCACAGCAGCGCAGCCGCCTAGCATTGCTAATTGCTCCCGGGTTCCTTACATTATTTAGATAGCCCGCTGTTGCCTGGCTAATGTGATCACTTCGAAACAGTTCATTTCGTTCTCGTTTATATCCTTATTAAGAGGTAAATAATCGCAAGCGAGATTCGGTAGAAGAAAAAAGTCGTGACGAGGACGACGAGAAAAGAGGATGCGAACGCGAGGCAGACAGGCGCGTCTGCACACGAGAAAGAATGAAAAAAAAAAGGTGGCTATACTGCTGTTAGCTGCTGTGTATCGCGTGGCAGTATCGAGTTGCCAGGAAAAAAGAAGGCCTTTGAAAGTCAGAGCGCACGTACGCGTAGATATGAGAGGGATTCAATGAGAACGTGAAATAACGCCGCTGCTCTCCAGCTGTGCCAATTATTGTTCCGACCGACGGCTGCTGTTGACCCATTTCGTCACACGTAGATCGTCCGATCGCATCCGATGTTTGATCAGCGGCCGCAGTCGAGGATTTCTCGATCACATCGACACGAGACGTCGCCATTGTCTTTCTTGCTGCTGGCGTCACAGCGTAATAGCATCGCTCGCGCTCTGCGCGGACAAACATTCAGGGGATGCACATCGCCTACACTGGCGCAGTGAATGGAGGCCGACATCCAGGCGTTTATCAAGAAAGCACGCTACGCATGAATTGCATCGCTACCTGCCTACCTACGTGTTTACGTAGCACCTCGAGGGCGTCGCGTGAGCGTGCCAATGCAAATGAAGCTGCCTGCACTCGTAATAATGCAGCAGTATGGCAACCAACTCGATTTTCAGTCATTGCCCCCCCCCCCCCCTCCCCCTATCGCCACCCCGTCGCCCGCCCTTTTTCTCCGCCCGAATTATCGTTGCGTTCCCTCTCTTCGACCGTTCCTGTTTCACCTCCGGCGTCGATAAAACGCACTTTCTGAATAAACAGCCTTTAACAACAAAGATGAGTCGACAATTATGAGCGCTATTCTCGCGGACATGTCTCTCTCTTTCTTTGTGACGTGCATTAACTCGGGGCTATACCTTGCCGACTAATCATTGTTCAGAGTACTAATTAATAGTAAGGCTTATGGTAAGGCAAATAATTATGCGCAACGAGCGACTAGTCTTGGAGAAAAAGATTTCCTCCGTGCCAATCTTCTTGTCCATGCAACTCTTCTCCGTGCAACAAGGGAAGATTTCTTCTTAGGGCTCTTTGGAAATTTTTTATCGGTCTAACGGACGTGGGCACAAGATCAACAAAACCAAATCCGAGTGACGGCTGTCCGGGCCGACAATTAAGTGGGTCATTAGTCGTGTTAAGAGTGCATTTGATCAATCACGGCGAAATCGCACGACCAATCAAAAGTCTCTTGGTATTTTGTTTTTTGTATTTTTTTTTCTCGAATAATTATGGCAGCTGTTGGCTGATTGTAAATTCGTCGTTTATAAGCGCGAGAGAGGCGAAAACGAATTCACGCTCGAGCGAGCGCTGCTTCGTGTTATGTAGCGGATAAGAGAGGGCTGCAGGGAGGAGGCAGGACGAGTATGCCACGGCGGCCCACACACTGAATCTCGATCGATGCAGTGCGCTGCCGCCACCGCTGCGAAACAACATCCCCCACCCCGCATGTACATGTCCTTTCGCCTCACTCATACGCACAGCTCAAATAAATTTTCCTACACGCTTTGTGTGTGTACGTACAAGGCCACGGCACACTCGATTATTATGTAATAATTTTTTTTTCTCAATGGCGTCAATGAACCTTCTCACTACGCTGCATCGACTTTTCCTACGTTGAACGCACCTTTTCCAAGTAACTCCATTGAATAATTGCTTATAATTGGATTTTTTTACTCTGCAGTAGAATAGATATCTCAGAATTAACGTGCGTTGTTCGTTTTACTGCTGATAGGAAAGTTACTGTTCAATGGTTTAACAATAGAAACACGCTTGGGTAATGATTACGTAGAGTGCAGTGTTAACAAGATAGCGAGTTGAATTCATATTTCGCGCCCACGAAAAATCCAATGATTTTTTATTCACTTATAACTGTTTCCCTCATCATATACTTTTGTCGTCATTACTAGTATAATTCAATAGTCGCATAAAACTCGTGCTGAATTACAATTATTTCTAATGAACGCTGACTAAAGAGTCATGGAGAATAGTCAAGTTAAGAAAAGAAGAATGAAAGAGGCGATAGAAGAAAATAAGGCGAAAATGATGAAGCCCGGAAATAGAGAACAACAAAGGGCTTAGCGATCAGAATCTTGGACGATGATTCTTTCGAAAGAAGAGGCATCGACGTACCGGTAAAAGAACGAAAAGTGTCTTTACAATGAAAAAAAAAAAAAAAAAAAAAAAAAAAAAGAAAAAAAAAAAAAAAAAAGAAAAGCGGAAATTCCGAAGTAGCGCGAACAAGTGGCCCTTTTCCACAACGAAAACGGTAAAAAATTGTCGTGTTGCCTTCGCTATCAATACATAGACTATCGATCCTGCTGCTACTGCTGATCCTCAACTAATTATATCCTTGACTGGCTCGGCGCACACGATATATATGCGGCTTTGACGAGGACGCGCATTTTTAGAGCTACTTTGTTGTTTGTTCGTTAAGCGGCAGACTGAGAAGAGCGGCCTGTCGATGCATTCGCTCACGGCGAAACGAGATTGCATTCAAGTAACATTTCACTCAAAGCCGATTATTTGGGGCCGAATTTAGGTCAGGGCATACTTATTTAACATTTCAGATGATGCTAAATAAATGTTACCGATAACGAGCCTACACGCAATTGCTCTTTTGCAAGCTCAAATTTATTCTATGGCAGCGCCGAAACAAGTTGTTCCTTCAGTTTATATAGCTCGCTGATAATGTAACTTGAAATACTGCTCGTGTTTGAGCAGCTGCGACGTTAAAAATGGTAAGGAAATATTTCAACTCCATTATCATTTAATCACAGAGTACACGGGCGCGAGTTGGCGAAAAAAAATGAGAGCCTTCATCGACAAGTTAAAACTTCCGGAAACGCTCAACAATTAACTAGCCATACTGTACGGTAAAAGGCTGAACGGATAAATAGCGTTTTCTTTCTGCGCGACCCACGCGTTATCTCGAAATCGTGAGTTTCCTTGCTGCAACAACGGCTGGCACCTTTTGATCGCTACGCGCACACGGTGCGGCCGGCGACAAAGAGAGAATGGTTGCCGCGCCTCGTGCTCTCGACGACTTATTTGCTTTTTTCGGAAATCCGATGCCTGCTGCTGCTCCATTTGACATTTTCCAGTTATTCAATTTACCCAACTAGCCAACCTTTTTTCGGACAACTATTTTGTTTGAACGTTTTATAGGTTCTTTCGCTTCGTTATGGGAATGTGCTTGGAATTCGTAAAACGCTCGGACAAATTAAAATTCTTTTCAAATCGTGCGATATTACGAAAACTTCGTCTTGCAGTTTTTCGCTATAAATATAGTGACTAAACATAATTACTTTTCGAAATTTTTATTCAAACTCAATAATACTTTTATCATAACTCTCATTTCAAACTTTATTCAATACAAAAGTCAAATCTTCTGAAAATTTTATATTCTTGGCAAGCTAGATACATAGCAAAACATTTTTCACGTGAATATTTTCAAATTACATGACTATGATTAAAATTTCATATCAAGAAAAGAAAATTTCAGGCAAACTTTGTGAGCTTTAAAATAATAATAAACAAAATTTACATAATTAGATCTATTTAGCAGATTGGGTTATGTTAAATTATAATATTTTTGTAACTTCTAAAATAAAGAAGAATCATGCTCAATCAATATGTTAAATGCAGTGACCTATAATTTTTCATCACTAAACTATCTGATTAAAGATTCATAAAATGGATTATAATTTACCTGAGGTATGTTAGCATCAAGTTGACGATTGAGCGCATCCCTTTCTTTTTCAAGTTCTTGCAGTCTTGATTCTGCTTCTTGGAGACGCTCTTGACTTTCCCTAAGCGAGTCCATGAGTTTATCTCGCTCATCGAGCACTGACACCATAAGTTGCTCAAAGTTGGCATCCTCACCAGAGAATTGTGAGCTTCTCTGGCTGATACTGTCCTCCACAATGGTAGGCATCACATCACACATCATATTCCACATTTTGTTCACACTAAAGAAAAACTTTTGCCACTACTCTTTCACCACATTTGATCACAATTTGTACTGCTATCCATGAAATTTTTCATAAATAAACACTATTAGCTGCTACAAACTTCAACTAATTGAATGCTAACCAGTGCTCGAGCTCAGAGTCATTTCTTCAATTTTGGAAGTTGTAGGAAAAAGCTCATGGGGTATTCGGTCCACATTAAGGATTTTTCATCCCCTTGGTTGTAGAAGATCCTCATCCTAACTGCTGGATCTGTCACAATACTCTACAACAAACACATGTAAAACTCATATCAATATAAAATATAGAAAATGTTAGACTTGTATAGAAGAGTAACAGCAACAATTTGAAAGAGGCACAAGGAATACCTATCAGCAGAAATGATAAGTTAGCAAAGCAATCAATAGGGCTTATCAATAAAATTGATCAAGGTGAAACTCGACGAGAGTACTCAAGTTATGTAACTGAGATTGAAAAAAAAATGATAGTTGTTGGTTATTCTCACCATGAAGAGGTAGAGACATAAGGTGCGACGAGTAGTAGACTTTGATTAGGGCACCGGGGGAAGCACGAGTGGCAAGCTGGCTTGGGAGTCGTTTGGCTTAGCCGGGCGAGGAGTGTGCGCCGGCGACGAGATTGTGGCCGGGGCTCCTCGACAGCGGTAGCAGCTCTGGCCATTCGTGTCCCCGCTAGACTCACCGCCGGCGTCGCTCCACTTGGATGGTCGTCATCATCGTCGTCGACACCTCGCCCTCCGTCATCATATGCTCGATCGTCGTCGCCCGCACAGACGGAAAGAGAGACAGAGCAACGCACACCGCCGCCGCCGCCGCCGCTCGACGATCAATCGACGTCGCTCCTTCTCTCTCTCTCTCTCTCTCTCTCTCTCTCTCTCGTTCGCTCGCACGCGCACAACTCCGCTCCGCAAGAGCCGCCTCGAGTTAGGAGTTAGGAGCTCGCTACCTAGGGATTTCCAACGCCAGTCGCAGAAGTAGCGGGCTCTTTCGATCGAACAGAGCAGTAGCACCCCTCGCCCGGAAGCTACACCTGCGGAGGCTGCAGCACTACGCTAATACTACTGGCTGCACTACTGCTGCCCCTCCGCGGGGGTAAGTCGGCTCGCGCGGCCGTATGACAGACAGACTCACACACTCTCTCTCTTACTTTTCGTCTCGCTTTCTCTTGCAAAGCGTACACTTACACGCACGGTAGAGAAAGACAGAATCGCAGGCGGCGCGCGCGCCCCTTCGGCACACCAATATATTCTTCGATAATTCCCCTCGCGTTGTTCTTGCAAGTAGCGAGCAACGTGTTCGATGACTACTAGTTATATATGCAAGTACACACTACAAGAAAGCTGCTACGCCACGATCGTGGATTGTACACACTGACACTAGCCTGCGCAAGGGGCGTCTTTTAGGTTATACCGACACACCTATTCTATTCGAGAGAGAATCACACTCTGCGTACGCGACTGCTGCTGCTGCTTCACTCGCGCCGGCTGCACGGCATAACACACGCAATACCAAACACGTCTGCCTTCTCCCCTCCTCTCGGCATTAGTTTCTCTCTCTCTCTCTCTCTCTCTCTCTCTCTCTCGCTTTCTCGCGAACACGATAAGCAAAGAGCCGCAGCGGCACGGGAGCTGAGACATCCCAGAGAGCAGAGTCTCTACACGTTGCTGCAAGACTACAGACGCCAGCTCTACCTGTCGGAGCACACTGCGATCGTCAGTGTCGTCACCCACCCACCCACTACCTCCCCCGCCCCGTCAGTATGCCAGCATAGCTTTGACCGAGCACCTTACACCTTTAACAAACTATTCGGCTCTCGTGATAACTATAGCGCTGACGTGTTTCAAGACAGCTATAATTCTCTGCTGCCACCTGCGAGGCGCCAGCTTTTTAAATCAATCCACTTTATACTACGTATTTATATAGCTTTTATAAACAAAACATGATCCTCGTTTATAGCAATGAGTTTTTGAAATACCCAGACAGTAACGTGCTTAAGCATGTAAATATATGTTGACTTGGTCTAATTTGATATTCAAACGCAATTGCAGTATGTAGTTCAAATAACGATGATCTCAAAAATATAGATTTATCTTGTGATTTACGTGATGAATGTATTACAACTTTCGTCACGCAAAACAGAAAAGTCGCGAGCTCATTGATTATTTTTTCCGCAATTTTGATTTATGCGAACGGCCAATTATTTAGTTTTATAAGTCTCGTAAACACGGTACAATGTGTGTTTCAATAGGCAAACGTGCTATATATTATGGAAACAGAATCGATAAAATCTAAATAGGTATAGCATGATGAAGACTGACCTAATTATTTTCCGCCCCCCTCGAAAAAATAAAGGTCATAAGATACATAGGTCTTGGTAGTGCCGACGTATGAACAAAATAAATCGCTTGTAAATGGACTCAAGCCAAAAAGTCGCGATCATGCAGTACTACATTGCAACTCCTTTTTGGTGATTTATTTTTCGGCACTCTCTACAATTGCACCAATATATTCTTTTTGACATTTTAACATCGTGTAATGTCCTTGGCCTAAACCATTTACTGTTTATTGTATATATGCAATATTTCTGTCTGTTATTGGAACACATCATCTATATTCATATGCAATTCAATGTAATGTTAATGTTGTCGAAGTAAAAATAGGATGATAAACATATAATATGTGTACCGTGATCGCAACGTGCATTTGCCATCAATGATCATATGATTATTAATAAACAAAATTATCTAAAACCTTGACGAATCTTACATTTACCCTTTGTCTATATGAATATTGCATAGCTGCACGTAGAACGATTAATTTATTAACAATAGCCGATTTTATGAATTTCACATATTTGTATTCAATAGAAAATCACTGACTTTTCAAATTCCTAGTCTTATAACCCAATTCAGCTTTAGAATAAAAATCAGACGATGAATAAGACTACAATTCTCATGTAATTATCATTTAGACATTCAACAATTTTTAAATGTAAAACGTATAATAGAAAAAAACAAATCATTTTAAAGTAAGTTGGAAAAAAGCGCGTTCATCAAATTTGAGATGGGGTAGGTAGCCGCAACCCGTCGAGGCACCGTTCACGAATCAATAATGTGCACTATTGTGAGGGGCTAGTGGGGGAGGGGGGGGGGGGTCGAGCGCCGGAGAGGGATGCTGCGGGAGAAAGCGACTCATGCCCCGTCGCTGTACCAGCGCAGTACGAGGCATCATACGACAGCGCCATGAAGAGATACAACCACACTTGTCCACCTGAGGCCACTGGTAACTTTCCTATTTTCTACGTATTATTTTTTATTTGCTCTTAATGCTATACAAAATTATGCTTTTACGGATTTTGCGTGAATTTGAGAGAATTGATTTAACGTCAGATGAGCTCGCTTGTAAAGACAGTATTTTATGAGATCTGATAAGCGTAGCTTTTGTTATTGGATGAGATTTTATAATTTCCAATGTGGATAAGATGCATCGTGACGTACTTCACTATATTTCGGGGTTGATTTTACAAACATGTAAATCAACTGCCATGAAACTGAGCAGTGAAACGTAACGTTATTGAGGCAGCATTCATTATGAACTTTTTTGATATTCGGTTGTTAACAGGATTTGGCACTATTAAATATTAGCAGTTATAGCTTTATGTGGTTGGAATTATTCACTATTTATTCAATTGTAAGATAGTAGCGATTGACATTTATTATTTTTGCTAATCGAAATCTAGAACTTGACGATTAGAGGGTGACGAAATTATAGCGTTTGCGCAGATTGACGCACAATAAATACGTTGCATCGATAGTTGCTAAATCATAAACATATAAAATTTATAGCGTTGATCGGCGAGATGACGAACAACGGGGAGAGCCTAGAGGATATGTCGGAAAGTGTAGATGAGCTGCGTGAAAAACTCGCGAACATGAAGCGATTGATGGAGGAGCGCAAAGGCACGACCCTTGGCGAGATAAGCGATCGCAAGCGACGCAAACAGAACGCTGAGGTGATCGACGGCAACTTCCTCTCTTGGATTTTTGGCACCGTACTTGTTGTTATTCTCAGTGTCAGCGTCTACGCTTTTTACAACCTCTATTTCGCAGTGCTGAAAAAGTTCCCATCCAAGCACACCGAGCTGTAAAATCAAATTATTTTTATTTGATTTAAATCCAAAGCAAACCAAAGTTCAATAGATTATTTCATTTTTCAACTTGAAAGTTATATAGAGCTTGCAAATTGATGTAAGCCGATGGACTATACCTTTGTCAATACATTAACACGTTGTTTCTATTTTTAAAGACTGTTTTTTTTATAACTTTAGCGCAGTTTTCTGCAATACCTAAAATGTTTTTAAACATTTAATTAGTTTATCAAAGCGTTTGCTGTTGTAGAACTACTCACAGTTGATTTTTAATAAATTCACCTTGCGAATAAAATAATTATAAAGATATGAAGATGTATACATCTCTAAATTTATTTATTTGCTCAAGTATTAAATAATAATTATGATAATCAATAATAATATCACGAAACTACGTTTGTTTATTTTTAATGTAACTGGCAGTTGCCATCTCATATTTAATGCACTAAAATTTCCTATTGTATCAGTCTTTAAGTAAACATTTTTACTTTAATAGATACTTTCATGAACTGTCAATTAAGTCGTAATTCATAAAAGTAATATAAGAATATTTTGATTTTCATTAGCCGGATATCTTTACCAATTTATAAATAAAATTATTACCAACATATGTTATGCAAAAAGCAAATGACTATACTGACAATATATAAAATTTTATACTTACATATATTATGTGACTATGAAATAAAGTGTTGTTATTAAATCAAAGGTTAATTCTTTGTTATTGTTAATGTTGATCTAATTATTTTCTGAATTATATCTAATTATGAAATTTCCATAAGAAGTTTTGATATGTGACTTTGTTAAAATATATTTGTAATAATTTAAGATTCTATTTTATTAGCTTCTTTTCCAAATTCATGTGCCATGAAAATCTGCATGCATTCATCATATTCTTTTTGTTGCTAAAAAATTCATTGCGAAAGTTAATTTTTTTCGTCATTAATAAAATATTTTTGATATGTTCATTATTTTAAAAATATTAATGTAATATAAATTTTTAATACTTTAGATATTTCATATTTAATACTTTCTCGTCTTCTGGAAAGTGACTTAATTTCATTTTCTAAATCTGTCAGCTGAAAAAAAAATTAACATAATTCTATCTGATCAAATATCAACACCTACCATTAACAAACAGTAATTTACCTTTTTTTCTGATTTCATTACGTCTTTTTTCAAATCATTGATTAAAATTTTTTGCATACTTTTCACAGATGTTTGTCTATTTGCTTTTAATTTTCTTTTGCATACTCCAGACTAGAAATTTAGTATTCTTTTAATTCATAAATACACGTTATTATATTACTGTTTATTAATGATTATAAATGTTCTCAAAACTACTATTTTTCCATACTTTGTTTTGTTTGTCTTGTAAGCTCTCTCTAAGATCGTTAACATCTTCACTAATTCTCTAATAGTAAATAATAATTATATGCAGAGCACGTACTATGTAAATTAAACAAATACACATAATTTTAGTATAATAAAACTAACTTTTCGAGCTCTTCGGGATAAAATCTATAAATGCAAAAGATACATAGATAAATAAGAGACTTTTCTTAACTTTTTGAAATTTAAGTATAATTAACAAAGAAATACTAACACATTTCCTCAAATCCTCTTTGCGACCTTTGTACTGCAATCAGAATTAATTAATAAGTTACAATATCTCAATTAATTTAGTGCTATAAATTTCAAATATGATTACCATAAGTATGAGAAAACATGAAATTCCAACAACGACAAACAAGTATATCCATAGCATTTTGATTGCGCAACATTTCAAAACATATGGCCATAAAACTCTGTAAATTTGGATTTTCATAATTTGCAATATTTAATAAATAAACATTTATTATCGAAAACGTTTGGCAATATAAATTTTTAATGACAAGATAAATTTTCTTTTGTGGTTAAAGGCATTGTAAATAGAGAAAAACAACTGAACGAATGTATATTATTTATTTTTATTTTTAAGAATTTCGACATTCTAACTATTTTCATTATAATAATTATAATTCTAATACTGCATAAAACGTGTTATTCATGGAGTTTTCATATCGTTTAATCACTTGAATAAAATTAGAAAAAGAAGTTGAATGAAGTACGAAACAAATTTTAAATCTTATGCCTCGAATCTAGCAGAAGACATCATAGCTTGCAAGCTCTCTAAACATTGCATAATAGCTGATTTTATAAATAGAAAAGTCAGTAGAGTATTTATTAAAATTATGAAAATTGGCATTATACAGCTAATAATAGGAAAATTCGATTAATTATCGGACTTTAATTCATGATAATGTGTCAATTTTGTTATTAGATTTGTAATTTGAAAATCCGCTCTGCATGCCAATATAATAATTTAAAAAGTTACGATAAGCTCGCGTCAATAAAATTTGTTCAATAATTCAATTAATGTTACGTCGATTGAATTCAAGACACTTTACAATATCGGAGCTTTTAATCTGCAAACAAAGAGTATTTTTAACCAATCTAACCTATAAAAATTTTAAAAAAAATTACAGTGGAGTAACGTGTAGACAATTATCATACAACTATGACTCGTATAATAACTCAAGTACAGTTTTGCCATCCCAATCTCAAATTGTTATTGCTGGAGCAGGTACGGTGGCTAATTCTGTAGCATATCATTTAGCTCTTAATGGCTGGAATGATGTTCTTGTTTTGGAACAAAATAAAATTGGAAATGGCAGCTCGCACTTTGGTTCAGGAACACTTGGATTATTCAAACCACTTTCTCATCGAAATATCATATCATACAGTATTAAGCTCTATCAACAATTGCAAGAAATGGGATATGACATTGGTTTACGCCAATGTGGAAGTATTAATTTAGCTCAAACCAAAGATAGAATGATTGCTTTAAAAAGAAGAATGGCTTATAATGTGCCAACAGGATTGCATTGTGAAGTAAGTGTTATATAAATTGATAATTGCTAATAAATCAAAATTATTGATTCTTTTATTTACAATTTTAAGTAAATTTTATAAAGAAAAGAAATAGGTTGTTGAAGAAATATGATTGATAGGTTTTAGGAAAAGAAGAATTGAAAAAAATGCACCCACTATTACATGTTGATGATATAGAAGGAGCAATATTTGTACCAGAAGATGCAGTAGCAAATCCTGTAGCTATATGTGAAGTATTAGCTAAGTTGGCAAAGAAAGGAGGTGTTCGTTATATAGAACATTGTCATGTTGAACAAGTATTGACTGAAAATGGAGCAGTTAAGAAGGTCAAAACAAATAAGGGTTTTGTAACATGTGAATACTTTGTTAACTGTGCTGGAATGGTAATTGCAACATCTTTACTCATTAATCTATGATTTTTGAATGCTAGAAACTCAACATTCTTATTATTTTCTTTACAATTGCTATAGTGGGCAAGAGAATTAGGACTCAAATGTAGTCCTCCTGTTAAAATACCAGCTTATCCAGCAGCACACTATTATGCTATTGCAGCTCCACATTCAATAGAAACGCCTGAGAATTTGCCATGTGTGCGCGATTTTGATTCATATTCATACATGCGCGAATGGCAAGGTAAATAATTTGTTTATTATTATAAAATGTTTGAATATTTTTGATTGTACATATACTATTCTATGTAATCGACTAAACAGGTGGAATATTAGCTGGTTGGTTTGAACCAGAAGCGAAACCTGCATTTCAAAACAGCATAGCTCCCACAGTAAATTGGAAAGAGCACCTTACAATTGATGATAGGCATTGGAAACCACTTTGGGATAAAATTTTACACAGAATGCCGATTTTGAATGAAGTAAAAGAACCATTTATTTACAATTGCCCTGATAATTTTACGCCTGATGGAAGATGGATATTAGGCGAGACTTCGGATGTCAAAAATTACTTTGTGGCTGTTGGAATGAACGGAAACTCACTTCAAGGTAAACCATACGAATTTCATAAGTAATTCCGATGAAAATGTGGCAGTTTCAATCCCGATTTATAGGGGCCGGTGGGATAGGAAAAGAAGTAGCAGAATGGCTTATGAACGGTGAATCAACGCAAGAACTTTTACCTTTCAATGTGCAAAGATTTATGGACTTGCACACGAATAGGCAATATTTGCAACAAAGGGTCCGTGAAGTTGTTGGACGTAATTATGCTATACTCTATCCACATCAGTGCGAATATAAATATGCTCGTAAACTTCGATGTTCACCCTTGTATTCCGTTTTGGAAGAACGAGGTGCTATATTTGGCATAAAAATGGCTTACGAACGAGCACTTTATTTTGATCCAACTTACCGCAGTAAGTTAATTTCTTTTTCAAGATATTTTTAGTTTGATCTATATAAAGAAGCTTGCATAATAAAAAATCCTAAATTTATTTAGGAGGCCAAAAGAAACCAATTATGCCTCCTGGAAGCTTTTATAAACCAAAGTTTCTTGATTTTATGAAAGAGGAATTTGAAGCTAGTCAGAAAGGTGTTGGGATAATCGATATGAGCTCTTTTTCAAAAATAGAAATTAAGGTCAATTACTGTTTCTACAACACATATTTAACCTTTTTGATTATTGATTTTAACTTTCACGTGGCTTTTGTAGTCGGCAGGACTGGAAGTGGTCGATTACTTACAAAAATTGTGCTCTAGCGATGCCAATTTAGCTATAGGAGCGATAGCGCACACAGGGATGCAAAATGAAAGAGGTGGTTACGAGAATGACTGCATGCTTGTCCGTCAAGCAGAAAATAGCTACTTTATGGTATCTCCAACACTCCAGCAAACGCGAATCTATCAGTGGATGTCGAGACATTTACCAGCGGATCACTCGGTAGGACTTAACGACGTCACTTCTAAATACACAGTTGTCAATATCATTGGGCCAAAAGCTTCTCAACTACTCTCAGAGCTTTCGAACTCTGACTTGAATCTATCGTCTTTCACTTATAAAGTAAGCACCTACACCTCTAAGAATTGTTTGCTGTAATAAAAAATCGCTCTATCGACAACAATGACTTTATATATACAGAATTGTAACGTGGGTTATGCATCGGACGTTATGGTGATGTCTTATACACATACGGGCGAACCTGGTTACAGCCTTTATATTCCATCTGAATATGCTTTACATGTGTATGCTACACTAATGGAGGTCGGAAAAGATTATAATGTCCATAATGTCGGTGTACTAACCCAAAGATTCATGAGAATTGAACGATTTATCCCATTCTGGGCTGAAGAGCTCACACCTTTTGTGACCCCTTACGAAGCTGGCAGCGGTCATAGAATCAATCTTGACGTGAGTCTCGAGGAATTCATTATTTATATTGATACGAATTTCTTTAGAAATTAATTAATCACTTCTTTTATACACTTATCAGAAAGAGTATTTTATTGGAAAATTTGCCTTACAACACCAGAAAGAACATGGTGTCACAAAAAGACTGGTATTGTTCGTTATAAATAATCTTGATCTTAACAAAAATGTATGGGCCTGGGGTGGTGAGCCACTTTATCGCAATAAAGAATTTGTGGGCACTGTTACATCGACTGGGTAAGTAAAATTTATACAATTTTTTAATATTTATTAATTAATAATTAATTTAGCGGATTTTATGTTCGATACACAGGTACGGCTTTAGTATAAAGAAATTAATTTGCCTTGGTTATATCGGCCATCCTGGTTACACGCATTCGTACGATGAGAGAAAAATCGTGACAAACGAATTTATTATGGATCCATCAGCTGTTTATGAAGTTGACATTGCGGGTCACCGATTTCCATTAACGCCACATATTCGCTCGTTACCGTTGCCAGGCTATAAAAGTAAAAAATACATACCAACTCCAGTCAATTCTTATAAAAGTGAAATTTCACACTGAGATTTTATCATTCTGTAATAATCAAATATTTTCATGACAGTACTAAAACACAGTCAAGTTTAATAAATATAATAAATTCTTACAGTTTTTATGATTATCTCAACAGAATCTGTTCTAGTCATTTTACAGAAACATGTTTTTTTTTATATTATAAAGTACTTAATTGTGTTTTAAGTCTCTACTTTTTTTAGTTTTCACATGTGTTCGCTTTTTATGATAATAATAGTACTTTTATACGAAGTACTAATGATTATTTTAGGGTTAATAATTATTGTTATTCATGTGTCATGTTAACATTCTGTACAAGTTGTCGATATTTAGAAGTATATTTAAAGCTTATTTTATATATTACTCTAATATATACAAAAGATAATACAATTTATAATAATTCTTATATTTATAACCATTTTATAAATGACCGTTTTCTGTAAAGCGATGTAAAATTTTCAAGAATAAATCTGTTGAAAATTTCGTAATTTTTTATTGATAAATTATACATATTTATCACAAAAGATAAATTTGGAGTTTTATAACTTAATCACCTGGACAAAAAATTTATAAATATTATCAAGAGTATTTTATAGAATATTCAAAATAAAAATGACTTTCACGCTTAACTCATCAACACACAATAGCAACTACTACAATGCTAAAGCTGTATAAATTTTCAAACAAATTAACAATTTGCCCATCACTTCCAAACTTTAATGCAATGTTAAAGGATTGAAAATGTAATTGTATACAAAGCAAAATTATATTTATTATAATTGATATAGCAAATATGATTATACAAAGTTCCAAAATTTATTATTAAAATTTGTTCTGCTATAACTTCAAAATATTATAACTATGTACATCAATGTGACAACAAAGGTTCAGAAATAATCACTTGAATTCGTTCTGCAGAATGATCGCGTTTTGCAAATTAACTCTGTTAAATGTATTGTATGCTCGTTATAAAAAATAGGAAATTAATCTTATTTGCTTTTAGTAAAAAACTGATCGTTTGAAAATTTAATCAATTTGATAAAAACTATTTCTAAATGAATTAATAAAAACAGTGTTTAATTTATAGTAAATACGACATTTAAATTTGAGAATATATTATTATATATAGATAAGAATATCACAATATACTATTTATCATCTCACCAATCAAAATTTTATAATTTAATAATTTACATACTATATTTGTTGAAGCATAACTCATCCAATGAGTTAGACAGCAAGCAGTTTTAAAAAGGCTGCAATTTGCAAACTTTTCTTTATAAATTAGATATTTTATTATCTATTTATTTTACTCTATGAGCATTAGCCTGCTGAGCTTTCAAAGAAAACATTAAGAGTTTTATAAACTTCTGCAAATATTTGAATGAATAAATAATTCAAATGATTTGTGATTTTTAACTCCTTAACTTGTTGTTTTTAATTATTCTTTACATTCAAATGACGATTTTTCTTACATTTCAACTGTACACTCATTTCCGCTGCTTTTAGTTATTCCTCAGTCATACAATATCATGGCTTCCAGCCTTACGATGCCCATTGCTCTAACTCTCTTAAATCATCATCTTCTTCTTGTTTAGCTTCTGTAAAGATTTTTATAACATCAGTTCAAATAATAAGATTTGAGAATTTTATAATGTATATTCAATAATTTACTTGATTTTCTTTCTGGTACTGCTGGTAAGGCTGTAGCAGGAACAGCAGGTAGCTCATCTGTAGTTTGTATACCCAGTAGTTCTTTGTCTAATTCTTCTTGTTCTAATTCTTCTAATTCTTTCTCTAGTTCATCTTCATCTACATCTTGTCCAAATGCAACAGGATTTGAAATCGCATCTGATATTTCCTTAGCAACATCTTGTTGCTCAGCAATGTCATCCATCATATCATGGACTTGATCCACATCCCTGAAATTGAACAACAATTTTGAATAATTACTTTCAAGTACAATATTATTACTGTATTCAATCAAATAAATACTCACATATGTTGATGTGCAGCTTTGAGAGCATCAGCAGCATTCTTCATTGTGGTAAGTACAGCAGTATTTGTGTTAGCACTTTCAAGTGCTTCTCTTTGCATCTCAATTGTGGACAATGTCCCATCGATTTGCTGGAGTTGCTTTTCATATCGTTTCTTTCTTTTCAGCGCTTGAATGGCCGCTACAATAACCAATGTTTGCAATGTTATACAATATCAATAAATAAATCTTAGTTACTAAGGAACATCAATCAATTAGTTTTTTCAATCAAATAATAAAATTATCCAATTTGAATTAAGTATCTAACTTGAATGAATTAATAATTTTATAATTTTTTTTATAATGCATGAAAAAATTTACTTTTTTGTTAATCGATAAGTAAAAACTTTTATCCAATATTGCAGGCATAACAAAACTGAAAAGATCATGATCATGAAACAAGTAAAAATGATTCATTCTTTACAGAGCAAACTGTGTGTAATTATAAATAAATAAAATTTAACATATTAGCATTAGAAAGAGAAAAGGGTAATGTCAAAATAAAAATGTTTGAATTCTTGGTACATGAAAGCTCAGTATTTTTATTATATGTGTAAATGTAAGACACACAAGCTATGTCAGCTGATAGGAAATCCTGAGCTGCAAGAATGAAAAAGAGAGACAGAACAAGCGTCTAAGGTCTTTGTTTTAAAGGGAGTTGAGAAAACGTTGACAGTTCAATCTTTTGGTGTAACTTTGAGAAAGTTAATATAGTAAAGATAAATGTTGTACGTATATTGCGCACCTCGTCTGTTCTTAGAGCCATTCTTTCTGGCTGTTTGTATTTCCTGTTCAATCTTGCTCTCAAGAAAATCCTGTTTTTTTATGAGCATTTCCTCGGTCTCTCGAAGTTTTTGTATCGCCTCGGCGGTCGTTGGGGCGGTTGGCTCCTTTTTACCGCCAAACACCTTGCTAAAGAAACTCATTTTCACGCGAAGTTTTGTGTAATTTCACCTATATATGACACTCAAAAAACTACACCCACAATGGTCTCTCGGAATGATAAGCACCACGGGGCGCCAGTAAAAGCAACAAAGACGAGACTTGATGCAGTCAAATCTTGTGTATCTACACTTATTTTTTAAATCGTTCTTTGAGCACTATAATCGCTCAATAAAACTACGACGATGTTTAAGAAGGCACTGGGAGATGACGATTCGCCATGTTTCGTACGTATTGCTGTTGATTTTTCAGACTGTTGTACCGACCATACACCGACAATATATGAGTCAGTCAAGTCGTTGCGCGAGCGCGAGTATTATATCTCTGCAATCCTAAAGATATAACTTTGTGAACACGTGATGCCCCCACTTTTAAAATATCAGCAAAGTGGGCAAAGCCGAAAGCGGCAAAGCGCGAAACTTAAGCAGCTGAATCTTATCCCTGCTGATAAATTAGTGTGCCATGCTATGTTTGGTAGGAATTTTATCATTTGATTTGAATTCAATATGCTATCGTGATATTTGACAAATAGTTATAATATTTTAACAGTTATGTTGATAAAAATATAAGTTGTTTTCGTATTTCATTTTCTAATTTTATTCCAATTCATAAATTACTGTATATACGCGCACATTATGTACGCGTACGTTAAAAATTGTTATGAAAGTAATGTATCGTTAATATCTAGACTAAGTATAACTTACAATGTTATTAAATGTTTTTTTATAACTTAATCTAAAAACATTGTTTTTAAAAAATGTCATCACAATATTTATTCGTAGTGGTTAATATAGACGAAATCATGCTATTTTATGAGGTCTTGCAGAATACTTCTCATAGCCACCGGATTATCAACCGGAATCTGTAAAATAAAAAATATTTCATCATATAGTTACTGTTTATGTCAATACAAAGTTCGTATGAATTCTCGACAATCACATGTTATTTATGTACACATAAATACGTACCATGTGTCCAGCTCGATTTACCCAAAATAATTTAAAACGATCATATGCTTTGCTGTAACCTTCAACCACATTATCTATGACTAAAGGGGCTCGAGGAGTTTTTAACCATTGATGAGTATGTTTCCATTTCATTTTATCGATCCATTTAAGCGTACCTGATTCAATTAAATCATAAATACATATACATTGTGATAATCAAAAATTAATGCACTATAAAATAAATGGATGCAGGCAGTACTACAATTATTGAACTACGTCATAAATCACATTCAACGATTTCTTTTTATAGTAATTAATGATATTAGTTAATACGATTGGTAAAGATTAACTATAATGTATATTACACCTGGTGTATTGATAATGAAATCTAGTTGTCCAGTTAGTACGTAAACTTTCAGAGAAGTTTCATTCAACAGCTGCTCAACTAAAAAAATTATCCAGTCAGATGACGAATAATATAAAAATAGTTTTATTACATTGCAGTTGATAATACCTTGGTGAACTACCGGTTTCATGTTATCTTCAAGCAAAGACATGAAAACGTAAAAACTTTGGTAACTCCATAAATTTTTCAAATTTAACGCTTTTTTAACTTTATTATTCATCAGTTCATTCAATTCATCATTAGCTAAAATCAATTAAGTAAATTGATTTTTGGTATAATCATTAAAAACCTTGTGGAAATTGTATATTACAATGCTTTGGCGATAAATTAACTTCCTTGAGCACGTTATACCAATCCATGTCGTGAGTTATATTACCAATTAAATTTTCGATTTCTAACGTAAGATTAACAACTTTTTTCCATTCGGTTGATTTGCCTGCTGACTCTAGCTTTTTAGCTACTTTGTCAATGGCATGAAATTCACTGTTATCTATAAAACCCTGTAAAAGTTATTCGTTATTCACGTTCGACAAACGCACTCCTTGTATGATTGCACCTCGAAAACAGTTTTCTTTAAAGCATTTATAACCAACACTAGATGTAAGAGGTGACAAAATTTATTTCATATATTCTACTTACAAAGTGTAGCAAATATGACGCAAAAAATGAGTAATTATCAATAGCAGAGATAGATGAGTCAATTAAGCCTACACCTCTTAAATTACTTTTAATTTTTCCTTTTATCTGATCCTGAAATTAAAAGAATAAGAAAATATGTAATGTGTAAATATAATAACAAATTTGATTTACCTTAAACCACAAATTAGCAAACTCAACTCCAATTTTACCACCATACGATTCGGCAAGAATATACGTCGGTGTTTTCGTGAATACCGTCATATTACGAAAGAATCCTGCAATACAAGTTAAAAGATCTTTTGCTACTTCCGAATTAGTCCTTGAAAAAAGGTCGGCAGATTCCACATAGCTGAATCCTGACCCTACAGGGCTATCTATGAATAATAAATTATAATCCTTCACCTACGAAACATTTAGGATCATTTAATAATTAAACAGACAAGTTTTTATTAAACTGATTAAAAACTTGGTAGCTTTTTGAAATAACATATACTTACCCATGAATAATTTCGCAATTTCATATGAACATCGAGAGGACCAATTTCCTGGAAATTGCCAATCCCGGTTGATGAGCCTCCTGGGCCACCTTGGAGCCAGATTATCAAGGGCTTAGTTTCATACTTGAAATCTGCATTAGCGGTTGTATAATAAAGCCACCAAAACATATGAGCTTTTGGTCTTACGGTTACATATCCCCATTCTTGGTTTCCTGGCCCAAAACCTTGCCTTGCTATAATATTTTTCCTATTTTAACAATTTGCTATATAGCAATCTACTATAATAAGTAAATATTTCGCAAAAAAACTAGTATTAGAAATTACTTTTTCGACAATTAGATTTGGTAACTAAAATATCAAGTCTGATTTCAGATTGACATTACGGAACCATTGTTTATAAAAAAATCTCACGATCCTTACCTGAAGTAGTTGTTATGAGCACAAAAAAATAAAAGTATACTTTAATATAATAATGAATCATTACAACCACATTAGAATACTCTTAAAAATCAATATTCCTCTCGGCAAAGGCGATTAGGTAGGAACTCTTTCAATAAGGATTTGAAAATGGTAAGATACTACTAAGAGTAAACGCTTTCTATCCGTTACTCGTATCCCCACCATAAAACTAAATAAATAAATAAACCTAGTAATAGGAAAGAAATGCAAAAATAAATTAAATTTTAAAGCAGGTGAATTATATGTTATTTATATCATACCAATTGGGATTACATTAAACAGATAAAATTAGTGAAATTAAAAGCTGTTGTTAAATTCGGTTTGTAAAATCTCAAAAATTAGTAATTAATCATTATAGACATTATTTTTTTATAAAATTATTAGTGATAGTAAAAACATGTAATTTTTTAATTATATAACTGTAAATATATTACTCTAGCTATATAGCGATGAATTAGACGTAAACTAAGGTAAATAAAAATGTATCTAACGAAAACTACCATCTTATATGTAACAAATTTTAACGGCATATAATAAATTATAATCAATATTTAAGGTGAACAAGATAAATAACTTAGACTACCTTGCTTTTGCAAAAATTAACAATTTCATGAATATCGTGCGTAAAATTAGACGTTGCTGTTGTCTATTGCATAGAGCGGATTCTTCGAAGATGTGAAAGTCACTTATTAGCGTACATGAGACAATCCTAGAAAGCAATCATTTACTGCAATGCACTGTCGTAAATATAACTGTTATTTATATGAAAATGTTGCGCATGTACGGATCTTGGTTAATCTGAAAATTCATTGTTAATTGAGTTCATTTACAGCCGTATGGCTACATATAAATAAGTCATAAAGATTTCTCACTAAAAATTTAAATAACTTTTGAAAATTCAGGAAAAGTTATAAATATTATAAAATGATATTTAATAATAAAAATATACAGGAATTAATTGTATGGAATAACAATTATATTTTGAAAAATGTGGTTCTAGGCAGTAAAGCATAAACGACGGTCTGGATGTATATTTTATAGTAAATAAAACTAAATAAAACTGATCGATAGAAATAGGTTAAATGTACATGTGAAAGTAGTATGGCTTATTTTAATTCATTTGATGAAATAAATCATCGCTATTAAATTAGTAATGACTCAGATACGATCGAAACGAGTTTACAGTAATTTTATAAAAATGTGTTTAAAAATAAAATCTAACAAGAACAACGTTATGATAATAATGTTAATTACCTTAATGTCTAGTAATTTTCCATTTATTTAGCAATGCTGCTAATTGATAATTCTTTTATTTTTAATTTTTTGTAAAGTTGTACCTTGTTTCTTTATTTGGTTAAGAGTAAATTTTGATCTGATTATAAGTACTTCAAATTTCATGCTATACACAAAAATTATATTTCATGCACATTTACCAATAATATTAACAAAAAAGTATCATGTCAGATTTGATTTTGTGTATAGATTTTGAATTCAAAATTAATTTATTGATCATGCTTTTATTCATTTATATATTAATAATATAATAAATTCTAGTATTTAAATGTAAAGATAATTCAAGCAAGTATTATTACATTCTTTTAAACGTTACATACACGCATACACACACACACACACACACACACACACACACACACACACACAGAAATATAAATACAAATTTTGCTCATGTTATATTATCGAGAAAATTAGTTATTCTAGATGTAAGTATTACCTAATCAATGTAAGTAACTATATTCTGATAATACAACCATTAATATTAAATCATATGCGTAGATGAAAAATAAACGATGCTTAAAAATAAAAAGTTATATAATACAAACATATGTAAAATATTTTTAATACGCAAGTAAGAACAGTATTATCAAATTACCATGATAAACTTGAAATAATAAAATTTTATTAGATTATCTTATGAGTAAAAAAAATTATGCCAGAAAATGAACGTAATTTTTACGAACAATTAGTCATTGAAAATCCTGTAACTTATAGAATTGTCTAAGAAAAATTGTTATGGTTAGTTACTTCAACTTCAATTTGATAACTTAGCGTTAATAAAAAATTTATTGCATATGTTTAAAAGAAAATTGATGTAAAATTATTTTTGAACAATAAAAGTAAATCAAAATAATATAAATAATATAGAGTATCTTTCATTCACATTCTTTTATTTTTTTATGATATAAATTTTGTGACTAATCAATTTTCAATTGTTAATTATCTTTTTTAACATCAACATACACTCGAAATGATGAACTGAAATGTAATTGTATGATTGACTAAGTCATGTATAAAATCACAATTTTTCGTTAAATATAAATAACAAGTATTTACTCTATTAAAATCTACAAGTAAGATTAGCTTATTGAATTGATGGGATTACCTTATACTGTTCCTTAGATAATTGATGAAGATTTAAACGAAGATAGGAACATTGAAGTATTTCCAGTTCAAATAAGACTAATCTCATTAAAATCTGTTTAATAGTTTTATAGATTTGCAGAAACATAAAATAACAAACATTTAGATCGAATAAAAAACTTCCTCCGTTATAAAATCAGCAATAACGCTGCGTTTTGAGGTGTTATGAAATCACGTATATTGCAAAAAAAAATAAAATAAAACAAGTTAAATTGATAACATTCAATTTAATTATACTAATATTAATCTATAATTTCTTATTCAATTGAAATTGAAAGTTTTTGCAAATTTGATCACTGTATCAGAGAATATACCTTATGTATGTAAAGAATATACCTTATGTAAATATCAAGTGGCACTTGATATTTTTTACTGCTTGTACCTTAGCGAATGCAAGTTTGTCTAATACAGTTATTTTGGTTACTTTGTTTTCGTATCAGACTCAAAAAGTGAATTTTTGTTGATAAGTCCCGACCAACGCGGGCGGTTAATGTGGCTTGCATTGTTACTAAGACGACATGTATGAATGATGAATGAAACATATACGTATGTGCAGGAAAGTAAGATAGTAGCCTTGAACTCGATCTTGCCTACGGAGTGAACTCTTTATAACAGTTAAAGAACAAATATAAACAAGTAAAACAGTTAAAATAGGTCGTGCATAGTAAAAATATCTACAGCCCTAGTCAAGTATCTCCTCGGAAAAAAGTACCAAAAACCAATCAAAAACGAAAAATACGACAAGATCAATACACACCGACATAATAAGAAAAACACAAATCGTCGTTGAACGTGGGGGGATGAGTTTACCGGTTTAAGGCATATGGGCTTTCTATCGAAAGTTTATGTATAATTGATGACGAGCATCACGTTTGGGTACGGTTCACGCGTCGCTTGCACATACTTAATTTCAGTACGAGCCGACCAACGAACCGCACAGGATCGTGTCTTTGCTTTTTCGAAAACCAGCATTTTCTATCTCAACATGAATTATCTTTGGCTTATATTCTACTTTTCCTGTTATTACACTTCAACACTCGCTGAGAGAGGGGGCAACACCTACTTTAACAGTACTGCACACGGTACGTTTTCTTTTTAACATTGTTTTATGAAAGTCTTCGAGCAAATTATAGACCGTCAATATTTTTTACTAAAAGCAGTGTGTGTCGACTGTAGTTTTGAAATTCGAATAACATTTATTTGTTCAATTGTACAATAGTTATTAAAAATTAAGAAAACTTGACTCAACTTTTATAATTAAAAATACTCAAATAAAAAAAAATTAACGAATGAATAATATTACAGCTTTGCGAGTCTATGGGCACAGTTTTTATAATCCCATGACCCTGGAGCCACTGCAAGGTGTCATAGAGGACGACAAAAGATTGCCTTTTTCCTTGCCCAAAATCAAATTCAGAGGTTTGCCATGCGCTTGCGTAGATATGAGCTGTGGATGTTGCGCCGGACTCAATATTTCCACAATCAAATTTGATCGCAGATACTGTGCCAATTTCACTTTTGATCCTGCCAATTTCGAAGTTGACATGATGGTCATGATGAATGAAAATGAAATTTTCAAAACTAGTCTCTCAGGTAATTGTTGAATACATTTACATCTAATTTGTTTGATTCAAATATTATATCATAAACAATCCGTATTCATTAGCCCCTTATTGTTGTTTAACAATACGAGTGTTTGATTTTGTTCACCGATAAAACATGCGATACGCCGTGCATGTACATAAAAGTCTACAAAAGGTCGTTGATTACCGAGTTGTTAAATGCGAAAGTTCAAATTTCAAGCACATACTATTCAAGCTATTTCAACGATAGAATTTACCTACACAAAATCTCTTCAATAATATCTTAAAAAATCGAATAAAATTATAAAAGCATCGCATAAAGTTAAACATTAACATAAGACCAATGATCGTTCCAGCACGCAATCCACCACCAGTGTGCGTGCCCTTGCCGTACGTACCCGTGCTGGATTTTTGTCTACGTTTGTATGACCTCTCACTACAGGATGGAAACAATTTACATACCTGCATCGACTTCGAAGCTCGACTAACCCAATCACCACTGCTGGTGATGCACTTTAATTGCATACGCGTTGGTCCATCGGGAATAAGCTGGACGAAGCCTGGGAACGATTCTAATACCAACGGTATGAGCATCAGTTACAACAGCAGCTCTATGTCACAACAAGAACATGCGATCGGCGTGTACGATCCTGTGAGTTTTGAGACCGCGGATAAGCCGAACGATAGATATTCCGTGAACACGATCAGTGTGTCGCCGAATGAAGAAGACAAGATTGGCGAACACCGTATCTCCCGACTTTATTATTTACTTTTTAATGGCTCCCTTACGTGATATCTCTTCTGTATGTGTAATTTAAATTTTACAACTAACAACTTAATTATAAGTATTTTCGTTAATTAACTAGATCTTTGACAAAACGCTAATGCAGTTGTTAAGAATTGCAAATCAAATTTGCGATTTTTCATATTTGTGATCGATCATTAATGCGCCCTTTCGATATTTCGGCATGCAATGACTAATAACTCATCGTTATTTATTTAAGAATGTCGTGATATATACCTGCACAAATGTGTTTTAATTATTTACGAAAATCGTGTATTTATTAGCATTGACGTGTAATATACTTTATTAAATTAAACTAAAAGTCTAATTATTTCGTTTGCTAAAAAAGATATATCCCAAATGTAGTAAATCTTTATTTAAGCTTTTTCAAATTATATTTTTACCATTATAACCTTTGCAATTGTTTCAAAAAAAGGGACAGAACATTATTGAAAGTTAAATGTGCATAATTCGTGCGACTAATATAATATATATCGTTTCTGGTAAGCTATATATATTCAGCTTATCTACGAAGAGAATGAATGTATTGATCTGAGAACTTTTTCTTGATCATCATTTGTAAACCAAAGAATAATTTAAAACTTTTCATGTTTCCTTCATGTCTAACACAAGTATATGACTTGGTAGTCACCATTGTCTTTTTGAAAAATTTCCTCTGATACAATAACAATGAAATCATAACATTGATATTAAGTCGTAGATTTCGCGTTTAAAGCCATTTCAGAGTTAATCACTGTTTACATGTGTTTTCATTCCGTTAATACACGAAACACGATCTACAGATGATCAAAGATTGATCATGAGATTTTATGCTTACGATTATGAGACCCATCATCAGACATGCAATTTGTAGCAGTAGTCATTTGTCAAAAGGAGAGCATGTCATCACGTGTATACGGAAGATTTAATGTTCCAGCTCGACAAGTTTCTCTCTCTCTCTCTCTCTCTCTCTCTCTTGGGTAAAACCTAAATTTCTCTCGACGCGCCAAAACGAGGTCGGCCTGTCGCATCCGTTAACACGAGGCAAGAGTCAACATCGAGCAGTCAAGTCCTGATCGTTGTTCCATATGTCCATGTAGCAGCTTACATCATTCACTTGCAACTCTGTCTCTTCGTATCAATGCTGAGTAAGTTGTCAGTTTTTCCTTTTCTCAGGCCCTTTTTCATTGACATTGTACATATTTAACAGTCTCTTGCTGATTATTGCCTCTGAGAACAAATTTATTTTTTGTGTCAACCAGTTTGCTAAAAGTGTTACTCGAAAGTTATGATTCGAGGAAAAAAATGAAGCGCCAAGATTGAGATCAATATTTGCATCTCATGCATCCAGTATATCTGTGTGAGATTTCATCCCAAATTATTTTTTGAATATTAATAGTCAAAAATTCAGATTTGATTTTTTAAGTAATGCCAATCCTTAACTTTCCTCGTGAGATTGAATATTGACGCAACTTTCAAAAAAATTAAGAACAAAGGTATTTTTAAATTTAATATAGTAACGCAAACATGTTATATCTATTGGTTTTTCTTTTTTTTATTTGATTAATACATACAGCTATCTTATCGAGAAATAATTTATTCAGTTGTAGATAGAAAAGCACAAAACAACAGAAAATGAATATTTCCTTGCCGATTTTTTTGATAATCTTGATTACGATATGTGTGCCAAGAGGCGAAAGTGCGAAGAAGAAAAAATCAGAGAAATCGTCGAAAAAAAAATTGGCTCACCATCCAAATGCGATGGCTTTTAAAGATTTATCGCAGTTGGACGAATTACATAATGAGCTGGTGCGACAGGCAACTATAACTACGACTAACACCACGACGACTAACACCGCGGTTTCGACTGCACAAGTATCAGCAACGAAGCAAGGGCCATGCAGTTGTGCTCTGGGTGTGTGTTCTTGTTGTTCGCGTATTTTACTCAATGTTTGGAAGCAGAAGGCCTGTGTTAACGTCACCTATGATCCCGACGAGTTTGCCTTCACCGCTAAAGTTAGCATGAACGATCAAGTCTACTACACCCGGACTGTCTCTGGTAAGTCGCATTGGGTGTGATATCATAACTTTTTAGATGGATCGTTATTTCATAGTATTACACTACAAAAGAAACTTGTTATTTGAAGCACGCAAAAATTTATAGAATTTTCGTATTTTTTGTTTTTTTTCATGCTTAATTATAATTACAATCGCTTTTATCGAACACTTATCAACTTGAATGATAAGATTTTCCATTTTTCAATGTTTACGGTTTCTTAGTTGTAACATCAAGTTATTAAATATGTTGTATAGTTATATTTTAAGAACAAACAAACAAAAATTTTCATAAACTTTCTACTAATCTTGCTATTATTATGGTTTCTCAAAATCGATGTATCAGTTATCAACAATGTTGTCATTCTAAGAAAAACCGATATTTTTTAATTTGAATATGTTATAACATAAATAAATTATATTTTAGGTAAAAATCCAAGACCCGTATGCGTTCCAGTGCCGAGGTTGCCCGTGGTTCGCGCTTGCATACGATTTTACAATATTTACTTCCAAGGTAGAAATGTGCATGCTTGCGTAAACATGGAAGGCAAATTTCGAGACACAACTCTCTTCAAAGTAAGTTTTTAATACAACAAAATTTGTAGACTTTCTCATAGCTCGTGCAATTGGTAAAAATACATTATACTTGAAAACTACTTTTTTAATAGTAAAAAAGTTTATATTCCCACACAAAAATCGAGAATAATCGCCAATCGACAATTAAACAAAATGAAGTTCGTAAAGAAATTACTATATTAAAAGTAGAAATAAATTATTATTTTGAACAACAACGTTTACAATAAATGTGAAATAGTAATGAAACAATCACATCAAATCATTAATAAAATCATTCTCAAATTCAAAAATACTAACTTACTATGTTAATGTTCAAATATTACATTCACAATAATACTTTGAACAAATGTTTATGAATAAAAAAGTATAACAATAATGTAGTTAATAAATTTTTATATTGTTACATTAATATGTAAAATTAAATTCTAAAAGTAAATTCTATATATTAGTAAAATTAAATTCTAAAAGTAAATTCTATATATCCATTAAATTCTAGGTTGGTATGGATTGCCTACGACTTGGATCCAATGGTGTCGCACTTGTGAAGCCAGAGGATGGTGGAGGCATAGGACAATTAGAAATTTTACCAGAATCTCCGGATAGTACCGAAGGCGAAGATGATTATGAAGGATACGATGAATATGACGATGATGATGACGAAGATGATGATTTGTTCGATTACTGAAAAGAGAAATTATTTTTGAACAACATATACTGAAGTGAATAACTTATAAGAAATGATAATTAAGAATTATTATCACTAATTTTATTTATTTATTTATTTATTTATTTAGTTATATTTGTTATATATGATATCCGTATCGTGCAAAAGTATGTTTACAATTTAAGATTTTGTAAAATGGATGAAACAATCATACATTGACTATAATACTACACATAAGTTCTATTTTTGTTATGATACCGTCGAGTATAATTTATTGTAAAGGTATATTTTTATGTTTACTATTATTATGATAAGCAAGAATAATTTCATTAATATACTTTTCGATTTTTTTTATAATTCCAAAGAAGTTTAATTAGTAATATTGTAAAAGCGAAGACGTGCCTATAAAGAAATAGTTTAAGTGAAAAAGCTTCTTTATTTGCGAAATCGGAATTTAAGATTTATTTGTTCCATAAATGTAAATCTAATGAAATATGATCATTTCAAATTCAGCCCAAAGATTTTATCTTTGGCAATTCGTGGAATTCATATTTGGATCACCATTAAAGGAAGTCAAAGCCGCTATTAATTTCACCAATGTTCTTTCAGCATCTTGATTACGGATTTGCTAAGTTTATAATTACACATGTTCACTTAAACCTTCGGTTTATTTTCCCTATAATACAAGTTCAGTTCCGTACAAAAGTCTTAAAATATTTATCATCAGTTTTTGTAACTTCTATTTCGGTGCCATGCATGGGCCATAAATCATCCTTAATTCACAAAATGCTATCAAATATATAATATAGCGCCGGAGTGAACAATGCAATTGGGACAATCAACATTCATAGACCTTCCTCAAATTGACATCTTGTTCAACTTGAATATCTGTCAGTTTAACAAATATTTTATTGATATATTACGTGTAGATGCTCTTATTAGGCAAAATAATAAGATCCCAAATAGTGTTTTTTAGATTTTTTTGGCTTGACTTATGTGGAATCGCTAATAATTGCATACGGTATATTAATATAATTTATAATCTACTATTAAGATTTTTATTACTATTAAAATAGATTTTTAGTATTAACGCATTTAAGAAAATACAATACTTATAACTACAAGTAAAAATGTTTGGCTGAGAAATCGATGACTGTTTTTTAGCCGCGAATATGAATTACATGTGTGTTATCGGGTCTATCGATAGTAGATCTTATAATTAAAATATAAATAAACTCGTTTTGGAAAGTATTAATGCTTGCATAAAATAAGAAGAAATTTTTAGATATAAAAATATTATTCGATCATCTATTGAAAAATCTGATTATCAAAGTAATAGAATCAAATATAATCTACTTCAAATATATAATCGACGAAAACGCTTAAAGATAATTGAAATGTCCAAAAATATTGAAACAACCTCCACATTTCGTCAAATTGTACAGCAATTTCATCGACGTAACAATACTTCAACCGACAAAAAATCATATTTTTATTTCAATTACTGCACACATTTTAAAACCATGACTTAAATATTGCCGAAGTGATTAAAGATTTACCATTGTATCATCATCCTCATTGATTACCTTAACAGAAAATGCTTTTCACGTAGAACTACAAGTGTATGCCTTCGTATTGCTTAGATAATATGGATAAAAAAGCTGGTGTATAGTCATCAAGTGAGTAAGTAAGGTTGATTACAAAAATCTTCTAAATTGAGAAAACGAATGCTATGATAGCTTTTTCGATTACATTATATTTAATGTAAGTTTAACACTGCTTTATTTAGTAAACGTTGTTGGAGCATACGTTGGTATTATTTATATCTATTGAAAAACAGCTTTACAATTGAAAAAAAACTTCAATTAACAGATATTTTTAACAACTTTGAACTATTTTTTAATTTTAGATAACAATTTATTGATAGTAGATATCTAATACTGATAAATATTGCGATATAGCATATAAAAATGTTATAATTTTGTAAGTCTTTAATAAAAAAGTATACAAAGTATATTTTCTTTTGATCAGCTATGAATTGTTATGAAAAAGTAGCATATGAAATATTTTTTAATTAACTGCAACATATAACAAAATCCATTAGCATTCAATGATGTAGATGCTATCTGATTCTTTTATATTCGATGTTTGTATTACATAATGTCTAACAGTAAAACACTGTCTGTCATTGCATTGTAGTTTTTACCGCAACAGTTACTAATAATTAATCTCAGTGAAAGTAACGCGACAAACGAACAAAAAGTTCATCATTATCATCGCGAGAAAACTGTGATTCTTATCTCCGCTAATTTACATTGACAAAACAAATGCGATCGTGAATACTTTGATGCTCTGAATAAATTCTATGCATTTTTTCTAACAAATATTTCTATTTTTCTAGCGACATCTGTTCTATCTCGATTATTATGATGGTGCGTAGAATAATAAAACTTCGCAGTCGATGTTTCAGTTTTCAATTAGCGATCATTGCAAGTGTATCAAATAATTGTACAAGCAAACAATTTTTCAATTAAACTTTTTCACATCAGTTACATGAAAATTATGGAATTATTCAGTGTTGTTTTTGCATTAGTGTTGGTAATTTTCAATTGCAACATCAAACTAAGCACTTCAATGAAAAATGGCAAGCTAAATTTTATTTTAACATTATTAATTCTTTTTTTCATACATTTGATGGTAATGTTTCTCAATATGTAAAATTTTCAACAGATAATTTAGAATCGAAAAAATTTATCTCACTCTCACCGAAGGCTATCGATCAGAGACCATGTAGCTGCGCAATGACCACCTCCTGTTCGTGTTGTGAAATAGTAACAATTTTATACACAAGGGATGAACGAAGACGTAAGTGATTGTTCAAATTAACAATTCTTCAATCCAATATTATAAAGATTTTATTTTGATAAAGTTTGCTTCAACGTCTTTTACTCGAGAAATGGACTGAACGTTGATTTATCATTGGATACTACAATAATAAAATCAATGGCTATTGCAAGTATGTAAAGTAGTATCGACAAAAGAAATTTGAATAATAACGTTGAAAGTGATACAAACAAAATTTCGCTTATAGATTACAGACCATTTCGGATGTGTGCGTCAGTACCGGGACTACTTTTGTCATCAATCTGCGTTAACGTATCAGACTTGAATCAGCTTGCTAAGTATGAAAAACTTTAATGTTAATGCGTATTTGAAAGTTATGTAAAACTCACTTGATAAGCCTACCTTTCAAAGCATTAAAGTTCCTTAGCGAACCAATGATATAATATTGCTTTCGCACAGCCGATCGCATACGACTTGAGACTACTGTACTGCAACAGCAATCCCAAGCGTTGCGTCACGTCGCGTTATAATGTTCGCGATACTTATTTCCTAGCTCGTTATAATAATTTGAATGTTCGCGTTTCTTGCAGCTCCATTGTCGTATGCCCGCGATTGGAGATCTCTACCAAGATACAACGCTGGCAAATCAGTTACGTTTGTCAAAATATATCAACCACATTGCCCACTGGTCTACTCATAGCCCCAGGGGCGTCGACTATGCAGGTCACAATGATGCCAGGAATGATGATGATGCCTTCGGCCAGACCCTCTGCTGCTGTTTGTATTTTAACATTGCAATTGCAGATTTTTCCAAGATATTTGATGCACACTTTTATTTCTCTGCGCTTATTTAAACTTGTAGACTACAAAAGTAGTTATTATATAGCTGAATAACTCTGTAAAATGCAAACCATTAGGATAAAAAAGTTCTTAAATTAATTTAATTGAAACTAGAACAGTATGTCTTTATTAATTTATTTAAGTGTATCTTTAAACTACATTATTTCAACAGGGACCTCCTGTTAAGCCAGGAATAATGACTGCTCCCAGACCTCTTGCTTTGGTTTGTGTGCAGATTTCATTTTTTCAAGAACTCATATGCAATTTCGTTTCTCTACGTTCAATAAAAATTATACTCAACTAAATAGCTTCAGTATAGCTGCGCATTGAATTATTGAGCGAGAAACTTGAAATTGTTTTCATTGAAAATAGAAAAATACAACTATATTAATTTTTTTGGAATACGTAATTAAACTATTTGATTTTTTAAAAGGCAATGCTAGTAATGGCCTGTTCCTCCGGTTTGTATTTGAAACTAATTGCAGTTAACATATGAATTTTAAAATGTTGTATGTAGCAACTCGTATTACACCGAAATGAGTTTTCTTTTCAGATGTCTGGAATGTAAACGAAAGTAATTAATTTTTCAACAGGGAGCCACAGTCCCGGCGGTAACAAAAGTAATGATAATGGCAATGAAGCCTGCAAGTGATCCCTCACTACCACCAGGAGCTATGCCTGTAGCGGGAACACCAGCGGCATTCTTCGCTCAACAATCTCCAACTGGACCGAATCCTCAGGGTGCAACACCACTTATGCAATCAGCGGGGACGATCGTTCCCAGACCTGCCGATGGTCTGCTTTACAGCCTGGAGCCGCTGTTTCGACTCCAACTATCCGATCCTTCTAATAATTTTACTGCTTTGCCGGATTCTAAGCTTCTTTCCCTTCAAACAGATCACTTTGAACAACGGAGCTCGAACAATAACGACACTGACTTTGTGATTTCAGACAGTGAGAAAGAAGTGAAGTTTAACGAAACGATCGGTTATAAAATACCTACTATGCAAGAGGAGCCGATGACCTCTTCCGAACAAATAAAAAGTACCAGAATTTTAAAAAGAAGTAAACGCCAGTACGATATTTTTGATATTTTTCAGCGATCCAACAGATGTGACCGTGCATACAGAATATGTATTACTAGGTCAAATAATTATATTATCTCTAGACTTAAAACTACAAGATTTACTGATAACTTTAATAAAGATATGGAATGCAATCGGAAACCAACCAAAGTTGTTCATACATCTGGAGAAAATTTATGTTCTTATTTGACTTCAACTATTGGCAATGATTCTGAAAGTTCATTCAGCTCATCTGTATCGAGTAGTTCAAACAATGATTCTTTAGATGCAATTATTGTACATGATGATTCTGATGGTGATTCAACCTTCTTTTCTCAAAATTATCCGCAGATTGCTTCAGATGCACCTTACAATAGACGACCTCGAGTTTATCCTGCTCGAACACCACAACAAATCATTTCAGAATTACAAGAACAGTTGAAAAATTTAACTAATGATGCTATAAAGATAAGTCATTTGTAGTGCAATATTTATTAAACATATTTTATAAAATGTAGCATTTTATTAGATAAATGAATTGATTAAAATATAATTTTTATAAAATATGATTGAGAGTAATAATATGGTCAAATTTTACAATATAGTTTTGTATTTATAAAAGTAAGTTTTATAATAAAATTAATGTACAAATAATTTTTTCATTACCTACATTCTTTCATTATCGCTTTCTCTCATACTTCCATTTATAAATAGGTGCACAGTCTTTTGAACCAGGTTTCACTCTAGTTGGCTTTGTCACTTTTTTATTTTTCAATGCTTTTTTTACTTCTAACACCTGTTGCACTACAGTTAGTTCTTTTTCACGATCAACTCGCTTACTCAACTCTTTGTAAGCCATATGTTTTTGCTGCTCAATTTTCTTCAACGTTGCTTCATCAAATTTAGGTAATTTCATTTTCTTTAAAGCATCTAACTTAGGCCTATTTGTTCGTCTATTCAATAAAGCTGGATGTGTATTTAATTTTGCTGCTAGGTCAAAATTTTTCGCATCTTCATCATCGTCTACAAAAAATATATGTTGATTTTTTACTTCATTTGCTGCATCAATCATATGTAAATTACTATGTAACTTTTCAACTTTCTTAGTTTCAATATTTCTTTTATAAGCAATGTATTTTATGTCTTGTGTTTCCATAAGTTTTATTTGGTCCTCTGTGTAATTTTCATCCTTTTCAATTTCACGATGAATACCTTTTACAGTTTTAGAATTGATCATATGAAAATAAAATTCATCTGGATTCTTGTTTAGAGCTCTTTTCCTCAATAATTTCAAAGTAGCCTGCTTTTCATTATAATCCTTTGCTCTGGCTGTATAATCTTTTTTCTTCTCTAGTAGACCCAAGTGTTGTCGAGATTCAGGTTGATGACGTTCTCTGTGAGTTTTTTGTGTGGATTTTGCTGCTTTTTTCCACGACGACATTTTTCACGAATAAAATTTCTGCAAAAGCAATATTGAATTATTCGATGATTCACACAATACATAAATTTAATAAATTATAAGTAAAAATTTTATATCTTTGAAATGATAAACTAAATATTTTATCATAAACTTCAAGTGTAAACTTTCAATCAAAATTTTTATCTAATACATACCTTTTAATGTTAAACAATTTCAATACAAAAATAAATTATTAATAAAATAAGAGAAAGAACAAAGTCATAACCTCAAATTGAGTTGTTTTATTATTCTACTATATTCTACAGTCTATCTGAGTATCTAATGGCAATCGACATGTGTTTATACAGGTTAGCCATCGTTGCCACACGAAAATGTTATGGCTGCTACGTTGGTCAAGTGAATTTTTCCAAGACGTTTTCATTTCAAATTGAAACTTTAATACCAGATTCATTCATTCATACACGGTAAAGAAAAACGAACAATATTAAATAGATATTAGTAATCTTTGATAATAGCATGTAATATTATGTGATATATTTTGTATTTGTAACGTAATAATCATTATTAATTATTTTTTTATTTCTCGTAGTTACATTGTTGAAATAAATCATTTTTATGAATTAAAATTAAAAAAGTATAGCGTGTTTACAAAGCTTATTATAATATACTTCCATAACGACCATTTTAGACGGAGCTGCAAAACTAAATTTTAAATGATTTTTTTTTGTTTGGTCAGAAACTTATGCACGCCACTGTACATGTAGCTCTCGTCTTAGGGACTTATATGACTTAAGGAAACAGTCAGACGGACGTGCGCATAATATTGAGCACGGTTTTACTATATACACAAATTTTGTGCACAGTAGCATAGCATAAGAATTAATAAACGCTTATTTGCGCCATGTTATTTTACACAATAATAAACCGTGCACAATTGTCCGCGCGCCCTATCGATAAATGGTACAAAAAGATAGCCAAATGATATTATATTATACTAATAGTTAAATAATAAATCTATATTGTTTATCATTGCTTGCATCCTGCACAATCGCGAATATGCCCGGATCTTAAGTTAAACAATGACTTTTTTACATTGATAATCTTCGTACACATCCGATACCTCTTTAAGTAGATATATGCTCCTTAATATCAAAACAAATAAACTTATTATTAATATCATTAATGGTTTATAACGTAGGAAATAAATATTTATTTTCGCATATAGCTAATAAGACATTGCGATGAAAATAAGAATTTTACTGTTTTTTCTTTTCTTTTTGGAAGCCATAAATCCTAAATACTCGGGTAAACTCATTACGTTATATTATTGCAACGCCAAATGACCTTTCTGTAATTCCGCTGATATGGTAATTTACATCTGTGATTAATCGTTGAACTACGTCTCCGAACTAATTAATTCAACCGATAGATTTGACTCTAAGATATACTTTATTATTATACTTTATTGAGTGTAGTAAAATGTACTTGGTATTCATCGAGCAAACTCATACATATAAACAATTATATAGGAAGACATACATATATAACTTGAATCAACAACAATGAAGTATAATGAGGTGAAGGTCATGTGATTGCTTGTCATGCGTGTTATGACTCACAACTCGTTATTTTCTTAATCGTACATGTAAGTAAAAACATGATGTTTATAAAAGATTAATTTTCAAGAATGTCTAAAGCAACGGATAGCGCGTAAATATAATCTCTACGACAACTCCGCAACGTAGGAAACATTAAACCGTTAGCTTATACACCGAGTCGGGGAAAACTGAGGCATCGTTTAAGCGTGACGCACTATGTGAGCTCGTAGCGCGCGTATGATGCATCACATCCGAGAATAAGCTTGATAAGATAATCGTGAGACGAAACCGAGATCAAGAGCTATAAAGTAGCTGCAGAGCCTCGGCCTCGGGCACAGTCGTTCGTAGAACTCGAGGCACTCGAGTGGTCTAATATATTGAAAGTGTGACCACAGCTCTCTAAAACGAGAAGAATGATGGCATCGCTCAAGCTGTCCACCATCCTACTACTGACAACTCTGGCCGTGTTTAGCGCGGAAGTCGCCTCACAAGCGGAAATCGGCTCTCACTCCATCACCGTGGGCATTCGCGAGCAAAACGACAAGATGATTCACCAGGAGCACATATCAGAATCGTTCCTTATCACAGGCCAGAAAAAGATCATCGAGCGCGTGATTCGCGCATCGGAGAACCATGTGATTACCATGGTACGAGCTATCGACGACGCGACCGATGGAACCGGTGCCGAGCCCAGTATAACCAGCGGAGGACCAGGCTCCGATTGGGTTGCCGTCAGGTTTAAGAGCCAGAGATTACGCGGCGTCTACTTTAATCTCGAGGTCTATGCCAAGCCCAGCTACTAATTCTGCTATATACACACGTATATTGCGCGCTGCATGCTAGTATCTTGTCTAATCTTCGTCTAATATTATTCTACATTTACCTAACTCAATTAGTTTAAATCTCATTAGAGGTAATGAATCTCAGTCTTTTCAGCAAATATTTACTTAAAAAATAAAATGATTTCCATTCAAATGTTTGTCCAAATTTTTATTATTTATGAGAAATAAATAAATTTCTACTTTTTTACATAACTGCGACTTCTTATTTCGTCATACCCTGTCTTATCTCTGACCTATCACCTTATGCCACCAGGCTTATGGTCAACACGAGATACGGATGCACTATGAATATATTTTGTTATTGTTATAATTGTTTCGGGTGTGTTTAAATACCGGCTCTACGAAATAATAGTACATTACGATACAAGTGCGGGAAAGTAGATTCTTGTCTCGTGTGGCGTTTACACCCGAGCGAGGCGAGAAACTCTTTCCCGAACATGTGCCGTACCGTATTTTTTTATACGACGTGTGGAAAGTGTGATTTTCAACGCATGTTTTCTACCGAATGTGCGAGAAAGACGCACTTTGCGCACGGAGTATCGAAAACAATAATTATGAAATGATGAGATAAAAACAAGTCCAATATTTTTATGCGCTATTTGAAGCTGAACTATATGCTATACATTCATAATCTATCTTTGTTTTAATTGAATTGCATCCTGTGTGTTAATCAATGTATTTTGATTTGTACCTCAATTTTTGGCTGCCACTGTTTTTATTATATTGATTCTTTGAAGGCACTGTGCTTTAACTTGTTTGATATGGGAATTTCAGTTGAGATTTTTATCAAATATAAATCCAAGTATTTTTATTTCATTAACATCTTTTATACGATGATTGCCGATATATAGTTTTAATTGGTTGCCTTTGTCGTTATACTTTTTGAAGGTTATATTACTTCAGTTTTACTTTCAAAGATTTTGAAATCTGTTTCGTTTAATAGTTTAATGATGTTATTTATTGTCTATTGCATTAATGTTTGGCTAGTTTTTATGTCTTTTCCTTTGATAAAGAAGGTTTCATAATCGGCAAATGCAATATATGAAATTGGTGGTTGTATACACTTAGTTAATTTGCTAATTATAATTAGAAAGATCGCAACACTAATTATTGCTCCTTGAGGTACTTTATTATCTATATTTATATTGTCAGATAAACTATTGTTAATTTTAACTTTGATGGATCTATTTAAAAAGATTTTCATGAAATAATATATATTCCTAGTAAGTTTTAATTTAACAAGCTTTTTCCATATCAATGTTATTTATTATTAAAATCTTCACATATGTTTGTTTCGTTTGTTACCAAGCAGTTTGTTGTAGAACGTTCTTCTCTGAACCCGTTTTGAAAGTATGAAACTATTTTGTTTTTTTAGGTACCATCGGAGTTTTTTATTTATAATTTATTCCAGGGTTTTACATATAGGTAACGGCTTAACCTAATTGTTCTGTAATTGTCTTTATTGAGTTTGTCCTTACCTGGTTTCAGGACTGGAATTACATTTGCTTATTGCCAATTTGTCGGGAATACTTTCTTTTGCAAAATTATATTACATATTTGCCAATAAATCCCAAGAAATCCCCCACCTGCGCTAACTGTGGTGTCAAAGAGGCTCTACAATCCTCTCGAGACTCCCAGTTCAAAAAATACATTTCGGAAGCCGAATCCAACCCCAAAAATGAGCTAAAATACAAATGAAAATTGTTTAAATTTTACATTAACCACAGTCGTTAATTTTTAATTTTCAGCAGTATTCAAAAAGTTATAATTTTTATAATAAACAAATAGCTATATCCGTTCAGATATAACAGTTTTTTATCTAAATATATAAATATATCCATAGATATGTGTATCTCTTGTTCTAATACGCTCACACTAATTATAACCCGGCGCGACAGGGAAATATCGTGAATATGCATAAACGATAAAAGGAGAGAATTTAGATTGTGTACCTAATTAAGCGCTCATTAGCTTCATGAGTCATAAAATCATAGAGTTCAAGAGAAAGGGTCTCGGAAAAGCTTAGAATGAACATAAAGGGAAAACAAACGCTATCTATATAACATTTCCAAGTCTTAGTTTATTATGCTATATAATAACAGAAATATCAGTATGCACCAGCATACTTTTGTTTATAAAAGTACAAATAATTAAGTGATGAGAATTTAATTATGAATGTATCGCGAGCGAAAATACTTTTGATATTAACAAAGGTTAGTCAATTTGTATTACGAGGCAAAAGATCACTCCAGATATCGACAAAGCCTTGAATTATTATCGATATTATTTTCTTTGTATATTAGATATAATCAGGTATAATCAGAAATGTGGAAAGTGATTAAACGCTTGATTTGATAAGATGGTAATATAAAAATTGAAACACACATAAGAATATTTTATTTCAGCTATTTATAATTAATTATAGGTTTCGATTATGTGGTCGGCCATATATATTTTTCCACTTTTGTTGGGGGCATCATTAGGTAAATATAGTCATAATATAAGAATTATTGTTTCAAGAATGAAGCTCTTTTCATAACTATGGATACGCAAAAACACGAATAAACCATGTAATGTTTAAACTTTTATATGTAACACTCATGTAATCATATTTTTAGAAAAGTATTTTGGCTTTGAATATACGTAAAACATTGTATAAAAATCTTTCTATGATATTGGAATCTGCAAAAGCTGAGAAAAATTGGAGTGCCTCGAACTTGAATGTCTGAGCCGACTTGCGTGTTCAAGCTCCCAAAATTTTCGAAGCTTTTGGATTTGGTCAAACTTTTTAAACAATGATGCATTGAATATTTATTTGCCAAAATTTTATTAGAGTAAATGATTTTGTTGAATAAACGTTCTATAATTATGATCAAAATTTGAAGAAAGTCATATCCATAAAAAAATATAAAGTATTATAATATTTATTAATCTGACTAAAGTTTATGCAATTGAATTAATTATAGATAGCGCAATCTAACTTCAATGAATATAAAAAGGTGCTTTATAATCTGAAAATCGATTAAGTTTTTGTTAAGCTTCATATATTAACAGTATAGTTTTCAAAATCGTAACAGATAAAACAATAATGCAATTAAATGTAGGTAAAAAGTATTGTCAATATTAAATGATTCGGTAAAATTTTCGTGTTCTAAAAGCTATTCCTCGTATGTAAAATTTATCTATCTATTGAGGGTTATATTAGTTAGCAAAAAAATTGCAACGAACATGTTAATAATAAAATTGGTCCAAATAATACCCGAATGGCAATGATTTTACTTTAATAAGTTCTAGAATAATTTTAGAATTAATTTAGAAAAACTTATTAAACAAGAGTTTTAATAAGTTCTAGAAAACAATAACATACATAATTATATTTCGCATGAAAAAGAGTTTGTTGTTTTATACTCTGTAATATTTTCCTTGTTTCTGATTTGTCATAAGCCTAAAGTGTTACATTTATCCAGGCAAACAAGGCTTTGGACCTGGAGATCAAGAATGGGGATACGTAACAGTTCGACCTAAGGCCCATATGTTCTGGTGGTTGTACTACACAACTGCGAACGTTCTAGAGTACGAAGACAAGCCGCTAATTATTTGGTTGCAGGGCGGTCCTGGAGTTTCTGGAACTGGATTTGGAAACTTTGAAGAGCTTGGTCCTCTTAATACCCAGTTAAAACCAAGAAATCACACTTGGGTATGTAATACAAACTAGCTTTGGAATATTCCAATGTCATGAAAGTATATAAATTTCATTCAAATTCAGGTGAAAGACTATAATGTTGTCTTTATCGATAATCCTGTGGGAACTGGATTCAGTTACGTTGAATCACTTGAGCTATTGGTTAATAATAATGAGCAAATCGCAAAAGATCTCATGTACTGCGTTAAGGAATTTTTCAAAAAGTTCCCAAATTTTTCTAAAACACCAACTTATATATTAGCTGAGTCTTACGGTGGAAAAATGACCGTTGAATTCGCTTACTTGTGGTACCATGTAGGTTATAATAATTAGATTATTGTAAAAGTAATTCATATCCATGCTGTAGAAGAAGATATAGAGACTTGATTTTTTTTTCAGGAACAAGTTCAAGGACGCATAAACAGTAATTTTCAAGGAATTGGCCTAGTGGACTCATTGATTTCTAGCAACGATATGTATGCATCTATTGCTTCATATCTTTTTAATTTTGTAAGCGTTATATTTCAGTATGAGCTATCATAACAAAGATTAACTTTTTAATTAAAACAAAAATTTAAGGGTCTTATCGACACTAACGGATATAAAATAATCGCCAATACAGCAAATCAATACATTAAATCAAGCAATGCGGGCGATTGGTCAAAAGCTCTTTATTTGGCAAACGAAATTGAGTACCTGATGCAAAATCAAACTTATCGTGTGGATCGGTATAATGTTATTAAAGAAGTTAAACTCAATTATTATGCCGGTATTCCTTTTAAAAATCCATACTATACAATATTTAAAACAGTACATGATACAAATATTTTTCCTAGAAAGTATAAGCGTTTACAATTTATCAAGATCTTTGTACAGCGATGAATTGAAAAAAACAATGAAAATGGTTATGGATACTTTAGATTTAGAAAGCATTTGGGGAGTTCAAGAGATAGCAGTCAACAGAGCACTGTACTTAGACAGCAGGAAACCAGTGGTTCACTATGGTAATTATACATTTTGAAATGTTATAAAATTTCTAGGTAAGTATAATTTAACAAGTAACAACAATTAATATTCATAACGCTGTTTAATTAAATAGTATATTATAATACAAGTGCAGGAATGTAGATTCTTGTCTCGCCTGGCGTTGAAGCGTCGAGAATCTCTTTCCCGAACATGTGTCGTACCGTATTTTTCGATATGACGTGTGGAAAGCTCGTTTTTGATACTCCTTGCGCAAAGTGCGTCTGTCCCGCACGCTCGGCAGAAAACGTGCGTTGAAAATCGCACTTTCCACACGTCGTATCAAAAAATACGGTACGGTACATGTTCGGGAAAGAATTTCTCGTCTCGTGTACCTTTCTAGCCTCACTTCGCTCGGGCGTAAACGCCACACGAGGCAAGATTCTACTTTCCCACACTTGTATCGTAATGCATCAGCATTGGGCATGTATGAATCTCATTTTTTAATATTTTTAGTTGAAAAATTATTAAACGAAACAAACATCAAAGTATTCGTCTTCAATGGTCAATTGGATTTAATTATAAATACACCAGGTGAGTATTCATATCACTTAAAAATATTGTGTCGATAGGATGGCGTATTATGATAATTGTTACTGAATCGATATATGATTTGGATTTAAGGAACTTTGAGTTGGATTGAAAAATTAAATTGGAAATATTCTGACGTGTGGTTGAAATCAAAAAGATTACCACTTGTTGTAAATAACATAATCGAAGGCTATTCAAAAGGATACGGAAATTTTAAATTTTATTGGGTCAATAGATCTGGGCATATGGTAATTGTAAAACTTTATTCGTGAATTTTGAAGTAGTAAATTATTTCAAACAATTTTTTCAAATTTAATAATGTTTGCATCTAAATTCAAGATCTAGTCCCTAAATAAATAACTAAAAATTAGCATTGGTATTCGTAATATCATTTAATAGTTTTTTTGAAAATCTAAAGAGGTTGTCGAACTATCCAACGAAACATGATTCAGGAAAATGTATGTGTAAAGTTTTTAATTATTTGTTTAAGGACTAGTTCTCTAATTTGGACATAAACATTATTTAATTTAATATTAAAAGAGAGTGGAACTAATATTTAAGATTTTTTCAAAAGTTTATGAACTGTTGACAATGCTAATATTTTCAAATTAATATTTTTAGAATTATTTTGATTATTTTGATGTGCGATTTTTTTTAGATTCCTGCAGATAATCCAGTTGCGATGGAATCAATACTAAGAGACTTAATTTACAGTTAATCGGACTGGTGTTATTTTAATTTCATACGTATATTATCATAATAAAAGAATATTCATATAAATATTTTTAAACAGCAGTGGCTGTATATGTATTTATGATATAGTCATTAAGCTCCGACATTTAAATCCTAGTAAATACGAAAAAATTAGACGTTTCTATACAGGTACGGTGTCTTTAGTACTTAAAATAGATTATGATTTGAATATATACGTATATGTATGTACACACACATACACCCACCCGCCCACTCGCCCACCTACCCACCTACACACACACACACACACACACATAAAGTTTTATCAAGGTACTGTCAAACTATCTTTCAAATAATTTGATAGTTAAAATAATTATTTGTAGCGTGGAACAACAAAGTTCCTTCTGTACAAATTCTCTCCCTCATTTCCCTTCTTTCCTTCTGACTATAGATTATACAGGAGCGGAAGCTCCCTCATTAGTTATGAAAGCCCCGTCGGAGCTCCACTCTCTAAAAATCCCTAAATCAAGCCTCTAGTTACAGACCAATCAGCCTTCTCAGCACACTTAGCAAAATCGCTGAAAACATCATCCTCTCCCGTCTCAACCAATTCATCACGAACAATAAGGTTCTTTCCGATTTCCAACACGGTTTCAGTCACTCCCACGGTACTCGCCACCAACTTCTCAGGGTTTCTGAGTTCATCGCTAACAACCGGAACAAAAGACAACACACCACTATGCTCTTCCTAGATACCAAACAAGCCTTCGACAGAGTTTGGCACAACGGTCTCATCTTCAAGCTCCTAAAACTTGACTGCCCTCCCTATCTGATCGGCCTCATAAAATCCTTTCTTACCGACAGGACCTTTAAAGTTCGGGTTGGCAAATTTCTCTCCTCCCCCCAAAAGGTCACCGCTGGTGTCCCACAGGGCTCAAAACTCTCCCCCTCTCTTTTTAACATCTTCTACAATGACATCCTTTCCCAAAATAACATTATAACTGCTCAATACGCCGATGACGTGGCCCTCCTATACACTTCCAAGACTAAGAAGTTCTGCTCTTCAGTCCTCAACAAATTCATCCCAGACCTCTTAAAATGGTACCATAAATGGGGTTTCAACCTCAACGAAGCCAAATCAGAAGCCTTATTCTTCGCCCACCGCGGCATCCCCCCCGTAAAACTTAATCGGTTCCCACAAAATTCAATGGAGTAAATCTGCTAAATATCTCGGAGTGGTATTCGACAGAAAACTCAACTGGAACAAACAAATCCAAGGCGTCCGTAATAAAGCTAACGGCGCTTTCGCCTCCCTAAAACCTCTTCGGGCTTAGCGTACCCGCGAATCCGAGCTGGCTGACCGGTGCCGAGGGTGGTAAGACCCTCAACCGGGACTCATACCAGAGTATAAACGGTACCACGGGAGACCGGGGGCCCGCGGGGAACGGCATAGCCGGACCCCGTCCCGGTCGCTGGGTTGGTCTCGTGGTGGCAGTGGTTGACACCCCATATCGCGGGGAAGTGGTCGAACAGGAGTGAAAGTCGCTATGGATGCTCTAACGTCTCCGGCGATTGGAACTCCTGTTTGATCACGACATGTGAGTTACGGCCTCAACTCGGGTAACGGCCCGCATAGCCGTTAGGGATGTAGATGGGTCCCGACCCTCACCGAGGGTCCTTCGAAGGCTTACCTCCTTCGGAGGAATCGGTAGACCTCGCGGCCACAGGCCGTACGTCGCGTTGGCCGGGCGTATCCCGGCCCCATTACGTACGTAGGCGTACCGTGTGGTAAAAGCCGAGAGGCAGGCACCGCACGTTAAATACAAATAGGAGCCTCCCTAAAACCCTTCTTTACCAACAAAAACATTTCCCAACCCACCAAAATCCGCGCACTCAACGCCATTATACGTAGTATCAGCACATACGCCATCCCTGTCTGGGGTTCCGCAAAATCCATTAACAAACTTGAGAGCACTTACATGCGCATACTCCGCAATGCCCTCAACATCCCATGGTTCATCAGAAACTCCAAAATTCTAAGGGAAACCGGCCTGTCCTCTATCAAGGAAGCTGCCGCCACCTACGCAAATAACCTCCGCTCCTCAATCTCCGAACACCCAAACCCCTCCATCAACTGCCTGGTCTCCTACACCAGCAAAACCAAGGACAAAGTCCCTAGACCTTGCGTTCTCTCCTTACCCCAAAATAATCTTCTCAAGCCCCCCCCCCCCCCCCCCCCATTCCAAGCCTCGCACTCTGCGTAAGTGTCACCGGCCCCCTACCGAGTGACTTCCTCCCCTTTCTTGATTCATAACCTCCGGGTTGGTAATCGCCGAGGAGGGGTTTTTAGCCGGTAAAAATCCGGCACTACCCACTACTCTATCTCAGTGGGTGTCCTTTCGAGGATTTTCCCCTCCTCTCCCATAGCCATCAAAGACTTCGCAGGGCCCCACAACAACCTCCTCCACCTCACAGCTATAGATAAGTACACCTCTCCCCTTAGAACAAAAACCAATTTTTAGCCAAGCAGCATCAGCCGGCAAAATTTATTGCCAATCAGTTATAAGTTATATGACTTAAGTCAAGCTGTAATGTGACAGCAAATAAAGCCATTCAAATATAAGAAATTATGTTAGTTCGTAACTGCTTTATCGTTTCCATAGGAACAAGCTGGAGATGTCGGCTTCTTATCAATATTAAGCATGGTTACTTTTTATTTACTTTTTTCTTGTTGAAATATATATTTTTATAATGGAAGACTTTACAAATCCAAATCTTCAACTTGTGTTGGGAGTAAGAGAAGGTAAAATACATTCATAATAGATTTTACTATTCTAACCTTAAATCCTTCGTTGTTTTGATTCTTTTAGCAAAAATGTAAGCACTTGGTACGATTTTAATATTATAATTTTTTCATATTAGTTTACGTAAATTCACTTCAAATTAAGATGTGAATCAATCAAACTAGATGTTACATTTGCCATTCTATGCGTTACCAAATAAATACAATATAAAAGAAATTTTTTCAGGAACAAATTTTGATAGGGTGCAAAAACCTACAATTGTCATTGCCACTCTAAATGGTACTTGCCTTGAAACTAAAAAGATTCAGTCAGATTCGAATCCACAATACACAACTGATTTGATATGGGAAACAGATAGGAATGCAATAAGAAAGTACGTTCATTCAACTTGTGAATATAAAGTAATGAAAACTACAATGCTTTATAAAAAAATATGATCAATCAATTTCTATATCTTTTAAGGATGAGATCTAATCAGACTCCTATAAAAGTAGAATGTTATGGGGTCAATGAAAATGGAAGTAGAGAAAAACTAGGATATATCTTATTAAGTGTACGTTGTGCTCAGATTATTCATTACAATGAAGATTCAAAGATCAAAACAAATTGGCACAATGTGTTGGGATTGAGAAATGAATTTAATAATTGCAAGCCAAAGTTATTATTGTTTTTAATTATTAAAGAAAAGGAAATTAAACCTATTGATGTAGTACCTCAGGTATGATAACTTGAATATTAATTAATTAATAATATTTATTTGTTATTAATTGACCTTCTATTGTGTAATCTTTTAGGTGAAGAGTGCTCATCAATATAATTTAATTCATTCACAAATTACACCAGTTTGGTTAAAAGAAGAACAGCTTATACAGTTAGGTCCAATTGAAACATGCCATGACTTATTTTTATTGACTATTATTATTGAAAGTGCAAATAATCTTATTCAATTAATACCCAATGTTAGTGAACTTGAAAAAGACCATTTTTCATTTTTTTACAATATTTTGGATACTATTATTTCAGTAAAACCATTCCGATTAGTATCTAACAACATTTATTTTAATGAAAAAGAAGTTATTAAAATTAGAAGTTCTTATAGTACACTTATACATTACCTGAACACAAAACCATATTTTTTTATAAAACTAAAAAAAGGTAATATGATAATCGCTCAATCAGAAATAGACATGAAATCATTTATAGCAGTGAACTATACGGAAGATTTGAAGCAATTTCAAAAAAATATGCCATTTACTGCAGATTATTGTTGCATTCTACAGAGCGTGCATTCAAAAGATCACAAATTATCTACTGAAAACGGTAAATCTAGCTACTTCAAATTTAAAGATATTTATTACTTTTTCAATTTACTAATGATTTTTCAGTCCAAGATAATGATTTTTTACCAAATCTCAAACTTCATATGACTTTGCTTCAATTTGACATGAAAGATGATTTACCTAAAAAACGGATTCCTTATACTCAACACTCTCCTCCATTACATAGATCAAAAAGTGACGTTTCAATACTAAATCAAACCAATGGTATTGAACAAATCAGTTATTCAAACGTAAATATAACGACATCTGAAATTAATTTTTTATTGTGTTTATTTTCTTTGAACTGATTTTTGAATTACAGACACAGATGAGAACTACATCTGATCATCTTATTTTAGATAATATAAAAACCTTGAATAATAGGGTACCTCGATCTCGAATCGAAAAAGAAATTATTTTTTCACACAAAAATACTCAAACTACTAATAATGACTCAAACAGTGATTCTGAAAAACATTGCCAAATTGTAAACTTGCATAAAAGATATTCTCTTAATATTGATTTGAAAGAAATAAAATTTATTCATGATAGACCAGATATAGAAAGGATCGAATTTAGGTAAAAATTGCTTGATTTAAAAGTATCTATTATATTTTAATATACTGTAAAAATTTATATTTTATTATAGATTTTATGATGATGCAGGTGATCTCATTTCTACAACCTGCAAAAATGTATCTATAATACCAGAAGAAATAATAACATTACAAGATGTCAAATGTAAATTCTATTTCATGTCTGCTTCTAATGAAATTGAAGGGCTAATGAAAACATTTACGCCAAAAATTTGTATTTCTGATGTAACCACTAGTGAAAAAAAGTGCATTGCTCAAATTTCTTTAGATATACATAAATTTATCTGTGATAGAATGGTGAGATGAAAATAATATATATGTATTTATTGAAAAAAAAGAAGAATGAATAAATATGAATGCTACGTTTCGAAATTAACTTGCAGGAAGACTCTGAACAAATTGTTCCATTAATTGAATGTCATAATAATAAAGTTGTTGGATGCGTGAAAATAAATGTTTCAATCCAAGATCATACTGCTTTAGTATTGCATAAACTGAAAGAGGGAATTTCAGGTAATACATAACAAAATAATTTTGATGGTTTTTATTACTTTTACATATCAATTATTTATATATTAACACGTTCAGGAATAACATTAGATAACGGTTTAGCGTATAAAATTGTTGAGGAACTTGAAACATGGAAAGATAGACAGAAAGAAATATTTAAAGATGAGGTGATTAATTAGTATGCAAATGCTAAAAATCCACCATTTAATCATTCAAATTACTTTCAAATACTTTTAGTTACGAAAAAAAGAAGAAGCCTATTTAAACTTGTTGAATGAGAAGTGGCAACAACGCAGAAAATGTTTAGAAACAAAATTTGGGTCTAGTATAGAACAATGTAAAATACTTTCCAATAAGTTAAATATGACCATAGAAAATTTGAGAGTACGAAAAATTCAAAGTCTTGAAAAGGAAACGAAGTTAATTCAAGCAAATGATGAATTGTATTGGAAATACGACCGTAAAGTGAACCAATTACAAGATGCTTTGCAGAAGATGCAAGGAGAATTCTCAACAAAAGTCGGTAAAATTAATTTCAAAATATCATACACATGAGGAATGATAATAATCAAAATGATTTTTCATAGTTGATCAGTTTGGAAGAAGAAAATAAAAATCTCATATCACAAGTTAAATTATTAACTGAACAAAAATGCGAACTCGAGAAAATTAAAGCTGAACAAGCTCAAAAATTGTCCATTCAAAATAAAATTTCTTTAACAGAAGACCAGACTACTTCTATCTTTCACCAATTGAAAAATCTTGAAGAACAACTGGATAGCGCTCAGAAGAGTAAATCCTTCTTCAAAGAACAATGGAGCAAAGCTGTAAAAGAAATTCACAGAACAAAAATGGAAAATCAGCAAGCGCTCGAAACTCAAATTAAAAGTGATAAAGAAGACTTAAATAATCTAGAGTGAGTAGTATTTTTAATAAAATATTTAAAAAATTTTAAATAAAATATTTGATAAACAACGTTTTTATTTTATAGTTTGGAAGAAATATTAGATGCCGATACCGCTGCATTAACGTGTGATCAAATTGCTTTGAGTCAAATTCAACGTGAAATCGATATTATAAATCCAGATTCTGCCATGCAATATTGCTCAAGAAAAGCTGACAGACAGTTATTCGTTCCACAATCTGATTTATTTATTCCTATAGATAAAAATTTAGTTCATTCCAGCACGTCTGCAACTTCTAGTTCTAGTGATAGAAAATTAAACATGTTGATAGAAGAACGTGATTCGCTTTTGAAAACCGGTAATTATTCAAGTAACGACAGCCTTATTATCAAACTAAACACTGAAATCAGATCAATATTAATGAATAGTTGATATTCAAGTTACTGTTTCGAAAATTATCATGACTGAACTTCATTTTACGAAATCTTCTAAGTGTAGGTTGTTAGTTCACTCGTTAAGCTAATTGTGATTGTGTACATAAATTTGTGTTTTGAAATTTACTCGAAATAATTATAACATTGAACAGCAACAAAGATAAATGTTATCAATAATTCTTATAAAAGTGAGGTAAAACATTCAGTGGTACTGAGTAATTATCCAACCACATAGGACCAACATAATCTTTTCCAGTATTAGCATCTTTCCAGATTCCAGAAGGTAGAAAAATATCACGATATAAAGCATTCTCCTCAATCACGGGCGCTACCAGAATTTCTCCTCCGAGAAGGAATTCTAAATAAACACAATTGATTGATCATTTATTATTCTGACTAAAGGAATTAATAATGTAAAATAAATACAATTTTAAATATACCGTCATTCACTTTGTAGGCATCAATATTAACAGGATCGACCCACCAAATGGGTGCGTTCAACGGCTCTCCCGTTTCCATAGATTTTTTCATGTAATTGATTATCCGTGGAGCCAACGCAGCATGCATGTCGGTATAGTTTTTACAAATATTAATGGTCTGAAATCAACAAGTTGACATAACCAGGAAGCCCTTTTAGAATAGAATGTGATACTTAATAAGAAAAAATTACGTTATCATCAAAGTCCCAGGGAGCGTAAGAGTATTGCATCGCTGGCATAAAAACAGTAGCCTGTAGCCACCTAATAAACAAATTCTTAGAGGGCAGCTCGCTGGGTGTCAAAGAATTGTCGGCATATCCGCCTATTATACCGGGTAGTACGTAAATATAACCATTGAGATTCATCTGTAGTAGTGTGGTAATGAGGGTAGGTAGGCCATTGCTCCAGCTCCACTTGGCGTCCTTGTCTATCATCCTAATGAAATTCGGTAGTTTCTGGCTTCTCCAGCCCACTCTTGTCTCAATGTTATTACCAAAGTAGCTGGCCACGATGTTGGTGTAATTATGAACGTAAATACCCGGTTGAAGGCTCTGCGGTCCTTCTAAATTCGCAACTTGTGGTAGCCATGAAGTCTCTCCAGCATCGAAGTTGAAACTATCGATGCCGAGCTCTCTTAATGCATTTAAACGGGAAATCCACCACTCGGCTGCCTTCGGATTCGTGAAATCTATCGCAGCTGCGTCTGCACCTGGAAAAAGATATTCTATCTAGTACTCGACTGCTTATCTCGCAGCCTCAGTGAAAAACAAAGATTTACCTCGCCACCAGCTAACGTGGATTTGGTCTTGCTCGTTCTTAACCAGGTAACCATTGTTGAGTGCGTCATTGTATGCTTCCTCGCAGTTTACGTTAATGAACGGATGAATCCAAAGACTCACTCTGAAGCCCTTGCTCTTGAGATCACTGATAAGCGTCTTCGCGTCTGAGAATTTGCTGGTATCGAAGCGAGCGGATCCATAACAGGTTTCCCAGTTGTCGCCGATCTCGACCTGACTATTGTTGAAGCCATGAGCAATGATTTCATCGGCGAAGCTCCTGATCAAGCTCTCGTTCACGCTAAGCTTATGTCTCGCCCAGGTAGACCAGATTGGATGAGTGATCATGCGTTCGTCCGGTAGACCTTCGGGTTTGTGGAAGTTTCGATAGGTCGCGTTTTTGTGAGCTGCCATCGGATTGACGAAGACGCCGATGTCATAGCTAAGTGTAAGGTTGTTTCGCTGCCTATACGGAGGCTTGTTCTTAGCCATGAGGCACAGGTGATTATCCTTGAAGTTGTTCTGGTCAAGGAACAGCGGGTCGTGCTCGTCGACGAATACGTACATGCCTTTACTGGACAACCAATAGCGCTCTGTCACGGACATATGCCGCTGGTGGGTAGGCACGTAAGCTTCCTCGTCGTAGTAAGCGTGTTGTATCGGCCAGTGCTGAAGCCGACATTGCGGTCCACCGTACCAGTCGGTATCTTTGCCTAAATTGAAACAGTCAGTGATCTGACCATTTGCATCGTCCAGCACTCGTCTTATTTGTATCAACTCGGTCTCCCTTTCCACTTTTATCCAGGTGTGTCGTGTCTCCCCGGACTTTATGCATGTCGTTAAATTCTCGCAGTCTATTTCAATCATTAACTGTTCTTCATCTCCGATTTCTGACGATTTCGTGTACATTTGGTATTCTAGGCTTTTTCCATCTGTGCAATTCATGTTACTTTAATTTATTCCTCGTTACTGTAGTAATCGTACTATTTCACTACGATTACTTTTTATTCAAGCTACTAAGAATCTCATACGCTCAAATCTCACATTTCTAAATTCTGAGGTTTCATTTTGCCGAAAGCTTATATTGACTATTTCGTATACTTTGTAATTAAGAGGATAGAATGGAGTTAACAGTGAAAAATTAAGTTTTCCTCATTCTTATGTAAAAACCATCCTAATAAAGCTATCGATGGCGAATATTTTTCATCTTGAAGTATTCGGTAAAAACTTTAATTTTTTTAACATATACATCGTAAGACATTAATTTAACGTCTTGTAAAATTACCATCTGCCTTACGTTTTTTTAATCAACAAATTTAGCTTCACCATGCTATTTGGCGCGCTAGAATGAAGGAAAATCATTTACGGAGACCTCATTTTCTTTGTTAAGATCAGTGCTCCGAACGAAGATTATTCGAAAAAGTTACTTTTTCATGCTTTAAAACCAATTTGTTAAATTGCTCAAAAAGAAAGAAAATTAAAATTTTGAAACTAATTTTAAAACGTGAAAACATAACTTTTTCAAAAAACAGTTTTGCTGCCCATAGCACACATAGACCTGAACAAGGGAAATAAGCCCTCCCAAAGTGACTTTTATCCATTTTAACTTTCAGAAAAGCATGATAAACCTATAAATTTGTCAATAAAAAAAATGAAAAATGTCGATGTAAAAACGACGATATCTTTGTAAAGATAACAATTCTCATTGTAATTTATAATGCTACAGTTAATATTTTTAACTTATATTAATTTATAAAATAAATTATATAATACTTGAATATTTGCATAGATCAAAATTATAATACTAACCATATTTTCGTATGTTTAAGTTTACTTTATTGTTACTTTTGATTTCGATATCCAAATTTCCATTTTTAAATGTTCTGGTAGTTTTGGTAGTAGTCTTATTCTCACTGCTGCAATAGACATCAACATCCAATAATGCTAAATCAATTATAATATGAAAGAATTAGACGTATAACGAAAATAAACTATATGTAAGCAGTGCTTCCAAGCTCTACCTACCACAAAAAATGTTACTTGTTTAGTTAACGTTATGATAAATATAACACTTACTAAGTAACAATAATAGCAGCAATGACTTCATGTTCATTCTATTGGTACTGACGATTAATACATTGATCATCAAACATTTATATTAAGGTTATTTTTCGTGAATCACGCTTGCTATTATCAGTTCACTGAAACAAGTTCACAGTTACGATGGTATACAATTGATAAAACATCATTAATCCATCGTAATCTTTGAGATTATCTATTTCATTGAATCAGTATATTTTCAGAAAACTCAATTTTCGTTCTTAAAATACATCTTACGCAATCAAATTCCACATCAATTTTAAGTCAATTCTCTAAAGAAAGTATTTATCTGGAGATATATTATCAAAATTTTAATGTAGAGCAATTTATACATTGATTTTTCCCTGAGATCACATCGAAGAAAATAGATTCAGTCATTCGGCAAATCAGTGAGAACATATTTTAGAAACAATTAGGTTGAGCACATAGAACCAGCTTTTTGATATCGACAAAAATAAAATACGTGCATTCAATACAAAATTGTTTATCTAAGCAAATTACGATATGTGATAGAACGTTTATCACCGTTTTTCTTATCATGAATATAAATAATCATATATATATTTTGATTAAGAAATTTATTGCAAAATAAAACAGAAAATAAACTATACGACCTTCTAAAAATTTCAAATAAGATTTCACGTAAAAATATACATGAATTATGTAAGTCCTTACGTACGTATTTTGACAAAGTTCTTACGTAAGTTCTTACATAAGAACTTACTTTATAAGGTAAACAAAAAATTGTATAGGTAATTTTTTACGTAAGTTTTATCATCAGAACTTACTCGACAAGTTAAACGAATAATTACGTAAATAATTTTTTACGAATCTAAAGTTTGTAATGCTGAAAATGTACAAAAAAAAATCAAACTGATCTTTAAAAAAGTAACTTGATATAGGGCTTCTAATGTATCAATAATATGCACGACGAAACAAAGTCATTATATTGATTTAACACTTACAAACCACCCTTATAAAATCTGTACATACCATACCACATATAGCATATAAGTTTATTCTTTGGTGTTAAATATAAATCTAATATTCTAAACAAATTGGTTGTTAAGATTACAAGTCTTTCGCTCTTGCCCACCGTTGGCAGCGCTATATGCATAGCCAATTTGCGATATATATGATAGCAGGGGCTTTGTAGAGAGTCAAGATAATCTCTTTTCACCAACAGTCAGTCGGACTTTTTAACTCGCACGGGATCGCTAAGCCAACATTCACGACTCCTATATTTATATACTTCTTTACAAACCATCAGTTAAATAATCTTTTATTAACAATTTGTTGAAGTTGACTCCGAATTACGTGTCAGATATGAACTTGTGAATATTTTTTTTTAAAAGCACTACTAGTTTTAACTATTAAAAAATCCAACTATCGATTACCGATTATCAAATTGTCAATGAATCCAATTATCAGAACGTCACAGAGATTCGCGTCAATCGAATTTTCCGTTAGTAAAGTTTACAAGGTGACTGTATAACTAGTTCAATAAAGTAACAGGATTCAAACGAAGACATTCAAAATGCTGCTGTCGACTGAATCAACGTTCATTATCTTAGCTTTTATTGTCATCGTTGTAACAAACTTGGAGAAACGTTAATCCGCTTCTTTCAATGTTGAAGTTTGTGAATCATCGAGATATACACACACCGTATACATCATTGTTATGATTTAGAGTAAGCATATATTTATACGATGGGTTAGAGTGGATGGAATGTGTATATGGAAGTATGGGAATAGTTAACATAGTTCTTGTGATTGAATCGATTGATGATATTGAACATATTTTATTGGCTATTTACAAAAATTGCATTTTATAATATATACATTATTTGTACTAGTTCTCTCAAATCTTGATTCTTTGGATCTCAGTTGTGACATGAAAAACAATAGTAGGCACCCCATCTAGTTCATGGGACTATCAGAAAACTATTTATTAAATTACGATAAGAGGACAAAGACGTTCAAGCGTGTTTAAAATATATGACAGATTTAGCTGAAATTATCGAGGCTAATGGCGACGTTGATGAAACATAAAGGACCGAGTATCTGAATTTCGAAATTGAAATTACTAAGATAGTTCTTCAATCACTTTGCAACGAAGACAATCGTTTTAAATTAATGACTTTGTAAAATGTAAGAATCGTTTAGAATAACACAACTCGTAATGGTTGACAATGTGTATGCGCTTCATTTTAAATATGACGCGATGCTCTTGACAGAAGCGTGATCATTTTTTTTATTAGAAAAGGGTGCCGTCCCGAATATTCGATTGAATATATAACTACACTCCTCTATTTTGTGTCGTCAAGCCGAAAATGGTGATTACAGTGATTACTGTGGCATCAATCTTCTTGCAATAACACCAATTCTTCATACTTTAAACAGTTGACTATTGACTGTAGGATGGGACTGTCCGAAGACCAAATTTCAAAGATATCGCTCAAATGATGTATGGCAAACTTTCTTAAGCTTTGAATCTCAACAGCTTTCTTAAAGCGTCTTTTCAAAATCTCGTTGTAGTATGAATTATAGTGTATTTCTTCTTTCGAGAACCGGTCTGAAACAGATGGTATATCAACGTAGCGCGCTAACGTGCAATCATCCGAAATAAGAAACGTATACGTTGTTAGCGAGCGATAAAGCCTCTCTTGTTTCAAACGTAAAAGACTCATTAAGCAACAGTCGTAATAGTCTTTTGTCGTTTCACACGAAGCGATTATCGTCCGATTTATTTCGGAGATAGACTTGTTTTCAGACTCCACCAGTGCTAAATGTGCTAGCACCGGCTCTATCAAATCGGATACTCCAAGTTGTTGAGCCACACCGATCACTGTTTCTCCATCTTTCTGATACTCCGGATCAGCTCCGAATAACAAGAGAAATTCAATGCACTTCTTTCTGGAACTGTAATCACCATTTGTCTGCTGGACGACACAAAATAAAGGAGTGTAGTTACGGTCACTTCGAATATTCGGGTCGGCACCCTTTTCTAATAAAAAGCAAGTGCAGATCGAATTGCCGCGAAGCGCAGCGTTATGCAACGCAGAATGATTGCTTCTGTCAAGGGCATTCACGTCAAAGTCGTTGTACTGAAATAATTCCAATACATCGGTATTCTTGTTTTCGATTAAATAATATAACGGCGTCCTCTCGTAGTTATCTCTTGTCACGAAATTTATATTATAGTATTGTAAAAACAGTTGCACACCTGCTTTGTGTCACTTGCATAAAACGTAACTTTTCGTCACTTCGGGATCGTACAAAAAGACAGCTCGATGTAGAGAACACTCGGCTTGTCGTCATTTGGTCGCCAATTCGTTAATGCTGAAATGACCGTTGGCGAGATCGAGCGATATTTTATAGAAAAATTGCTTAATTATCTTCAAGCTTCTCGTCGTTTTCGATAATTTTACAGCTACGTTAAGTGCGCACTTTTTATAAAACTGAGATGGATAGAAACTTGTACCTTCCTCCAGTGGTGTTTTCACTGCTTTGACGCTCTCTTCCTTCACCACTGTTATGAGCGGCGTGGTTTCGCCATCGTCGACGGCGTCGATTACTGACCCGTGATTTATCAAATACTTTACTATTTCCGCATTATTGTACTTGGCAGCCAGATGTAGTAAAGTTACACGGTGACAGTCTACCAGTTCATCTGCCGCAACATCTTGTATTAGATGCAAAACCGTCTGGTTTTCGCCACATCTTAAGGAATCTATTAATTGGACGGTGAAATATTTCTAGCCTGGCCATTCGTACAACTGTCATAAATATTGATAATCTGAATCCAATAATGTTACAAGAGGACAACGAAAATTTTAATCGTCGAACACTTTAATATGCTGAAATATTTATGATATGACAAACAGTGATTTAACGTAAATTTGCCTCTAGGACTAATTACAAAAACAATAACTCATTAATTACATGCTTACCGCCATTTCGGAATACTTAAACCTCTATACTCTGAGTAATTAGAATCACAAACACAAGCTTATAAAATCGAATGAGCAATGGCAAGTACTATATTTTCATTAGACTCAGTCCGATATGCGTACTCTACGAAAGCGTAGGACATACTCAAATGTTCCAGGGAAGATGGCTTGAGATTTTATTTCTCAGATTAGTTTTGCCATTCTTTCCTACTTTGTGGGATTAAAGACATCATAGTCTAAGATGAATAAAAAAAGAAATTTTTGGAAACTGCGTGTTTTTCACTGTAAATTTCTATTATTTTTTAAATGTTTTATACTGTGCAAAATAAATCTCAAACGAAAAGTTTTAATAATTGCCTATTTTCAAATTTATTCTCTATATTACTCTCCTAATTTGCTTCAAATTATATTTAATGTTTGGTACTAATGAAATGTACTTGAAAATGATACGGATGCTGAATATGATTTTCAGATCTCTTACACAAATTCAATAAATTTGTGTTAAATAATACAATAAGAGAAATCAGATGAACAAAAAGTTAAAAAATTAGGTGTATGATATTCTTGTATCAATATATATATACCATTCATTTTCTTCGAGGACGTGTTAGTCAAAAGTCATTGGTTAATTCTCGAAGGCAATGAAAATATATATTATATTTTTGCTGGACCTGTTATCTTCAAGTGAATAATGATGCTTTGAAATGTTAAAATCTATTTAATTTTGTAGAAAATTATTATTTATTGATAATCCCCTTGTATGTTTAAGTTCAATTTATAACTGATAAAATAATAAGAGATAAAAATCAATTCAAATAAAATGATTATGATTTTCTTACATCTTCTCGCATTTCAATTCACATAAAAGCATACAAATAAAACTTATAATTTTCAATGACCCTGTAATAAGTTATTAGTGATATTCTTTTGTAGAGTTTAATTTGCCGGTCGATTGATATTTGTACTATTTTTGCTACATTCTAGTAAAGCAGTTTCTTATAAAGTTTAATCAATTAGATGTGGTTACTATATTTAAAACTCTAATTTACTTTCGAAAATGTATAATACTGTTAGTAAAAAAATGATGGCTTTATTGCTAGGAATAAGAATTTATTCTAAGCAATACTTAAATAATCAATTGTAAGAAATGTATATTCATCGTTTAATAATAACGGTGCATCAGATATAGTTATAAAAAATATTTTTGTTTGCATTATAATTAATAGGTCATTTTATGATTGATTTTATGTATTGAATTCGTTTACAATAAGATTTAAAAAATCTTCATAAAAAGGAGATACCCCACTTTGCCCAAAAGTGATATTTTCAAACTTTTGATATTCAAATGAGTAGAGTTGACAAAAATGAAAATTTAACAAGTGTTTTGGAAAGCTTAAAAAATGTACTAAAAGATGGTTTAATTAAATTTTATCGATACTTACTGTTTCAACTGCCACTTAAAAAAACAATAATATTGTCATTTTTATAGTCACAATAACTACAATTTTTTCTGCAAACAGCAAGAATCACATCCTTATAAGGGTTCTCATAAAAGAACCGTAGATCTGGTATTAAACACGAAAGTATTAAGAACAAATTTAATAGGAGTATCTCGCATTACCTTGTACTCCGCATTGTCCGCGTATCCTTTAAATATATTATTAGTTATTCATCTATCTTTAAATATTGTTCATCTAATCAATTAGTCGTATTTTTATCCGACGCTAAAAGTAATCGAGAACTCTTCGGAAAAATAACTTTTGCGGTTCAGAGAAATCGACAAGACATTGTTCAATGAATATGTGATATAAGCATGGCATATAAACATTAGCAAACAAGTCGTTTTAGAAGAATAAAATGAATGCAAGTAGATTTACTCTGGAAACGTTGTACTTTTCTATCAGCAGTTGCAATGGAGCCTAAAAGTTTTATAATATTATTAAATGGAATGGACACTTCCAACGGGCCAGTCAATGGTTAACACAAATAGATTTTATTATCGTAATAATGCTCTTTATGTGCTACCTCTGCCAGGCGGTCGTCCTGACGAGTCGAGAGCGCGGATGTAACGTTCTTCGTTACAGCCCCCTTCCAGTCCGGACCAGTAGGGATTCGAAACGATCCAGCCATTCGCTCTCTTGTGTCGAGACAGGATGTGTACGTGAGTAGTAGACGTAAAATGCGTTAAAGACGTAGAGATGTATAAAAATAAAACAAAGCGTCAGAAGAATCTCAAAATAGCGGAAAAGCAACATTACTCAAAACTTCAAAATCAAATAACTTTTTCAAATCAAAAGCTATCGAAGTAAATCTTTTTTCGGATAATAGAAGAGAATCTAGACTTTCTAAGCTATATACTATAAATGTGTATCCGCGCGCGCATTTCCAGACGCTGGGCAATAAATTTGAATGACGGTATTAAGGGCTAGGTTCAGCCATGGTCGGCCGTTCGATCGTGAACACAAAGGAAAATGGGTTTTCCCCAGTTTTAGGAAAGCGGAAATATAACGAGTATTTGAATAATGAAAAGGAAATTTGTAAGAGGGCTGGTGAATTAGTTGTTAGGGTAAGGTAAATGAATTATGAAGACATCGTAAATATTCTACTGGACGGTGATGATTTATTTTTCAATACAGTAAGATACGATCTCCTTCATTGCCATACTCTAAGTATCCCTCCGGCCCATAGAAGCGAAATTTTCACATTTCAGTGAAAATGCAGTCGCAGTGGGAGTCCGTTAATAGCCTTCTTGGTCTTAGACTATGATGTCTTTAGTCCTAGAAAGTAGGAAAGGATGGCAAAACTGACCTAGAGTATAAAAACTCAAGCCATCTTCCCTGGAATATTTTAGTCTGTCCTACGCTTTCGTAGAGTACGCATCTCTGACTGAGTCTGGTGAAAAACTAGTACCTACCATTGCTCATTCGATTTTATAAGCTTTGTTTGTTATTCTAATAATTCAGAGTATTACAAAATGGCGGTAAGTGTATAATTAATAAATTATTGTTTTTTCATTACAAAACTTCATTTTTATAAAAACAAATTTTTACAAAATTCTACAAAACTTCATTTTGTATGTAGTCCTAGAGGCAATTATACAATTATAACAATTTACGTTAAATCAGTGTTTGCCATATCACAAATATTTCAGCTTATTAAAGTGTTTGACGATTTATATTTTTGCTGTTCTTTTGTAACATTGTTGAATTAAGATTATCAATATTTTTTACAGTTTTACGAACGACATGGAAAGAAATATTTTGCCGACCAACTAATAGAATCTTTAAGATGTGGTGAAAAACAGACGGTTGTGCATCTAATACAAGATGTTGCGGCAGATGAACTGGTAGACTGTCACCGTGTAACTTTACTACATCTGGCTGCCAAGTACAATAATGCGGAAATAGTAAAGTATTTGATAAATCACGGGTCAGTAATTGACGCCGTCGACGATGGCGAAACGACGCCGCTCATAACAGCCGTGAAGGAAGAGAGCGTCAAAGCAGTGAAAACACTACTGGAGGAAGGTGCAAGTTTCTATCCATCTCAGTTTTACGAAAAGTGTGCACTTAACGTAGCTGTAAAATTGTCGAAAACACCGAGAAGCTTGAAGATATTTAAGCAATTTTTCTACAAAATATCGCTCGATCTCGCCAACGGACATTTCAGCATTAACGAATTGGCGAATAAACTGCGACAAGCCGAGTGTCCTTTATATCGAGCTGTCTTTTTGTACGATCCCGAAGTGACGAAAGCGTTGATCGATTTCGAACCTGACTGCCTTAATTCTCAGGACCCCGATACCGGAAACACTGCGCTACACGAAGCCGCTAATCAATCGGACATTGCAAACATGCTAGTACTCTTGCAAAATGGAGCTAATATCAATATTAAAAATTATAAGGGGAAAGAACCGAGGGTTCTTAAGTTCTGTTACAACATGGAAATATTGAGGCTACTGTTGAAAAGAAATATCGCGTGGGAGGAGTCAGAGAACGACTGCAAAGCTATGAAGCTAAGTTACATTTTATGCAAATGTTCAAAAGCAGGTGTGGAACTATTTTTACAATACTATAATATAAATTTCCTGACGAGAGATAACTACGAGAGGACGCCGTTATATTATTTAATCGAAAACAAGAATACCGATGTATTGGAGTTATTTCAGTACAACGACTTTGACGTGAATGCCCTTGACCGAAGCAATCATTCTGCGTTGCATAACGCTGCGCTTCGCGGCAATTCGATCTGCACTTGCTTTTTATTAGAAAAGGGTGCCGACCCGAATATTCGAAGTGACCGTAACTACACTCCTTTATTTTGTGTCGTCCAGCAGACAAATGGTGATTACAGTTCCAGAAAGAAGTGCATTGAATTTCTCTTGTTATTCGGAGCTGATCCGGAGCATCAGAAAGATGGAGAAACAGTGATCGGTGTGGCTCAACAACTTGGAGTATCCGATTTGATAGAGCCGGTGCTAGCACATTTAGCACTGATGGAGTCTGAAAACAAGTCTATCTCCGAAATAAATCGGACGATAATCGCTTCGTGTGAAACGACAAAAGACTATTACGACTGTTGCTTAATTAGTCTTCTACGTTTGAAACAAGAGAGGCTTTATCGCTCGCTAACAACGTATACGTTTCTTATTTCGGATGATTGCACGCTAGCGCGCTACGTTGATATACCATCTGTTTCAGACCGGTTCTCGAAAGAAGAAATACACTATAATTCATACTACAACGAAATTTTGAAAAGACGCTTTAAGAAAGCTGTTGAGATTCAAAGCTTAAGAAAGTTTGCCATACATCATTTGAGCGATATCTTTGAAATTTGGTCTTCGGACAGTCCCATCCTACAGTCAATAGTCAACTGTTTAAAGTATGAAGAATTGGTGTTATTGCAAGAAGATTGATGCCACAGTAATCACTGTAATCACCATTTTCGGCTTGACGACACAAAATAGAGGAGTGTAGTTATATATTCAATCGAATATTCGGGACGGCACCCTTTTCTAATAAAAAAAAATGATCACGCTTCTGTCAAGAGCATCGCGTCATATTTAAAACGAAGTGCATACACACTGTCAACGATTACGAGTTGTGTTATTCTAAACGATTCTTACATTTTACAGAGTCATTAATTTAAAACGATTGTCTTCGTTGCAAAGTGATTGAAGAACTACCTTAGTAAGTTCAATTTCGAAATTCAGATACTCGGCCCTTTATGTTTCATCAACGTCGTCATTAGCCTCGATGATTTCAGCTAAATCTGTCATATATTTTAAACACGCTTGAACGTCTTTGTCCTCTTATCGTAATTTAATAAATAGTCTTCTGATAGTCCCGTGAACGCCTGATCCAACTAGAAAAAACAATATAATTACTAAAATTCATTGAATGCGTGAATAATTAATAAACTTACGTAGATGGGGTGCCTACTATTGTTTTTCATGTCATAACTGAGATCCAAAGAATCAAGATTTGAGAGAACTGGTACAAATAATGTATATATTATAAAATGCAATTTTTTGTAAATAGCCAATAAAATATGTTCAATATCATCAATCGATTCAATCACAAGAACTATGTTAACTATTCCCATACTTCCATATACACATTCCATCCACTCTAACCCATCGTATAAATATATGCTTACTCTAAATCATAACAATGATGTATACGGTGTGTGTATATCTCGATGATTCAGAAACTTCAACATTGAAAGAAGCGGATTAACGTTTCTCCAAGTTTGTTACAACGATGACAATAAAAGCTAAGATAATGAACGTTGATTCAGCCGACAGCAGCATTTTGAATGTCTTCATTTGAATACTGTTATTGTATTGAACTAGTTATACAGTCACTTTGTAAACTTTACTAACGGAAAATTCGATTGACGCGAATCTTCGTGACGTCCTGATAATTGGTTTCATTGACAATTCGATAATCGGTAATCGATATTTGGATATTTTAATAGTCAAAACTAGTAGTTCTTTTTAAAAATATTCACAAGTTCATATCTGACACAGAATTCGGAGTCACCTTCATCAAATTGTTAATAAAAAATTATTTAACTGACGGTTTGTAAAGAAATACGTAAATATAGGTGTCCTGGATATTTGCTGAGCGGTCCCGTGCGAGTTCAAAAGTCCGACTGACTGTTGGTGAAAAGAGATTATCTTGACTCTCTACAAAGCTCCTGCTATCATATATATCGCAAATTGGCTGTGCATATAGCGCTACCTACGGTGGGCAAGAGCGAAAGACCAAGGCTGTTTTCCATGACCTCACAGCTGAACCTACATACATTTGAGTTGAGGAAAGTCAAGCAGCAGCAAGAAAGAGAACACTCGTGAAAACTCTCGGCCTAAAATTACACTGAAGTTCACCAAAGATGGCATCTCACGAACTAATCTGAAAATTGCTAATGATAATTTTATTTTATTTTTGTACGTTCAGGGCTACTTCCTAAATTATAACTTAAAAATAGTTACAAAATTACATTCAATATTTCAGAATAATTATATTTGAAATATATGCATTATTTATTGATTTTTATAGCTTTATTTAATTGTTTAGCAAGCTGATAATATTTGTCCTATTTATTTATTTTTAAATTAAATTTTCTAATTACCATAGTTCATATTTTATAGCTCGTATTTAATAGTTTTCTTGTTTGTCCGCTAGGCTTCGAATTGAAAAATACATATGTGAAAGGTTATTTACAGTCGCAAATTTTATCAATGTGATTGTAATCATGTTTCTGAAATGTAAAATTAATGGTCGCGGTCCCGACTTGAAGCGTGAATGCTGCAGAAGCGATCTACACGACACTGGATACAATGATTTTTTATGTTAAAGATTTTTAAATCAATTGCATTTTATAAATGTATATAAATCATGGATAAATGGTTCTCATCGCATTTACTTTAATGTTTTTTTTAAATAAAATTTAAAAACAGTTCTGTTTTTTTAACCACGTGATAGTATCACCCTCCATACCATCACCTATCAAATATCTGATCTCATGCACTAGAAAATTATATGCCAAAAGGCAGTAGACCTTGCACGCTCATCACTAAGGACACATAATTTTCTGATCCTCTTTACTTTATTGTTTTGCATTTACGCACTGTATCCTCTAGCTTCCCACCAGCAAGCCTCATACTTCACATTCTATTGGTTTATAACCTCGAGCTTTCTGTCTTTATTTTAAAGCGTGTGTAGCAAATAGATTGAGAGTTATTTATGCATTTATTAATTTATATTTCTTAAGACTGTTGAGTCTGGTGTTAGTGATGGATGACTTGAGGAGATAGCTGATTGGTTTATTTGGGTGATTTTGTAATCTAATACGTATTTTGCGTACGTTTTAATTAATTTTTTTAAATAATAATGGTACCTGTAGATTATAGCGGATGATTTCATTTGAGGTAAACAATGATATGTGTGTGATATTACGTAAGACTTTCGTTTAAAATCTTTCCAAGATTTCAATATTCGAGTTTAAAATGACCTTCCATAGTTAAATGCTATAGATTCATATTGGTTTAAGGACAAATTTATATAGCAGTAGATTGTTTTCTACTGTAAGGCCCAATTTTCTTCCGCTGAGTCAATACGTTAGTGATGTAAAAAATGCTTTATCGTCTGCGTATGTTCATGTCTTGATGGAGCAATTGATTTGGAAACATTGATAGAACTGAGTGTATAACCGGTAACGTGTTGGTCATAAAACATTGTCTTGCGATACTTTTGCTTCTATTAACTGGTATTTCGATATTTTTTTATTTATTTTTACTTAAAAAGTTCTATTTTGTAAATAAGACTTAAGAGTTTCATATGCTTTGGAAAATATTTCTTCAGTTTGTGCGGATGCCAGACTTTATGAAGCACCTGCGTGACATCAAGGAACACGTGTCAACTGTTATTCTTTGAGAGATTTCTTCGCAATAGATACTATTCTGTTTACTTATTCTATCGTGGAATGGTTGCACCTAAAAACAAAATTGATGATCTAGGATAAATATTCTACTAATAATTATTAGGTTAATTCAAGCTAAGATTAATTTTTCATAAATTTTAGAAAGTACTCGTTAAAGATTAATCGGTCTGTATGAAAGTAGTTCATTTTCTTAACCGGATTCATGTATTAAAATAAGCTCTGGTATTTTCCATTAAGAAAGAAAGTAGCGTCGATGAAAGCATTATTAAAAATAATTATGAATTTTATTTTTATCGAGGGTAGTTTTTTGATCAGTTTTCCTGTAATATTTTAAGTTCAGAAGTTTTATTCTTATTAATAGTATTAATTATCTGAAATTCTTCCTTTATTTTAACCGATTCGATTGGTGTGTTGTATTGAACTTCAAGATCTTCAATTAGTGTATTTTCTTGTTCTGTGATTATTCTTCAATGAGGTTTAAATACTGTACGGTAATTTGCGAATGCTGCAGTTTTTTCTTCGTCTATTTTGGCCCTTTTACTACTAGTTTTTCTTATTGGTAGAAAAAATATAGTTGGTTTTTTAAGTCGTTTAGTGACTTTACAAAATGAGTTATCCGTTGTTTCTGTTTAAGCTTTTTCTGCTAATGTGTATTTTTTCTCCATACAACCAGTCTCGAAAATTTGTTTCCGAAAAGTTGTGATGATGGAGTTGCAGAAGAAAAAAAAATTAAATAAAATATTCAATGCAACTCCAACAATTGAAAGCGTCGAGCGACAGTTCCTGAAAAAAACGTGAATTGTCCTCAAAAATTTGTGTCATGACTTCGATTGCGTACGACCAGACGTACCACCGTAGATCAGAAAAATCGTAGACTCTGTTGTCAAGACCTCTTTGCTAAGGTTACGTAGTATGCCCTTTTAAAGAAGGTACAAATGAATATAAGTGGCATGAGAACCATACTGACGAGTGCATTGCGAATCACGAAGGACTGGCCGGAAAAATGGAGGTTGATGCTATTTTGGAAATATTCGGAATATCCTTTAAGTACTATGACGTTTATTATACCGTGTATTTTTACGACGGCGAATCGAAAACTTTTTTGATTAATTTGAAGGCAAATCCTTACGGAGATGATTTTACTGTCGTGAAATATGAGTACATTGGCTATGTACAGAAGCGCATGGGCACTAGACTACAGAATTTGAAAAAGGCTGAAAGGTTAGGCGGGAAAAGAAAACTCACTGACGGATTTATCAATAAGTTATCTAAACATTACAGCTTGGCTATCGGAAGGAACGTTAATTTGGTTGAAAGTATGAAGAACGCAATTATGGCAACGTATTACCATATGTGCTCAACCTATGAAAATTCAATGTACCAATACAGCCCGACTAGAATCGACAGCTGGCATGAGTGGCAATGAGCACAACTTGTCGGGGCAAACGTCTACAAACACCCTCCGCTGGTCCATTCTAATGTGCGAAAACATTTGTTCTCAATCTATGAATATTTATCCAAAGAAGATTTGCTAAAAACATGCTTGGGTGGTCATACGCAAAACGCTAATGACAGCTTCAATGCTCTTATTTGGCGAATCATTCCAAAGCACTTACATTGTGGCCCAAAAATGGTTGAAATAGCTGTATATGTAGCAGGTGTGCTTTTCAATAACGGTTGCATGGGCACTTTAAGGCTAATGAAATACCTTGAATTCAATCTTGGAATGGTAGTTGTCAACTACGCGAAGTTAATGCTGACGAAGAGCGCGTGAAGCGCCAAAACGTCTGCAACCATGAATCCACGAAGTCAGGTACAATGACAAAAAAATTATAGCAGCTAATGAATCGCAATTATACAAAAAAGATGAAGGTATCCTATATGGTGCTAGCATTACTGATTAATTGAGGCCCTCGCCACATATCCGCATACGCGCGCGTACGCGTATATGTGGCGAGGGCCTAAAGCAAATGTATTTATAGCTCCGAGTATTGAAAACCTGCGATTTTTCTATATCGCAAACTTCAATCGTGATTACTTAAAATGAACATTTTCCGAATTTTCGACATTATGGGCAGCAGAACTCAGCGAATTTTCAACATATAAAAAAAACGTCATTTTAAAGATAAAATAAATATCTAGTAGATATAACTATAGATTTCTGTGCAAAAGTATTATTTAATTAGTAATTTGCATGAACAATTAACAAATTCTTTTATTAAATTATATTGTTAAATAATTTTTCCATATTTTATAATTAAATATATTGATAAGTATCTGTCTTATAATAAGCAGAAATTTTTATTTGTATGTTTCAGAAAGAATCAGTAACAAGGATGCTGTCCACAAATTAAGAAAAAAAGTTTATACCTTTGATGCTACATAGCGCGTATGTTTATTAAAATTCTGTCGAAATTTCAAATAAACATATTTTGTAGTTTTGTTTAAAGAAATTCCTAAAATTCATATCGATTTTTTTGTCATTTATATAAAGGAATACTCCATTAAATCATTTGCTACTTCATTAAGATTAATTAATCTTTTTACACGAAAAAGTAACACGAAGGGTGCTCTTACATGGGAGCGGAAAGCAGACAGAGTGGCAGCGGACAGCAGATTCGAGCGGACAAAAAGAGAAAGTTTTGTCCATTAACGAGCAGACGCTCTCCGCTGCGTCCCTAGCTGAAGTTTTACGTGGTGCATCCCTCTTTCCTCTCTCCTCTTATTTATAGCGTCCCTTTCTATTATTCTAAACATGCTATGATTATAATTTTCTCGACAATATTAATTTATGTCGTATATATGTTATATATACACATGTATATACAATATATAAGAAAATTATAATTATAGTATGTTTAAAATAGAAAGGGATGTTATAAATAAGAGAGGGAAGAGGGATGCACCACGTAAGACGCCGGTTAGGGACGCAGCGGAGAGCGTCTGTCCGCTTTTCGCTCTTATGTAATAGCAGCCTAAGCTATTTAAAATTTGGCAGTCACGCCAGCTAGTTGAATGTATGGCACGACAGTTAGTTCAATGTTTGAAATGTATGATAGCCCTTAAAAGGGCTGATTGTGTAAAAAAAAAAGAACATTAACGTTTAAGCACGTTCTCCACGGATGCGTCTAGCCAGTTGAATGTCTTTGGGCATGATGGTAACACGCTTCGCGTGGATGGCACAGAGGTTGGTGTCTTCGAAAAGGCCAACTAAGTAAGCCTCGCTAGCCTCTTGAAGAGCCATTACAGCAGAGCTCTGGAAACGGAGGTCGGTTTTGAAGTCTTGAGCAATTTCACGAACCAAGCGCTGGAAAGGCAACTTGCGGATAAGAAGTTCAGTGCTCTTCTGGTAACGACGGATCTCGCGAAGAGCAACAGTTCCAGGCCTGTATCGATGGGGCTTCTTCACACCACCGGTTGCTGGCGCACTCTTACGAGCAGCCTTCGTGGCAAGCTATTTTCTCGGAGCCTTTCCTCCGGTGGATTTGCGAGCAGTTTGCTTGGTACGCGCCATTGTAGATAATTCCTACTGAGCGTCAAAATCTAACAGATAGTTCTGGCGTTTTTAACGCTCTCTTTTATGCACGAGTGTGAGCAGCTACGTGTGTCCTTATTGGTCGAAAACTTCGTGGTGGGAAACAGTTTGGGCAGCCGTGCTGCAAAAGCCTGCTATTGGCTGACAATTTAATGGTGGGGTTGATACAATTGTGTTCCGAAATCGTTTTGCTAGGAGCATTGCATTTAGAATTTTGAAGCAAAAGAGCTTGGTGGGAGTGATGTTTTAGAAAATGTATAAATATGCGGCAATAAGGCTGTTTCACCATCAGTTCACTGTTTGCTTTCGCGCAGTTAACAATTTAGTACCATATCAAAATGACTGGCCGAGGAAAGGGAGGAAAAGGTCTAGGAAAAGGAGGAGCCAAGCGTCATCGTAAAGTATTACGTGACAACATCCAGGGTATTACGAAACCTGCCATCCGTCGTCTTGCTCGTCGTGGTGGTGTCAAACGTATTTCTGGTTTGATCTACGAAGAAACTCGTGGTGTTCTCAAGGTCTTCCTTGAAAATGTAATCCGTGATGCTGTGACCTACACCGAACACGCCAAGAGGAAGACTGTTACTGCCATGGATGTAGTGTACGCTTTGAAACGTCAAGGCCGTACTCTATACGGTTTTGGCGGTTAAATTATTTGCCATCCTCTTTAATTTTTTAATTCAATCGGCCCTTTTCAGGGCCACCATATTTTCAAACGTAAAACATGCTTCCGTTTTGGATGACTAGAAATAAAAAAATTTAGTAGTACTAGATATTTATTTTTTCATAACTGTTATCCGAATTCAATATTTACCTTTGTCTACAATTATAATTTGAAAAGTTCCGAACTTCGTAACTTTTGCCGACAAAAACCTGTTACAAATTGTAAATTAAATTTTGCTATTATAAAAATATCCAACTTCTATATAAGGCGAATGTTTATATAAATACATATGAAAGTTAATTAGCGCGCATCAACGACAGTGTATCGTTCAAGTATATAAATCCGATGATAAATAAAAAAAGCTTTTACTTTCCATAAAATTTTAATTATTTAAATGTTTTTGTTAACAAATTAATTAATAGAATAATTATGAAACTTGTTTTATTCGTGTCGTATATTCTCGCTCGTATTTTGTATCGCATTTTCTAATTGTTATGTATATATTATGACTAGTACTAGTAACATGACTTTTATATTTTATTTAATAAAATTTACAATAACTTTTTTATTGGCTCATAACAATCGGTAATGTAATCTTGAAAAATTATTCAGTTGCCTTGGTATGTTTTTTGTTATTCGATTTGATACAATTTGATTGTAAAATTATCATTATGTTGATTCATTTTTTAAATAAAGGACCTGATGAGGCTGGAAAACAAACCAGCCAAATGTAAAAAATAAATTAAATTGAGATAGTTTTTGTTATAGTATTTGGGTGTCATTCTCTTGATTCTTTGTTCTATAATTTCGCAAGATTTGATATGACAGAATAATAATATGGTTAATTATTTAATTATGAAACTTAGCTTTAAATTTTTGCGAATTTTTTAATAATATATTCCTAAATTAAAAATAGTTCATCAATTACATTACAAATGTTAATAGCATTAATCATATAAATTTTGATGTTTTTTTTCTATTATAATCGAATAACATTTTTTATCAAGCTGTACTCGCCTGCAATATTTTTTTAAACTCTTTCTAGTTTTTACCTGTGTAGTACTAAATCTCTTCATTTAAAATTCTAAACAAATAACTAAAAAGACGTCAACCTATTAGGCGCATATTAAATGTTTCAATATATTTAAAACATTTTTAAAAAGGTGATAATACAATTTTGCGGCCTTTTTTATATATTAACCAATCATAATTCTTATTTACAAGTTATTCAGCCATAAGTTTATTTTAAAATTAAGTCAATGAAATAAATTACTATCACTCATTTATCTCGCTGTAGTTCATGAGATGCTGAATGATATTTATATTTATTTAAATATCAATTTTTATTTACATGATATTAAACTAAAAAATAAATTTTTTTAGAGACAGTGAAATACTTGTGCAACGTTTAAATGATATAGTGGCCCTGAAAAGGGCCGATTTGAATGGAGTGAGAAACGAAAATTTATGACGAACTCTTTTCCGTCTTTTTAGGCAAGAGAACTGCCTGGATGTTAGGCAAAACACCACCTTGGGCAATAGTAACACCAGAGAGCAATTTGTTTAATTCCTCGTCATTGCGGATAGCCAGCTGAAGATGACGTGGGATGATTCTAGTTTTTTTATTGTCACGAGCAGCATTCCCAGCCAATTCCAAAACTTCAGCAGCTAAGTACTCCATTACAGCAGCGAGATACACTGGAGCACCAGCACCAACGCGCTCAGCATAATTGCCTTTACGAAGAAGACGATGGATACGTCCAACAGGGAATTGAAGTCCAGCGCGAGTTGAACGAGTCTTTGACTTTCCTTTAACTTTGCCACCGCCTTTTCCTCTTCCAGACATCTTTAATGAAAGTTGCTTTACGACTTAAACAGAAATACCAAACGAATGCTTTCGATGCATCAAAACTAGTTCTTTTTATACTGTCGGTTATTACAAGAACGCGCCAGTAGCTATTGGAGTACGACCAATCAGGAACTATCTTTGTGACTTCCCGCCAAAAAAGGCGGTGCTTATAAACCATTTGTTCGGCGTGATTACGCTTCAGACCATAAAAAGAAACGCTAAGCTTGGTCGCACCACTCTCAGCGTTTGGAATACAGTCTGTGTACTACCAAATATTGAAGATGCCTCCTAAAACCAGTGGTAAAGCTGTTAAGAAGTCGGGCAAGGCTCAGAAGAACATCACCAAGGGCGACAAAAAGAAGCGTGGAAAGAAAAGGAAGGAATCCTATGCCATCTACATCTACAAGGTGCTGAAACAAGTTCACCCCGATACCGGTGTGTCCAGCAAGGCTATGAGCATCATGAATAGTTTCGTCAATGACATCTTTGAGCGTATCGCCGCTGAAGCATCTCGTCTGGCTCACTACAATAAGAGATCTACCATCACTTCTCGGGAGATTCAGACTGCTGTTAGGCTTCTGTTGCCTGGTGAACTCGCTAAGCATGCTGTCTCCGAGGGCACCAAAGCTGTTACCAAATACACCAGCTCAAAATAGTTTTTCTTCCTCCCCATTCCGACACATCAATCGGCCCTTCTCAGGGCCATCAATTAATTATAACGTATTTCAAACTTTCACGTCAATCTATTACTATCATATCAAATGAGAATTTACTAGCGTTAATTCAATTAAAGTTGAATGAGAACCGAATTTACTACGCTGTAACGTCGCAGTAGTATACACAAAAACAAAGTACTTATCTCGCAACTCGCAGAAGTTTGGTCGCGTAAAGACCGCATGCTAACATGTATGCCAAGAACCTTTTTCAGAAACTTCTTTCGTTTCGTAAACCGATGTAGTCAGCACAGTACAATGCCTTGCTAGTTTAACCTTTCATATCCCCGGATTATCTTATTTTTCCAAAAATTCAATGTCTTAAATTTTCATTGAATTTTAAAGCAAAGTTATAGATATAATGGTTTGTCTACATTAAAACAAAACCTTATGTATCTCCATACAAATTTTAATATCTTTAAACAATTTTTTTTTCAACTTTAATATTAAAAGAAACAGCAGTATTCTACAACGTTGGCATCCAGTTTCTTATTGCCTTTGAAATATTTTGGAGCAGCTGCTCTGCATCGCCTCCCGCTTTTTTGTAGAAATAAGGCAGCTGACCGACAGTAGAGGGGTTCCAAATGTTCCGTTAAACAGCGAGTATGAGCTCACAGTACAGAGGATATAAATTCCCAAAACTAAACTACTAATAGAATAACCTTTTAAGTTAGAAAAGAACATACATTTAAAAATTCGTGATTATACATTCAAAAGTCAAGGTAACTTTAATTCAATAGAAATTGATTAATTATTATAAAGATAAGCAATATAACAAATAAAATTATTTACGTATCCAGCGGTGCTGCAGCAAGGAGTTGTAATTGAGGATACACGCTTTACCATATATGAATTGTTTTTTGCACTAATGAAAAATATGAAAATATAAAACAGATTGGCAAAATACTTTGAAAAAGTTAAAACTTTGACAGGCACTATATTTGCTCATATTTTTATAACAATAATTAAGTGGTATGTAAAAATCGAATTTTTAATTTTTGACACTTCAGAATTTTTTATAAGCAGTATTAAATGTTGAACAGACAGGTAGACAGCTTAGAGCCTTGGGAGACACCGGTCTTTCGGGTGCAGAGAGAGTTTTACCAACACGATTTGTTGCGGTTGTCCACGATGAATTCCAACACTGAGAAGGTGATGACAAATGCCGTAGAAGTGACGAAAGCTGCGCTGGAAGTTAGAAAAAACGTTTTTGCTAGTGATGAAATTGTTTTGACGAATGAGGATGATATCTTTTTCAGCTACTTTGCTGAGCGTGCTTAACAAGCTGATCGTTCTGTAGCTGAAAGTTTGAACGAACAATGTCTCTTTGAGGGGAAACTTCTTCGTCGGAGGCTAGTCGAATGGTCGAATAATTGAGACTATACTCTGTCACAAACGCTAAGAGCTCGACCAGTTTTGCTATCACAATACTTGCCGAGTCGATGTGTTATACAAACTTCGATCTATCTTGTTTTTAATTTTAATCTCTTTGAATGAAATATGAGTTGATTTATTAAATTAATTAACTTGTTCACGGACCTCATGATTTTGGTTTTTTCTATATTTGCTAAACAAGCGTGATTTCATACCGAGCATACTTTTTAACCCTTATTTATATATCGAAGTTAGATGAATGCTTCGAGTCGTTAAAATGCGTCAACTTGTAAAATGAATAAAAGTATTCGATTCTTAGAGTACAAAGCGCATACGTTTATTAGATAGTCTAAGTAATGTAGTGTAGAAAATACAGAGAAAACTGAAGCTCGCTCATGAAAGATTAAAAAGCTTACAGGTTGTAGTCAAAGCTAATAGAGCCTTCAACATGCACTAAGTCTAAGATAAATTATTTAAGTTTTTCGAAGGATTCTCGCGTTCAACATCCTCCATACGTTGCATTCGTTGCTGAGCAATAGCTTTCAGACGGCCGTAAAATTCCGACCTTGGTGTCACGAGTCTATGGAAGTCTCGGCGATCAAGACGCAGAACTTCGCACACTTCCAAAGCAATCGCAGTAGCCAGACGCTTGTGCTCTGGATAGATCAATGCTGATTCTCCGAAAAACTCACCGTCGCACACGTGATGAATCTGAGAAAATGTTGAGGCGTTTCATTGGCACCAAATAACTATAGAATTGCGATGTCAGTTTACCTCTACTCCCGAGCAATTAACTATAGCAACGGTGCCGGTGACGATGAAGTACATGCATTTTGCGTGCGTGCCGCATTTGTAGATGAGATCATCTTGAAGGAAAATGACTTGTTTGAGAGCACCTATAATGCCGTTCAATAAGCTTCGTGGCACATTATTGAATAAAGGACTCGATTCCAGCACTATTCTGCTACTGTGCTGAGTAATCTCATGTCTTAAGTGACCTAAAATATTTGGATGCATTATCAAATCTGAAGAATGCATCATTTCATGACTTACTTGAAAGTGTCGACGTGATAGCTTTTTCTTTAAACAAGCTTCCTTGAAATCTGTGATCGTAAAAATGTAGCAGTCTTTCTTTCAATTTCTCTGGTAGCTTTTTATGGTTGATGTAATGCCGAACTCCGTGCATTATTGATTGATATTTCAGTTCTGGCTCAACGGACGACTTAACTAGCTGTAAAACTATAACTGAAGAGGCAATTGCACGTGAATGAATTCAGCGATAAAATGCTATCTTGAGCGAGACTCACCGATTGCATAAAAAAAGTACGCCATTCCACATAAAAGAAGAATACATCGAGTAATTTTATCGGGGTAATCTGTAAATTGGAACTCATTATAGCTATAGTTGCACAAATTTCCACCGCCAATGTGCAAACTTGTCATGTAGATCAGCCAGTCGCTTTTTTCTCGTAATTGAGTCTTGAACAAGTGACCTTCAGCTTTCTGTGAAGCAATGACAACATTGTCAAACGAATGGTTTTAGAGGCTCGCGAAAGTAACGAAAGTGAGCGCTTACTTTTAAAGAATTTTTTTTAATGTAAGCATAGATGAATGGAAATGCATATGTGAGACAGGCAGCCCAATGAAAGATCAAAATCGTCATCCAAAATGTCCATATACTAAGCTCGTAAACTCGCGATGCTCCGAAAGCCTATTAATGTTTCAAAATGTATTCTTCATATCTTCTACACCAGGCAGTCTGGACAGTTAATTAATTGATCTGGCATTATGAAAAATAAACAGTACCAGAACTATCTCCTTGATGTAATGCCGTACTGTACATATGCGACAAAATTTCAATAAAGGTAACAATTCCAAAAACAAAAGGTAGATTTGTAGATTAGAGCTTGTGGATTCTTCTACGAAATGTGCTTTATAAAACCATGTATAAGGGATGGACGAGATTAAGTCTGCCACGAAAAAGCTTTTTGCGTAGTGCCTGAAAAGCATCATAATACTGGATCAATAATTTCGATAATGGCAAGCTAACTTTTTCAAGTTTCAAAGTTTAGTTATACCCGAATGAAACATTGTATTAGACTTCTGCAAAAGCTCGTAAAGTACGAGCTATCGAGCTTATCGACCTTGTGATTATTAAAATGCAAGCAAATAGTCAACGCGCGTGCGACAAGGCTCTTTATATGTTTATATGTTTACGATTGTACAATGTGACATACTCGAAGAAACAGAAGGACTTGAAGCTCGAAAGCTCGAACCGGTTAAGAACTTTTAAACAACGTACTTTAATACGAGCAACGGATCGAGAAATATTTCATGACCGTCGCGAGAAACGTATCCCGTGAGAAAATTTAGAAGAATATCTATAAGGCATACGATGTAGCTTGGTGTAAGTACTCTCAAATACTGATCAGTAGATTCTGCTGTGGTTTTGGACAAGCGGTAAAAAGAAATCATGTAGGGTATCATGAAGAACATATAGAGGTAAGTGAATTTCATGATGATATCCCAAACAAATCTGCAAATAGGAGAGAAGACGAGGCAATTATTAAAGGGGGAGATGGAGATATAATTGAAAATAAATAGAAAAGTGTTAACACAACCGAAAGTCACTGCATGGATGAATGAGCCACCAATGACGAGATATGCCGTGACGACGTTTCTCGAAAGCTATTGCCGCTTGGCTGCGCAAGTGAAGTCTCGTCAGAGGATGCTTCGATGAGACCAAAAGAAATTTCTGCAGTCGTCTTTTAAGACGTGCCGAGTATTGTGCATTCGGTGCTAGCCTCGGCAAATGACTGTCTGAGCCTTTGGTTAAGTCACACACGTGCACCACACGCTCGGCTTTCTTCCAATGGAATATGCGTGACAGACACTTTAAAGTCATTATCCTAGCTGCTATCACTTTCACTCTTTTTTATAGTCTTTACTAATTGAACCTATTATAAATGAAATGCATTCGGTTCAATTCATGATTTCATTTACTTTTTTTTAATTATAACTAATTCACGTATTTCTGATTAATTCTATTGTAAATAATGACTTTACATAGATCAACAACATTTATATTAAGTTAAACTAACGATGTAAGATTTATATAATTTTAATTGAAATTTAATTTAATTATCAACTTTAAGTTTTGATTGAGCTTTAAATTTGTTTTCCCGCGTTTTGTGACGTATTCGCGTGTCGTCGTCGGTAATGGCTGGCCTCCCATACGTCCGCACGTGGTGTGCTGTGGCAGCGTGCATCAACACATTCAATACACCGGGCAGACGAATTAGGGTACTGTCTCATGATCATGTTTTATTCATTGCACTAAAAAAACTGATACTTTTGATAAATTGTATGAGTTAACAAAAGTTTTTCAAAGTTTATGAAATTCGAGAAGTATTGTTTATATATTTATGTCAAAGACTCTTAATAAATAAGTTGTTTGTCTGAAGGTAACCTCTAAGATTTTTATTTGTTATTTTCTATATTTCTTAAATTGAATCAAAGTAAATTATTATTTAGCACTATATTTAAAACAATATTTACATAATATATCTCTTTTCAGTTCATATTTCAAAATGGAAGAAATGTTAAAAGACAAGCGCTTTGCTCATATAGCAAAAGATCCCAAATTCAGAAGAATACCTAAAAATGAACGAAAAGTTAAAATAGACAAACGTTTTCAATCCATGTTCAAAGATAAAAAATTTGCAGTAAAATATACAGTGGATAAGAGAGGACGGCCTGTCAATCAATCATCCACAGAAAACTTGAAAAAATATTATGAACTGTCAAGTAGTGAGGATGAATCTGAAAATGAATTATCTGAAAAAAGTAAAGCAGTGAAACAGACATCAAATAAACCAAAGTATTCAGAAAAAGATAAAAAATATATAGAAACGAAACAGACAATTGAAGAAGAAAGTGAAACAGATGATATTATTAGTGAAAACTTTTCTAGTAATGGTAGTTTGCTACTTGTTAAGAAATCTGCAAATAACAGTTCTATAGAACAAAGTGATAAAGATTGTGGTAATGAAATCAATGACATAGAAATTAAGAAAAATGAAGAGCAACTGAAAGTGAAAAGGAAAAATGAAAAAACATTGGATAAAGCAGTTAAGGATAAATTGCATGATTTGAGTGTAGATTACGCAAGAGGAGAAGGCATATTATTAACAGACAGTTCATCTGAGGAAGAAAGTTCTGAATGTGATAATGTTGAAAATGAAATAGAGCATGACTGGGGAGAGTTAGATAAAGATGCTGAGACAACAGAAGAAATTACTTGTAGATTAGCTGCATGTAATATGGACTGGGATAGAATAAGGGCAGTTGATTTGATGGTACTTTTCAATTCTTTTCTGCCTCCAGAAGGAGTAATCAAAAGTGTAACAATATATCCTTCTGAGTTTGGATTACAACGTATGAAAGAGGAAGAAGTTAAGGGACCAACTGAACTAGTTGAATCTCAGGCTGAGAAAAGCGATGAAGACAATGAAAATCTAGACGATGATAATGAAGAAGGTTCATCTTATAGCATGGAAAAGTTAAGAAAATATCAATTAAATCGTCTCAAGTATTATTATGCTGTAATAGATTTTAATTCTGCTAGTACAGCTAATAAAATTTATACTGAATGTGATGGCCTTGAATATGAATCATCATCCACTAAGTTAGATTTGAGATTTATTCCTGATAATATGACATTTGATCAAGAACCTAAAGAATTTTGTGATAAATTACCAGATCTTACAAAATATCAGCCACGAATGTTTACAACCACGGCTCTACAGCAAGTGAAGGTAGATTTAACTTGGGATGAAACTGATACAGGCAGACAAGAAATTATAAAAAAAATCAACTCTAACAATTTGAATGAACTTGAAGATGATGATATTCAAGCTTATCTGGCTGATGAACTTACATGTGCAAGTGATGTTGAGCATGACTCTGAAGATCAAGTTAAAAAACAATTGGAAGAAGTTGATGAAGTAAATGACAATGACAACCCCATAGAAAAATACAAATCATTATTAAGATCTTTGGAAAAAGAGAAGGAAGATAAAAAAAATGAAGTGCATTTAGAATTTTCATGGGGCTTGGAAGATAAAGAAAAAACTGAAAACTTGATTAAACAAGATATTAAGAAAAAGCAAAACAAAGCATTAGGTCAATTTGAACAATTTATTGAAAAACGTAAAGAAAAGAGAAAAGCCAAAAGAGAACAAAGAAAAAATAATTTAAAAGAAGATGCAAATGAGGATTCTGAAAGTGACGAGTCGATTCCTGAAGGAATTGATATGAATGATCCATACTTTGCTGAAGAATTGAAAAACCTCAAACATAAATCAAAGAAAAGAAAAATAAACGCTAAAATAAGTGAATTTGATTCAGATGAAGAAGAGGAAGAGAAAAAACGACAAGTTGAGTTAGAACTTTTGTTAATGGATGATGAGGAGGATAATAAACATCACTTTAGCATGAAAAGAATTGAAGAAGCAGAATCTTTATCAAAATCTAAAAAGAAACGTCTGAGCAAAAGAAAGAAGGATTTGAAAGATGAAGCAAGTAAAGATGATTTTGAAGTTGATGTTAAAGACTCTCGATTTGATGCGTTATATACTTCTCATCATTACAATATTGATCCTGCTGATCCTCATTATCGTAAAACAAAAGGTACTGATGCACTTGTACATGAAAAACTCAAGAGGCGAAAAGAAAATAATTCAATTACAGTATGTATCATTAATTTTCAAATTTGATGATTATTTATTTCCAAACTTGTAATAATGATAATAAACCATTTTTTTACAGGAGTCTTTCCAAAAAGCAGGAAACGAAGATAAAAATAGAAAAAATATTGCAACAAATGCAGAATTAATTAATCTCGTTAAATCTATTAAAAGAAATGCCCAAAATCTTAGCAAGAGTTTAAAATAATTTACTTCGTTGGTTATATTATTATCTGTAAATATAGTTTTACAATGATTGTTGTATCAATCTATTTTTTATCGATTTAAAATACACAATTATTAAAAACATTTAATAAATAGAAAATTTTTTTTTATTCAAATCATCGCGCTACGTACTTAACCTCAAAATATTGACGACTATGGTCAAACTTAGCACTTTTATCACTTAAAAAGCGCTGTGCCGCTGTCCTATATGAGCTGTCATACTATAGCTATAGTTGCTCTAATGCTCTCATCTCAAATAGTACATATAGGTCGAGCACTGGATTCATTTGGCGTCATTTTGTATTATTTGTTACTTTTTGTTTGAAAATAAATACGTACCTTTTGGGATGCTTTACTTGTAACAATATTTTACATGACGTAATATTGGAAGCACATCTATTGCATTTCATAAAGAAGTAAGTGAATCAGACAAATATATTCACAAGCTAAAAAGTACAAAAACAGACGAGTATTGGTTATGAAACAACCAAGACGTTTACAATTTACTAATTGAAGTTGAAATAAACAAACAGTAGATTGTTTTACAAATGGAAACATGGCGTGAAATTTGTTTCTTTCTAATTATCTCAATTTTAGATATAAACATGACTGTTGGACGCGATTTTCAACGATTTAATCGAGAATCATGAAATGGGTTTTTCTGGACTTCTGGCTCTGTAGAAAGAAAAATACGATTATTGCTCAGAATCTTAAGTAAATTGTGATAAGCTAAAAAAAAAAACAAATTTGAATTGTCCTGAGATACAGTAAAGGTTACAAGCAAAATGGATATCAGTGATATTGGTGGTTTGTCATCGGATGTAGCCAGTGAAGACACCCTTGAAAGTGAAATTGATGCTTTATCGAAGATAATTACTGATACTAAAGATGATATTCACAAAATGGACGATAATGATGATGTTTTCAAGTTAGATAATAACGAGATTTCTTTTGCTGATAGTTTGCAGGGACACTCCGCAAAAAGCAATAAATGTGAACTAATATCAGATGACAACATAGCTCTAAGTGATATTTTAGATGGTTCCAGAGAATTAGACAATTTTATTTCTACTTCTAATGTAGACAGTGACTTACAAGAAGTTTTAGGAGGTGTGTCTTATTATTATTATTATTATTATTATTATTATTATTATTATTATTATTATTATTATTATTATTGTTGTTGTTCTTGTTGCTGTTCTTGTTCTTGTACTTGTACTTGTTCTTGTTCTCAGTATTCTTGTTACAACTATACACTTTTTACTCATAAAACTTTTATACTTACAAAGTGATAACTGCACCAGTAATTAGAATTGAAAATTATAAACTTTTAATATTTTTTTCATTTCAGAAACTTTTGAAACCATTGAAGACTCAAATAGTAAAAATAACCAATTAGCCAATGAAACTACTGACCATAAAAATGAGGAAATTTATTTCCCAGCTCAACCATCATGTGTAAATAATGTTACATTATTAAATGAAAGTGACAATAGGCAAAAATCTCCAAGCCATTCACAAGATCAGCCTGTCTTAATACTGGAAGATGAAACCAATCACTCTACGACTAGAAGCGATATGCATCAGCAACTTATAGAAAAAAGTGAAAGCAATTCTGTTGTTAATGAAATGGATCCGACTGACTGCTTATCTGAATTTATGAAGAAAGATGACTCACAGAATGTTTTTAAAGAACAATTCGATGCTGTTGAAGAATCTGATCTTAATAGTCTAGTTACAAAAAGTACAGAGAACAAATCTATAGGTCAGACTAATTTTACTCAAGCACTTCATTTTCCATCTGAAAATTCTGACAATTCAGATGTTATCATCAATAGCAAAGATAACTTGGAAGAGGGGTCAGCAATGGATACAGAAGAACAATATATAAAAAATGAAATTGAAAATTCAAACATTCCAGCAATTGAAGTTATTAATTATGCCAAAGACACTAATATTCATAAAATGAATATTGAAATGTCTATTCTTCACCAAGAAAAAAATACAGAGAAAGATGAAAAAATATATAAATCTGAAGAAATACAAGATTTAAACCAAATAGAGATTACTCAAGTAAATAAAAGTTGTTCTACAAAGGATACTGCACAAGAAATTATTACTAGTGATACTAAAATCCAAGACTCCACTGAAAATTGTCAAATCATTGATGAACAACTTGATAAAGAGGAAAACATTGAAAATAAGGATTTTAAATCTCATCAAAAAGCAAATACTCTTGATAAAAATATACATGTAAAAGATATTAACGAAGATAAAAATGAAAATAGTGTAATATCTGAATGTAATAAGTTAGTCCATGGCAATGAATTCTCTAAAATTGATGAATTGAAAGAAGATAATTCAGCTTATCTAGAAAATGATAGTGTTTCAGAAACAAATTGCAACTTGGAAGATAAAAGTGAAAATATAAAAGACTCTAAAGATATTGATGCAATAAAAGATGTATACAAAAATAATGATGATCAAAATAGTGACAATACAAAAGTCGTTTTGGAAGGCCCTTCAAGTATAAATACAGAAATAAAAATACCAATAATTTCTGAAAAAATAGATACTAATGTTTCACAAAATAATATTGAAAAGGATGAACAACCAATCTTAAGTAAAAATGAACAGGAAACGGATTTTAAATTATCATTAGAGTCGTCAATAGAACTGCAAAATAACAGTTCGTTGATTACACAAGGTGAACCTAAAGATATTGTCATATTAAATTATCCTATATCTGACAGCATTGTCAATGCCGAATCAACAGAAACAAAAGAAAACTTAGATGAAAATAAAATTCCGAACGTAATTCAAGAAAATGTCAGTAGTATTGAACAAGATTTGGACTCTCAAGGATCTATATCCCATATACTGAATGAAGTAGAAAAAGACTTAGATTCAGGCTTGAATAATGTAATAGAAACAAAGGAAGCTGTTACTAAAAATATGAGTAATTTTGACAACTCAGAAGTATTGAATTCATCAAACCAAAATACGTCATCACTAGAAGAAAAATCTCAAGATTCATTATTAATCATTAATTCTATACCGGATCAAATTGACAACAAGAAATTAACATCTAATAGAAAGACACAGGATATAACATTTCAGGATTCGAGTCAGTTATCAGTCCCAATGCAGAGTGATAATTTTATAAACGATCTATACAACACTTGCATGCCAGATCATACAACTGAGTTTGGCAATACAGATATGGAAAGTATTAAAGAGAGCATTGATTTTGAAAATTCAATACCAGTATTAAAAACTGGAGATCAACAACTCTTGGAGACAGATGCATTGGAAGTGGAAAATATTGAAGAAAATAATGATTTAAAAACTGCACAATCTGTATTGGAAATTGAAAATCAACGACCTTTGGAATTAGATGCATTAGTAAATCCAGCATTGAAACTTAATGATCCAAATCTTTTGAAAAAAGATACAGTCGAAATTGAAAATACTGAAAGAAGTACTGAACTTGAAAATTCGAAATCATTAATGGAAATCAAAGAACGAATGGAAAATATTGAACAAAGTAGTGATTTAGAAAAATCAAAGTCAGATATGGAGATTGAAAATCAAGTTATTGAAATGGATACATTAAAGATAACAAATATAGAAGAAAATAATGTTTTAGAAGATCCAAAATCAGCATTAGAAATTAAAGATCAACAACTTTTGACAAGAGATGAATCAGAGAGTACTGCAGAGTTCATACTTGAGGAAACTGAAAAAGTTATTGATGAATCATCAGTTGAAATTTCAGAGTTGGAGTCTGCAGTCAAATTTCTTCAGGAGTCAGAGCAAACCCATGGTTCACAAGTGGAGTCAACTAATGAAGAAAATTCAAGTATATTCGTTTCTGTGGAAGAAAGTGAATGTGGCAATGCTTCCGAGCTAATATCAGATTTATCAGAGGCATCACTCGATCCAATAGCAATATCAGAAGCTGAAATTATATCTGAAGCTGCTAAATTAGAAAACGAACGGAAAGAAAAGCTTGAACTAGAAAAGCTTGAGTTGGAAAAACTTAAAAGTGCAAGTCAAGAAACAGGCGAATTCAAAGATGTTGATGAAAATTTATTAACTAATGTTGAATCTATTGAAAAATCAAACGAATCGTCAGAAACGACTGCAGAAGATATCTTACAGGTAATGCTTGTAACGAAACTTTTATTATCTTAAACTTTGATGATAATTATTTTAATCTTTTTCTAGATTTCGATCAACACAAGGCTAACATCAGAATTCTTACCAAAAACCGGAGTATTAGATGAGCGATACAAGGAGCCCCCAAAAATTGAAATCCCAGAAACATCAAAGCTCGTTGAGTTGCCGAACACCGCTCTATTGATACAAAAGCAGCGACTAGATTCACCTGATAGGCAAACGACAAGTGGAGAGCCAAAAATCAGTGATACACCAACAAAAAAAGATAATAGCGATAAGCAGCAGCCGGAATGCGAGAATGTAGGTTCCCCGAGAATCATTTTGAAAATCGCTAAATCAGCTATAACTGAGTGCTCAGAGCCGCGTTCGCCTAAAAGCCCCAAAGTTCGCTCGTCTGACTCACCGAATCCCGAGGACAGCCTATCCAGTCAGAAACTTGGCAAGATCAAATTGAAACTATCAAAGGGTGGACATCCATCGATTATACCAAGCGGTGATAGTCATCAAGAGGAGACTTGGCACGCTGATTGTACTTCTTCCTCGCTCTCCCCGATGGGTATGAAGATCAAAATCACCAAGTCAGCTGAGTCTTCTGAAGAATCGCAAAAGTTGGAAGAGGTGAATGAGAAACTCGTCCATAAAGTTGATGATTCAAAAAAACCAGAGGCTCCGATTGGTATGAAAATCAAACTATCCAAGACTGGCGATGCATCGATTGTTCAACAAGACAACAAAGAGACTACACAGGTAAGGTACCTTATTCATTTTTATGTATTATTCAAAAATTATATCAAATGCATTTATTTCATTGAATTTATGCTAAGCCGTTAAAAAAGTATTATTCATTTACCTTCGGTTTTCCAGGAAACGACAATGGGTAAAAAGCAAGATTCTCCTTCGCTTGGTATGAAAATTAAGTTGTCCAAAACCGGTGATGCGTCTATCATTCAACAAGACAAATCGGAATACAGCGAAGATGATAGTTCGAGACGTACCGAATCACCAATCGGTATGAAAATAAAACTATCTAAGTCTGGAGATGCCTCGGTAATATCTAGTGATCCACCTGAGTCTGCTAAAGAAAACATCGACGAGCCAATAAAACGTACAGACTCGCCAATAGGAGTAAAGATTAAGTTAGCTAAAAACAAAGGAGGCAGTGCGTCTATCATATCGACGGAGACTGTCGAAGAACTTGGAGACAGTTCAATCGCCAAAGCTGGTTTAGGCATGAAAATAAAGCTATCCAAGAGCGGTGATGCTTCTGTTGTACACACCATTAAAGAAGACATTCATGAATCAATGGAACAACATATTGGTATGAAAATTAAACTTTCAAAAACTGGCGATCCATCAATTATCCCATCGGTATTCTCAAGAGAATATGAAGATATTACTCAAAAATCTAAACACTCGAAACATAAAGATCATGGGTAAGTCTCTTTATTATGCTTTTCCTTTTGACTATCTTTTTCTTAGTCATTTGATTTTTTTATTTTTATAGAATTGCCAGTCAAAGATCCAAAGATGATTCTCATCTAGAAATGAAGATCAAACTCTCCAAGACTGGGCATCCAACTATTATAACACCCACTGATATAAATCCTCTGAAAACATCAACTATTCCAATCGCTAAGTCACAAGCAGATCATACAGATATAATATCATTCAAGCAAAGCCATTCGGATGTAACCATTGAGCCCATCAAAAGTCAGCTAGTTAATAATGCAATGGTAGATTTACACGGCAAGCGAAAAGAAATTACTATAGCTCCGGTTGAATCAAAAAAAACAAAGGTTGATACAACTACAAAACAAATGCTACCTGATATTACTATTCAGCCCATTTCAACGAAGAAAGAGGTCCATCAACAATCGCAAAAATTAGTTTTAGAATCAAACACTGGCAGTATCAGCCGACAACAGATGAGCGTTATCAATCAAGAAATAAGTATTACTCAAGTTAGTCGAATTTATAATAGTAATGTATAAATTTGTTTGGTAACTTTTGTTCATAAAATAAAAAATTTTCAGGTCCGTTCTATACGAGGTGGTCATTCAGTGATGAGCGAGCACCGTAAGAATACTCTTAACGTGCCAACCGAACATTCGGCACCGTCATCCGCCGACTGTGAGATAATCGAGGCACGGCCAGAACTAATAATCGTCAATGAAAACTCGAATTCCAGCCAGGACGTGATGATCATCGAAGAAGTGCCACCTGTGAAGACTCCGAAAAAGCGTGGTCGACCTAGGCGCAATGCACTTCCAGCTGTTTCCACTTTTCCAGGCATGGATCCATCAAGAGATCCATTAAGTTTGGATCAATCAGGAATGCGCGTGCAGATTCCATCACAGTTACAAGTACAGGCAACGATGCTGCAGCAGGTACCACCGCAACATATTATTCCTCCGACTGGAGATGGCTCTGAAAGACCAAGAAGAACTTGCAGAAACCAAAAGAGCTATGCGCCTCCAAAGAGAGGCAGGGGACGAGGTAAACTTACTTTTCTTTGTTTTTATTTTTATATTTATACACGTTATTAACTTTTTATGTCAATTACATGCAATGAAATAGTAGTTTTTATTATTACGTTATACTTTAGTTTTTATTAGTAACTCGTGATGATGTACATCTTCAACAATTTGTATAAACGTTTCTATTAGTTTTCATTACTAATACCTGTAAGCCGTTGAAACGAAAAAACAACAAGTGTCTATAATTGCTTATAAAGTGTTACTAAGATACCGAATAAATGTCAACAAACGACTGGCATCTGCTAAAAAATCAAAGAAATATTCCATTAAATTAACATTTTATGATTCAAAATGTTCAAAACGATATATATTACAATTCTGTCGTCAAGCAAAGATTCTGTCATTACAGGTTATTTGGTAATATCAATTTTAATATTTATATACAGGCCGTGGAAAACGGAAAAATGAAGCAATAGACATTCCTGCAAAAAAGCCACGCGTAGAACAAGAATTCATTGGGATAGAACACAATGCCAAACCTGTAATAACATTAGAGAAATTACCGGTGGATACCAATAGCAGCATGAAAAATTCGCCAGAGCTATTCAGAGCGTTGAATCAACCAATACTCAATCAAATTGCTCAGCAACCTCGCGAAGTCGAGATAATCCCCATGACTGAGTCGGCAAAAGCTTCGTCGGAATGTGAAGTCATGAAAATGTCCGATCGAGTGAGTTTACGCATCAAAGTTTTTAAATACAAGCTTACCAAATGCTTAAAATTACGTGAATCGATTTTACAGAGCACATCAGCAGTACAGGAAGGTGGTATGGAAGTGATTAAAATACCATCTCGTCGTCAAGTGACAAGCATGCATCTGTCCAGTGATTCCCACATGGTACAAGCACCGATACTCGATGACAAGGGTGCTGTGATCATAAAAGTTACAAGAGATGAGCAGGGAAAGCAATCCGATGCCGTAGATAATGGCAAAGAAGCAATTCAGTCCACACAAAATTGGCTCGCGCCATCAATCAAGAAGGTAACAGGGGATGCACTCAGCAGAAACGAAACAATTTCTTCGCTAACTGTCATCGATGAGGAGACTCGAATGAGTGCCGAATCAAGTTCGAGGTCGCAAACTCCTGCGCGTAACATGTCGGCACCAGGTATTATCCGTTTTTATCTATATCCGATTATAATATTTTCATAAAAATATGTAGATTTGAATTTTGTTGTGCACAAATATCGGTATAAAAGTAACGTCTACTTACACCGGCGTCAACAAATTTCTATCAAAAGAAAATAAATTGAAGCGCGCGTTCAAGTTGTCATAAAGTAGGGAGAAAAGTCACTAGTGTGCGACACAAACAGCAGAGCAGCGCATAAAATTAGTAAACCCCAACGGTTTGGTGTATAGCGCAGGTTCGTTCGTCCTAAAAATATCTCATATTTTTAAAGCGATGCGTGTCTATCTCGGGTTAGAGCGTGTAAATAGATCGCGCTGCAACTGAAATAAGCAAGCGAGCAAGTGTAGTGCAGAGAGCAAGGGGAACGTCATGTTTGTAATAAAAAACGATGCCCGTAGGTGTAGTGGATACGCTGGTAAACGAGGAGTCGCAGAACAGCGTGTTGAGCACTGCGACAACCGAGAGCGAGAAGGTGAAACAACCGAAAAATCGGCGCATGGAAATCAGCTTCGATCCCGACGAGGGCCCATTCACTGTCGACAAAATCGCCGAATATGAGTGGCCATCGTCCGACAAAATTAACGAGCTCAAGCCTGTCGGTAGCCGTGGCGAGACTTTCATGATTCAAGAACAAATCTCTCAGTATCTCGGCGTCAAAAGCTTCAAACGCAAGTATCCTGATCTCAAGAGGCGCATGGTTGACATGGAGGAAAGGAACTTTCTCAGGGAAAACGCTCTCGTGAGCGAGTCCATGTGTGATATGGGTTGGTTACCTTTTTATTATCATCATTAAACATTTAAAAAAGACAAGTATCATGACTTACCTTGAGTGCTTACAGGTCTGACGGCGGTTTCAAGCTCAGAGGTGCTTGACATAATGTGTAGCGATTTCCCAGAACAGTACGAAGAGTACCGCAAACATATGCGAGAAAAAGCAGCTAAGGAGCATTCAAAGAAACAAAAGGAGCTGTCGGCAGCAGCCAATGCCGAGCGCAACAGAATCGATCTCGCTGAAATGGCCATGCAGTCAGCCATCTCTTGGAATTCTGGTTTCAATAAAGCGCGCCAAGAGTCGCGCAGATGTAGCCTTGACCTGCAGACTTTCACAATACACATGCCCAGGCGTCCGCCCAAATACGATCCGTTTAGACGAGGAAGTAACTACCCCTGCGCACTTATCACCGGCCAGTACACCGACTATTTCAGAGAGTATAAACCTGCCGAACTTCGGTGCGTTTCCTCATTTTCCAAAAGATGTTTATTTCATTTTAGATAGTAACGTTCTAATGAACCTCTTCATTGTTATCAATATTCTTTTTTAGATATTATCCATTGAACACTGTAGTTTATGGACCTACAAGACCAAACGAGAGAAAGTTCGACAGTCAGTCCGAGGGCTCTCAAAGTGATAGCGACAGCGATTCATCGTCGGACGACTCAAGGTGAATTCACAACTTTTGTGGTTTTCATGCTGGAATGCGTATAAAATTTGAAAGTATTGTATTTTTTTTCTTTCGTCAATATAGCTCAACGTCTAGTGAAGGCACTCAGGATACCGAAGGTTCCCAATCGACGATGGACGAAGTAGATATGGAGCTAACTCTTGATCCATCTATTAAATGTAAAATGTGCTCAAATCATCTAAATAAAAACAATCGACCCGAAACCCTTATAGTGTGCGGCACTTGTAACGGAAATGGTAAGCTTGTTTACGTATTTTTTTTTTTTTTTTATAATATATTCTGTAAAAACTTATCATTGTATATGTTTCTGTTATAGTTCATCCTTCGTGTATTGAATTGACACTGGATATGGTGCCCCACATTAGAGCCTACGCGTGGCAATGCACAGATTGCAAAACATGCGCTCAATGTCACGATCCTGCCGATGAAGATAAAATGCTCTTCTGTGATATGTGTGATAGAGGGTAATCTTAACTTTTTCCGTCAGTATATGTAGGACTAGAACATCTACCTATAGATATGGATCTTTATCGAAATTTTATACTAGGTATCATATTTACTGCGTGGGCCTGAGGAGAGTGCCACAGGGCCGGTGGCATTGCCAAGAATGCGCTGTATGCGCAAACTGCGGATCCAAAGAACCCGGAGGTGCTAATTCAGACAGAAATAGCGTGGCACAATGGCAGCACGAGTTCAAAAAAGGTGACAAAAACACAAGAGTATATGTCTCCACATTCTGCGTTCCTTGTTCAAAGTAAGTATTTTTTGTAATCCTACGTTATTCATCTTTTTTGTCACTCACTAGATGTTGGGATTTCATAGTAATCGAATTAGCAATTCCATGTAGTCTTTCAAACTTCCAATTTTGTAATTAAGTTGTTCATTCCTAACAATAAAAATCTTATTTCTTGTGTTGTTTATGTTAATATAATAATAATTTAATGTCATATAAATGAAAAATATGAGAGATTTCCATGTTTATATGTAGATGGAAATCTACCTACCTTGATTCTAGTTACTATTGAGTCCTATTTCTTAGTATTTAGAATGATACTATTGGATAGGATAATTTTGTTGGTAATATTTGTTGATAAAGTCATGATCTGATAAAAATAACCACTTAATTATTTTTCTTCAGAAATCCACCAAAATAACATTTTAAAAAAGTGTTTAGAAATCGTAGCTCATTTATATTGAATATTTGATTTTGTGTATTTTGCGATGATGATTTTTTCTGCTTACTTTTAATAATTTTACTCTAAATTAAAGCTGAATAAAATACGGTTTCTCCTCAAATAACAACCTAAATCTACTTCATATTCACATGATGCTATTTTATTTATCTATCTTCATCACCTTTATTCCAAACTGCTTAAAGCTTTTATCTATTTCAACATTCAAACCATATTGATTTCCATGGGATTAAATTATTTTTTTATGATTTCATTGGCACAAAGTAGTCTTATTTAACGCACCTTGTGCATAGATTGCTGAATTTTCAAACATGTATTTAATAGAATTTTTAAATGATTCAATAAGTTCATTTAACCATTCAATATTTCATAGTATGTATTCACCTCAAAAGTTTCTTTATTTTATTTAACTCAAGTTCAGTGTAATTGCAATTAGTTTTTAATATTTATATAATTATCACATCTTTGATTAAATCGTTAACTTTCAGATATAAGCTTTCCGCGAAGAAAATAATTACTCGAAAATTGTTGCAGTACCGCAGCACTCTGAATAATTTAATTCTTATACTTCTGAGAATATTTGTTTGCAATTATATCCTTCATATTTATTCCTGATTCTCTTTGATTTAGCTATTTGAAAAGAGAATGTTTCGTTAACAAAAAAAGATCAATATGGTGTGTTATCGTCTCACTAACCCATTAACTCATTTTCACCGTAACAAGGCTCTGGCGAAAAGGTCGCTATTGTCCGCACTGCAGCCGCTGTCATAATGCTACACGACTCGACCAGGAGCCAAATCTTGTGCATTGCGGAGCATGTGACAAATATCTGCACTTGGGTAACGCATTATTTTCATTCACAACCTGATCTCCAATCAATCTGTTAACCTTTTTTCACACTGGTTACTGCAAAGTATATTTTTTAGCTTGATGCATTATTTAATTTACATTTATGAATATGAAAACACTTTGATTAAATAATAACTTTTTTCATTTTGAAAATGTTGATTTTTTCCACATAATAATATAAGGATATAAGAAAAATTATAGGAAAAATACCTTGCAGTATCACATATCTGTAAAATCATAGATCACCTTCACCTGCACTCAACTATCATATCATCATGAACTTAAATACAAAATTTTTACTAAATTTTTAGTACTAATTGAAACTGTTTCATGTGTTTAAAAACCTGAAAAAAATATAATGATCGTAAGTTGTTCGTCAAAGTTACAAAAAGTGTTTTTAATTTTTCCAAAAGAAATGTAGATATACACTCCGTATCCAAACTAAGAACATAAAACTATTACAAAAGTAATTGAAAAATTTTAAAATATCCTATGTATGATTAATTATTTGTGAGCATGCAAAGGGTATTATAAATAAGTAGTTTAGTAAATGAAGATATAATTGATCGAGATTTGAAGTAAATTTTATTTAATAACAAACTGTCATTATCGTTTCAGAATGCGTGGAAACCAAGGGAATGACAATTGACAGGAGAAATTATCTGTGTGAGTTTTGCTCTCCTAATCGACAACATCTCGTAAAACCATTGACGTCAAAAACTTTTAAAACGTAGTCGCATTGGATATTTTACTTTTAAAAGATAAAAAACTAATAATTATGTGTGAGTTTTTACGTTGATTCTTGTACTTTGAGAGAGGGATAATCACAGAGTGATGTACATTTTTTCACAATATGATAGAGGAATTCCTCATGAAAATAACGATGGTATATCAGTGACAAGTATTTTTTTTTTCGCGAATGACCCTGTGGTATCTGTTATTCAACGACGAACACGATTTTGAACTTTTCATTAAATTACATTTATATATGTTTTTAGTTTTTATTGTAAAGAAAATCATTTAAAAGAAATAAATAATCATACTCACGGATTGAAGATATGTATTCAAAAATAAGCAGTATGCTATCATTTTTTTCATTTTATATTAAGTGGATGAACAAGTGTACATTTTAGGCATTTTTTATTAAGGAACTTTGAGATGTTTCAATAAATAACAATAATGAAAATCTATGATACTTGAATTCATTTTCATTCCACAACTGTAGATTGATTTCATATGTGTAATAATTATGCAACCAAATCAATTTTTTCGCGCAGCATGCAACAAAGTATAAATAATAAAATATTTCATTTTGTTAAAAAATATATTCTATTATCTTTATTTTTTGCTTTGATATCATTTCCAAGTATTTCGGTTTTCTTTTTTAGATTTAGATAAAATTATTTATTTAAACCCTATACATATTTATAGTACTCTTGTTAACAATTGTATCACACGAACAGAACCTTTCTGCTTATACAATTGTATACACCCTTTATGGTCGACTTTTTGTTATTTCTTTGACAATCACTCTTGCGATATAGATATCTTTATAAGATTTTCAAATACACTTAACTCGACTTCATCGTGCGCCAACAAGAACAAATTTATCTCTGAGGTATTTAAGCGATTTCATTTGATGTCCGTAACACATTTAAGAGCATTTTCAACTTATTTTCATTATGTACATGGTAAAGAATGAATAGCAAATTTCTCAAAAAAGTTTGTCCAGTATTTCTGTTGGTCTTTCTCTTCCTCTCACTCTCTCAATTATTTTCTTTCACACACGTACTCTTTACAACAACTTACAATTCCACAAAACCACACAATAATGAATTAAAAAAAATCATTGTTTTATTTCTTTCAAACAAAACAGTCGGAGACGCTTTCTTTTTTGTAATAACAAGGTCACTTTTTATTATACATCAGAGTGATGTACTTTAAAATTGTCTCGCTCTCAAGGAAAATGATATAAAGTCAATGTGACATTGATTATAATTCGTTGCTCACGAGCATTAAAAGTACGTGGCGAGTCATCATAAAAGTTCGTACGTTATTAAAATTATTATTTTTCTTTGTGTTTTTTTATATAAATTAGGTAAAGAACACGCAATGAACATTCCTCGCGAGTCGCAGCCGGACACATAAACGATAAAAAAAGTATCGAGCAGAAATGAGTGGCATGTATAACGTTTAAGATATTTTACCTGCCTTTTATGAAGGTTGAATGTCAACTTTCGTGTTGTACAAGTTTATATAGATAAGCAGATCACATTTTTCAGAGCACTTACCACTTACGGGACGGTCTCATGAGGATTGCACACGACCCGTTGACTAGGCAAAAACGTGAAAGAGATATATCTACATATATCGTCGATAAATATCGATCGTAATGTCACCGAACCGTACAGGTAGCCTCACCCACAAACGTAACTTAAAATAGGTAATGATTTTAATATTATTCTAAACTATCATTCAAGTTAATAAAAAGTAAGGCTTGTTCAACTAATTTCAACAACAAACAGAGGTCTTTTCTAAAAAGGTAATCTATATCACATGTACAAAAAACAACAACTTTTTTTGGCGGGTTTCTAATAATCATCACGGTGCACGCACCAACGTATAGTATTGAGTATTGTTCATTTTTTATAGGCCCAGAATGCGTGAAAGTAACTTGCGACTGCCTGTATGGCTTGGTAAGCACGCGACTTATCGATGTTTCCTCCGATAATTGACAAATATCATGAAGAATCGCGGCGCGTGCTTAAAACAGATATACAACGTAGTCTGCTGTCTATTCGTGTCTGATGCCGCAGACTGAGAGGAAGGTGCTAAAGTTGTGCAAGTGCCGCGTGGGTATGATAGTCGTGACAAGATTGCGACCGACCATTTGTTGGAGCGCTTGCTGAATTAAATTCAGATCCGGTAAACTGCCTACCCTGTAGAAGATCCTCAGATTGCACGGCGGATTTTCCACCTGCGAGCCCTTGGTCAATTTGCACACGAAGTATTCGAACGCCTCTACGAGCTCAGCCAACGTCAGCTCGACCGACGAGATGCTGCTCGTCTCAGATGTCAAGTTACCCGTTGAATTGGACGAGCCTGCAAATTATTCATTCAACGTCTCAGTCTTGCATGAATCGGTACTCGTAATTGTACCAGATAATTATGCTATTGTATCGTTAGAAAATAGATAATATTATGTAACTGCCGGGGTCTAATTTTAACGATGAACGTCGAGGCATTCTTGGTTGACTAATTACATCACAATAAACAATATCAAGTCGAAAAAATCTGTCGCAATAGCATAACTCTCTTAACAACCTTAATGAGATAGAGTGATGATAAAGGGAAGACATACTGGTAGACAGGTAGCACACTATTGCCGAGACATTGTTTTCATAGTTCCATCTCCGCCGGATGGCGACCTTGAAGTTGCCGACACACTTGCCTGTTTCCTCATCTACACGTGAAAAGGGACAAAAAAAGTCAAATAAAGGTAAACAAAAGGAAATAGGCATCGCTTGCTTAATAAAAATACGAATGGAATGCGCGCAGAAACGTGCTTCTAGGCGGCGACAATCTAATAAAAGCATACGTGCGATTTGGACGAGGTTGCGTACGACATCTAACAATAGCCTTAACTTACATTCGAATCTATTGTTGTCGCGATGTGCCCAGACACACCACTCGACCTGGGCACCGCGTGGGAGGTTCGACACCACCACATAGTCGACGATGGCGTTGTTCGTGCGTTTTTCCCACTCCTTACGCGCAGCGGGGATGTAGCTTGGGTGGGTCAGGAAGCAGATGCCTTGAACGATGTGCCTCAGCTCAGTGTTTGAGTCCATTGCCTTGACGATACGATTCACGTGTCTTAGCGTTAAACGGCACTGACGCTTTATGTCCGAATCCAAGATCGACATAGTACCTGGTACCAAAGGGATTTGACCGGCCACTGAAATTATATCGCCTACCTATTCCAAAATAACTTGATTTTATTATGTTTATTCCTGAACTTTAATTCTCATATCTTCATATAGTAAGCAAATATTCAAGCGAGAACGTATCTCGAGAAACCTGTTTTGATACCCATAGCGAATGCGAAAAACGTTTGTACAATGTAGAATCAGAATCATATGTGTCTATATATTTATCAACTCAGTTAATCAATAAACGCATATAAGCCGTTTATTTACTTACTCGAATAGCTTGTGAATAAGGTCCGATATTGGCAGGCGCCCAATTACTTATACTTTGAACATGCATCGTATGTCGTTTATGAACAACTTTATCACTTGTCTCATCTTCTTCGACTTTTTTATACGCAAGTGCATCCAAAACTACGTGAAAATTAATAGGAATCTCTGTACACACCCTCACTGGAGGATTAACTTTTGCAAGCTTCGATACATAAACTTCGTTTATTTCCGCGTAACTCGATAAATCTTTTAAAAACATCGTCACAGCAACAAGATCTGTTATTTCTAAATTTTCTTTTTCGACTAGATCTGTAATTTCAACACAAATATTAGTTTAGTACTTTACAACATCAATATTATTTCAGTTACTTACCTGTTAAACTATCTAACGCTTCCGACATTGCAAGCTTAGCATCAGGATTTTTCCCAACAATGCTACCAAACCAGTACCAGCCAGTTTGATTTTTATTAGTACTTGGAACATCAGGGTACTCTTTAGTTTCGCATATTATTTCTGTAAGACTTGACGGACTAAGTTGACCTGGAAATTTGTGGTGTTATATTTATGCAAAAGCTTATGATAATGTGACTCTGCTTTCTTAATAATTTCTTACATGTGTTTGACGTTTGTGAGTCTTTGTTATCCTTCTCCTGTTCATCATTGTCATCTTCAGATAAATTACAACCATCTTGTAAATCTGGTCCAACTATTTCAGAAATGTAATCAAATGGAGTTTTCACCGCCACATTATTCAGTCTTTCTTGTAGTGACATATTTTCTATACCACTCTAAAACATTTTAACGACAAAAATAAGAATTTACGTTTATGATGCGATAGTTATTTTCGGCTGATTTAAAAATTAATCATACATTTTTACTTTGTAAGTGCATCTTCTTGAAATTCAGGTACCCAACTGGTGCAATATCGTCATTTGAGTGCACCACACTTTCATATTCGTCTCTGGAAAAGGATCATTTTTTATGTACAATAATTATATCAATAAATTTTTAAGTAACTTACATTACAATACTTTTAATGTACAAAGGACAATCCAAAGTAAACGTTTCATATTCTCCTCCTTCTCCACATACATTTAGACCATATTTTTCTTTCTGCAGAATAAAAAGCTTATTAGTCATTTTAATTTTAATAATTCATTCTTCAACTTTTTTGTATAGTCTGCATAGTCAACTTGAATGCTTATTTTTACAACAGTTTATTGTAATACCTCTGAGTATTCTCACATCTAAAGCTTTTAAAATAACCTGTTGCTCTAGGTTCTATCATTAAAGTCTCAAATTTGGAGCTTATCCAAAACTCATGTAAGACAACAAGTAGAATTTTCAAAGCTTTCATCAGTCATTAAGACATTTACTTACCATTTTGGCGAGATGTGATTGCATTTCAGAGATAGATTTTCCTAAATGTCTTGCTTCTAAACCTAATGATGCAACTTTTATGATAACAGCATTAACAGAACATTCTACCATTTCCTTTAATAGTTCTTCTTGATCTCGCCTCCATAAATATGACAATGATAATAAACCTAAACGACTACACCTAAAATTAAGTCTTATTTGAAATAAAACTTTTATACTTTATTTTACAATTAGAATTATGTTTGATAAAATGTTCTTACACATTTTCTACTCTTATCCGTTGATAATCACTGAAAATAGCACCAGAAGCCACTGCCTGAATATCCTCTCTGTCCTATAAATGAAAAATTCTTTTAATTTACTTGAGTTGTCCTCAATTTATGTTATATACTAATTAATGACATGTTTATAATCAATTAACCTTGACTTTTTTTAATAATCTGTATAAATCTTCGACTTCGTCATCTGCAGTAGGCAAGTAATGCTTTGCTTGCATTTTTGATCTTCCGAAAGTTGGCTCTCGATACAAAGGTAAACCCATTGCTTCTCCAATAAACTGTATTCCCTGATGACCAACTGTTTGGAACATGTATGAGTCCAACTCATCTAAAAAATATTTGCTTTCATAGTGTATTTATATTAGCTCAATAAATAATATAAGTTTACATCAGTAGGTATTAAATAACACTTTATAAATTTAATTTAATGCTGTCTCAAGATATAAGAATTAATTTATTTTGGAAAGTTTACCTTTCCCAACAGGATATAAATTTGCCAGTGCTACTATTTCATGTCCTGCAGCAACACACTGCATCATATTGAAGGAAGAATCCTTTCCACCACTAATTAATGCGACAACCTTCATTATGACCAATGAATATCCTTTTTTACTTCTCTCACAAGTTTTAAAAATGTCTTGGTCTGACAAATCCAGATGGTAAAAATTTATCTTCACGCACTCATCTATTATATAAGAATAGGAAAACAAAATTTAATTAAAATTTAATATTTATGTTTGCATTTCTGTCACATAGTTTTTGAGCTTTTTCACACTTTGATATACTCTAAGGTTATCATTGACAAACTATAAAATTTATAAACTTAATAATCCTATAAGAAAAACAAAATATCCTTCTATAATAATATTTTTTATTGGCAGTTATATAAGCTACAGGACACAAATAAAAACTGTTATTGCAGATTGAAGCATATAGTGAATGTAGTCACCAATGCTACTTGTAACAATAATTTAATGAGTTTTTCAAAAAAGTATGATTTATATATTGTTCAAAGAAATCTATAAAGCAAATAATAATTAAGGTGTAAAAGCCAACCAAATATACTTTTATGAAGCTCTTAAAAGGCCATGGGTTAAAGTAAACAATGGAAAGGTACATGGTACACATATGTGGTTATTGAGCAAAAACATCTAAACAAATATTTTATTTAAATGAGCATAAAATGACGTATATTACGGAAAACTTGTATACTTATAGTGATGTTATAAATAGAAAAAGATATTCAATTAGCATGGTAATTGTACATTATGTTAGTAAATGAAAAGAGCACGCAATTTACAAAAAAAAAATTTCTGTGTAACCTTTCGATAAGATATGACGGTGCGAGACTTAGCACAAAGTGAATGAAATAGAAAGAAATAAAAACGTTTGGAGATTATGTAGAAGCAAAATAAACGAAGTAAAAAAAATAAGAGGTAGGGAGAGAGGAAGAACGACAGAGCTGAGGCAAGAACGAAATGGTAGAGTGAGCAAATTTATTGGTTATTTTGAGAGACAAACATCACAGCGGACAGAACTGGCAAAGATGAGTGGACAGCGGTATGTGTAAAAAACAGAACAATCAATAGATTGACTCTCGCGGAACGTGATTATTGACAATAAACCAGATATTTACATTGATTTTGTTGAATTGAAGAATATCCCCTGGTTACGCGGCTGTGGCTGCCGATGGCAAAGTCCACTGGCACTTGGCACACTCGCGGCGGCGGCGCGCAAAACGACGTCGACGACCGCGCGCGCGACTTGTCGTAAGCAGATCACTTATCGAAGGCCACCCCTTCAATTGCGCACTCGTTTACACCTCATACGCTTCATAATTCCACGCATTAATGTATAAACAAACGATCACGATCTACCGATTATGATGAAATGCTCTATATTTATGCTCTGTTTTATAAGATCCCGGTCGCTATATATACATATATATATATATATATATAATTATTTTTATAAAGACGTTTCTGCGCGAGTTGTTACGTAGTAATTAACTAAAATTCAAATCCATGCGCGGGCATCATGAACCTATAGTATAGTGTCGGAAACGAGGTATTGTGGTTTGAATATACGTTTAATTTTAAAAAAATGGATTTTTTTAGCGATTGTTACTTAAAAGTTCTGCATTATCATACGATTAAACAAATTGTGTCTTTAAAAAATTAATGAAGTTTCAAACTAAATAAAATTATTTTTTTATGTCACTTAAATTTCTAATCAAAAAATATGTACAAGTCTAATTTACAAATCTTATTCAAGCAGATATCATTTAAAATTTTCAAGATGTTTTTCAAGCCATCTTGAACGTGGATTAATTTTTTTAGCTAGATCTATTATGATCTATTACTACTCTTGTTATTCTCCTCCACTTTGAGTCTCTTGTTCTTTCTTCCAAGCTAGAGCAGCAGCCAAAATCTTAAGGTTTGGACGCTTCTGTTCATCTTCTGGGAATATATACTCAAACACTTCTTCCCATCCATCATCAGTCTGAAAATAAACAATAAAATCTTAATATCCACAAAGTGGTTAATATTTGAAGTACGATAAAATTAAAAGCTAGGTCACTTACCCCATCTTCTGCCATGACTCTCCTTCTTTGTTTAACCCTTCGCGGTATTTTAGCTGCAATCTTAGCGCGATTGTCATCGTCTCCATATTCGTTTTCAAAAGTTCGCCAAGCTTCCAACAATAAAGCTCGACTGTCGGTATCTCCGCACGATTTCAGTGAATCATTTCCTCTCTCGTATATTCTTCTAGCCAAGTCTACACTATTAAGACCCTCTTCTGCGACAGTGTTATTCATTTCAAATCTAGCATACGCTATCCAGACCTAAAAACAATATTTAAAATATTTAAAAAGTAACAAAAAATATTTGTAATAGTAGTGTATTTTGTAATACTATTTTGATACTCTACCTTAACGTGTAACGTTCTTTCAAGTAAACGTTCGTACAATTGCCGTGCTCTCTCAGGTTCTTCTTGTAATATTTCAAAGTCAATATAAGCCTTCCAGATTACTTCTGGCATATCAAGTCTTGGTTGATTTACTGCTAATTCATACAATGCTCTAGCTCTGTCTATGTCTCCTAAATAAACTTCCAATTCTGCAAACTATAAATTAAAATATTGTTTAAGGTATACTTATCGATTGTATACTTTTGAACATTTTCAATTCCTCACTTTCATCCAGGTTGTACAGTTTTCCGGACCGAATGTAAGAAACTTTTCATATAATTTTCTACACCTATCAAATTCACAAAGTTGTAGTTCCAGTTCTATGTAACCGCGATACAGTTTATCTCTTGCACAAATCCCTAATGCCATACCCTATAAAGTATAATAAATTTATTTAAAAATTTTTTGATTTTCTTAGCAATAAATTTAATTTCATTATATATTTACCAGTGTTTTTCTAGCAGTACATAGATTCTTCTGTCTGATTTCAAATTGGGCATAATACAACCATATTTTGGAAAAAGTGAAAACTTTATGAGGTATCAATTCTAAACACATTCTAGAAAATTAAGAACATTGTAATTAAATTGTAGGAGTTTAAATTATATAAAATTGTATAACTTTCTAATACACACTTGTATACTTGACGACATTTTTCTATATCTCTTGCCTCCAATTCTTCAAATAATGCATAGTAAATCCAAAGATAAATATATCTTCTCCAATACTCTTTTTCTTTTGTTGGAGGTACATTGGCTATAGCTCTTTCGTAAATTTCTCTTGTTACATTGACATTCCCTTCAGACTCTACTAATTTAAGATAATCAAACCATGCATCATAATTGGATGGATTTTCATTTATTTCTTCCTCATATTGATATTTTCTTTTACTAACTATTACATCCTCTATACCAGATTTATCACCGTATTTTTTTTCGTGCACTGTGTAAGCTTTATATATTTCAATAGCTTTTTCTTTAGGAATATGATCCAAAGCATATTTATAAATAACTCTAGCTCTATCATGCTAAAATAATTTTTTTGATAAATAAATAGATACTACAAAAATAAAAAATAATAGTACATTACGATACAAGTGCAGGAAAGTAGATTCTTGTCTCGTGTGGCGTTTACGCCCGAGCGAAGCGAGGGTGGAAAGATACACGAGACGAGAAACTCTTTGCCGAACATGTGCCGTACCGTATTTTTTGATACGACGGAGTGTCAAAAAGTATATATACTACTAACCTCACGCTGTCCCTCTTCAAACTTTGCAAATGCAATAATTAATTTATCGCTGATTTCTTCATCCCCAAAAAATGTCACTGCTCTTTCATATACGTTGCGTGAACTGTTAATAAAGCCATGATTCTCTTCAAATTTAGCATATTTTATCCAATGCATAACCTCGGGATGAACTATTACAAAGCGCTCATATATTTTCCTAGCTCTATCTAGTTCCTTATATCTAAGTTCAAAGTTGATGTATGTTTGCCATGCCTGCTCATGCGGCTCCCATTCCATCCATCTTTCAAACACTTGTCTTGCCCCTGCTATATTTTCTAACATTTCTTCCATGTAAGTATATTTGTACCAAAACTGATTGACTCTAGGTAGGATGGTAACAGCTCTGTCCCATAAATTTCTGGCGTGATTGACTTGTCGATTCCTCATTTCCATTTCTGTATATTTCAGCCATAATACTATATTTCTATGATCTACATCCAAAGCTCTTTCATAAATTGACCTGTAAGTCAATATTGCAATTAAGTAATTTGTAACAAAGAATAAATCATAAAAAAACAGTCATTGTATAATCCATATTGTACCTAGCTCTTTCAATTTGCTTTTGACTTTCCTCCCAACGAGCATATTTTATCCAGTTTGCAATAGACATTCGGTTCTTTCTAATGGCATCTTCAAAAGTTTTTCTTTTACGATGTTGGTAATCTGCTAACTCATGTGGATCTGAGATCTTTTGCTTAGGAGGCTACAACATCAAAAAATACATGAATAAATAAAATTTCTATCAAGGAAATATTCACAATAGTAGTGTAAATTTAGATTTACTTACAGGTGGCAAAATTTCTAAATCACGTTCTTTAGCTTCACGCAAAAGTTGTTCCGCAGTAATTTGTATCTCAGCAGGTGCTTTGTTTTTGACCTTTAAGTATAAAAAAATACACATGTAAAATAATGTAATGAAGCAACATATAATTTTATTTTACTCATACTTCCTTAAATTGTTTAACTAAATTTTAATGATAAATATGAATATGCATTAAGATTGTTAGTTAAAAGACGAAGAAAATAACTATCACACAATGAAAAAAACACCATTCGCTAAATTTATCCATAAAATATCAGTGTTTACAAAATTTAAAGGTTAAGTATACTATGTTTACAATCGCCAACACTAATGAATCATAAAGACATAATTCTAATTATAAATACTATACCTTTGCCACTTTAGGCATTTTTTGTGGCTTTTCTTTTTCCATTTTGGATTTCACAAATGTATTTTAGTCGGTTTATAAATTAATGTGATATGTTAACGACACATATGTATATTCGACGATTCGACTGACCGAGCAACCACTAGTGATGGGCGATTTTAATCGATGTTTAATAATCGTCCGACCATTTTCGTACATAATCGATTATCGAGACGATTATTTGAACTACCGATTAATCGTAGCTCGATTCATTTTTACTCGTAATCGAAATCGAAGTAAAATTGTGCGTGCGCGATAAAAATTATTTTGAATTTTTTAGTTACGGAAGATCCACCCCGGTGACATTGAAAAATTAAAGACATTCCATCAATTGGCAGAAATTTTCGTATAATTATGAATAATTATTTCATTTCTAAGTAAAATAGAAAATATTGAATGTAAAATGTATTTAGGCTTTACTATAGGCGTGAGTGTATGAGTAGTTGCCCTAATACAGTCGTTCATTATGAATATATTAATAAGACTGAACGTCATTTGTTTTCTTCTTTATCGCGCGTGCTACACGTGAAACGCAAAAAGTTTTTAATGTGAGGCCCTCGCCACATATGCGCATATGCGCGCGTACGAGGGCGTACAAACGCGTACAAATCGCTAAAAATTTTGATAGTGCCAACAACAGAAAGTTACTACTATTCCTCGCATGCCCCAAACGAACACACTTACTCCCGGAACAAACGTATCATAACCTTCAATAATATAGCGTTATGATACGTTTGTTCCGGGAGTAAGTGTGTTCGTTTGGGGCATGCGAGGAATAGTAGTAACTTTCTGTTGTTGGCACTATCAAAATTTTTAGCGATTTGTACGCGTTTGTTCGCCCTTGTACGCGCGCGTATGCGCATATGTGCCTCAAATTCAATGGATATAAATAATATAACTGATTCTAAAACAATTTTAAAGTGAAAACTATGAAAAATCAATACTACATATCAAACGCTCCGCCGATCGCTAGTAATTATAATCATTAAATGTAAAACACTATAAAAAACATAGGGTTTATGTCTCCTTATATTATAATCTAGGTGAAAGACTAACTACAATATTGTAGATTATCTTCTTAAACTTTGACAAACATCATCAAATACATATTACCAATACTCTTTTATAAATTCAAATTTATTATATAATTTAGTATTCATATAATAAATGCTATTTATTTTTTAAGATGCAAATCAAATAAAAAGATACAATCTTATTTGTCTTAAAATATAAAAATAAGTCTTTATTTCTTTCCAAGAAACTACAGAATTATAAAAAACAGAAAAACCTATCACATCAATCTAAGGTTCAGGCACAAATCTGTGTAAAGCACTTGTTAAAATAAGTAAGGAACTCTGTAGTCCTTGTGGTAAATGCCTTTGGAGCCATGTACCTTTATATTGTTCAATAAGAGCTAACATTTTGTTGGCTATATCAGTTCTAAAAGTGGGTGGTAAATTACTCACACCTAAATTTATAACAGCTAATCCCATATTGCTATTAGGATTAATACCAAGCCCAATAAGAGTTTTACCAATTTTACATGCAGTTAACATTAGATCGGCTGTTAATTGTAATTCTTGTATTTCCATTGGAGCAAATTTTGATGTTGGATTTGCCTCAAATAAAGTGTGAACTACTCGTTTTATTTGTTTCGTTGCTTTCTAAAATAAATAAGCGAAAAAAATCAATTTCATTTGACAAAATGTAAAAGCATTAAAAAAATAATTTTAATGAAAATTATAATTTACCAAAAATAAATCAGTATAAAGATACTCCAAATTAACATTATCTGGATCTGTTAATAATCTATACAAAGTTGAACCTTGATTATCAGGTATTTGCTGAAGATCATTACCACTTTGATTTTTACTTAAAGTTAAAACTTCTGTATCAACTCTACCCAGTTCAAGAATTGCACTGCCAATTTTATATTCCATATCACAAAAAACATGCACATCAAGTATTGTAGTGAGTGACCTATAGATTATAAAAGTTAGATTAAAGAATAGTAATAGTAATAGTTAGAAGTTAATGAATATTAATTTAATACCTTTTATTACTTCTACCTGTTGATTCATGAACATCATAGAAGTTGAAAGATGGTTCAATATCAATTTCAGTATGTGGATTCCAAGATAATCCAGCAGCTATAAGATATCCAACCCAGGCAAAGATATGTGATGTTAAATGATGGCTACCTGACCAATGAGCTACTATAATACCAATAGAATCCTGCTCTTGGGCAGTTTTTATTGCTTTTTTGGTATTTGCATAAGTTGAAGCAGGACATCCTGCTAAACTATTATAACTTGCTGTTCCTGAGCTTGGCAAAATATTTGCACCTGCTACTCTAAAAGCTTCAGTCCATTCAGAAAACTCATAGTCTGCCTGTAAATGTAAATACATAACAATGTAAACGACATAGTATCTTTTGTGAAGAAATGAAGAAAATATTTATTTATATAAATGTTTAGTTTATTGGATACTATTTTTCACCTGGAATCCATATTCAACAAGTATCACATTATTTGGAATACTGTGAAATTCACCTCTAGAGTGTAATCCATTAGAACACAGCATTACTGTAGTATTATTAGTTAAGTTTAAAATATGCCAAAGTTGTTGAAGATTTGAGAATGGCTCAAATACATCGGACATATCTGTTCCAGTGGTTTCATCCACAGACAGAGAATGATCGAGATTACTTGGTTGAACCAATAAGCTAGCCAGTCGTGGACCAATGTGTACATAATTCAAATTTGGAAATGTTGATAAAAGTTCTTGGAACAATGGCCACATTTGTGATAGATGATGTAAGCTCACATTTGAATCAACATCTAATGCTGGCACCAGTTGCAAATGCCTATCTCTGAATTGGTAACAATAGTCGCTCTTATCAAATAAGTTCATTTATTGAAACATTGTTAATAGTAATATAATTGATAATTTACCTGCAGTACCTATCAAGAGTTACCATTTCTGACCTGGAGTAACATAGTTGCCAGTCACAACTGGGTGTTAGTCGAGAGTAAAGATGTATATAAGATAGTTTTAAAAAAGACCAGATATCTATCACACTTAATAAATAATCCAATGTAGGCACTCGGCCTCTTAAAGAAATGTCTAAAAGAATACCTCTATGACTAAATCTTGGTTCATCTTTAATTAATACTGATTCAATTTCAAAAACTTCTGATTGGTTTGAATAATTTTTACTCAATCGTAAAATTTGTATAAACGTGCATATTGCATAATGTAACCCAGATAAACTTCCAGCAGCTACTTTGATTACATTTTGAGATATATGCAATTGATATCCTTCAGATACGTTAAAAAGACTTGGATTAACAATACATTCAATACGTTTTTCACACGAAATTTTCCCAGAGCCTGGTTGCACTTCACCAATTTTTACTTCACATCCTAATTCTAACAAATAAGTTCTGCTGATTTCCCACACATCTAAAATTTTATGTATTGACTCACTACTCTAAAATTCAAGAAATACAAATGTTAATTACTTTAGAGTAAAATTGTTAAAATATTATATAACCTATTATAAAATATATTTTTCTTCATTTAAACTAACTTGAATAATGGAAATTAAAAGTTCTTTGTCAACTATAAATGGAGATGAAATATGTTTAAGCTCAATAATGCACTTTGGTTCTGGCCAAATTAATTCATAAATTCCAGTAGATCCAATAATGGGCTGAATTTTGAGTGGACTTTCACTTCCTGATTCCTTGGAATCTCCTCTAGATATAGAAATGTCATAATGTTCATTAATAGACTTTATAGAAACTGAGGAAAGCATTTGATGTGCATTAGCTGTAATATTTTCTTGTGAAAAATTCGAGTTTTCTATAGAGTCTACAGTGCTGTATTTCCTTTCTTTCAATGGCATGCTCCCTAAATATTTCTCCATTAAGCATTGCAATAAACTATTATTTTGAGAAAGGTCATGAGGAGTCTTTCCGGCAAATTTGCTGAAATGAAACGTCATATTAAAAACTGAACATTTACAGCTAATCAAAATATATAATATTTGAAATACCCCTTTTTGGTTTGAATGAGAAGATTTGCACCATAATTTAAAAGTACTTGACAGATATCCAAATCATTGCGATTTACAGCTTCATGCAATGGTGTTGTACCAGAACAGTTTTCTGCATTAACATGAGCTCCTTTTTCTAAAAAAAAATTTCATTGTTATTATTATACAGTTGTAACAAGAATTATCAAAGAAAGAAAGGCAAGTCACCATTTCTGATGGTATACCTAATAAAAATTGCACTATTTCTTTGTTACCATAACAAGCAGCCCAATGTAAGGGTGTGTTTTTACTTATTTCTGAATCATAAGAATTGACATTTATGCCAACAGATAATAATTGTTGTACTCTTGAAATCCTAAATAATATTTATTATTTATAACAGGTAGTCATTATAAGTCTTAATCTAAAAATAAATATTTTTATCTTACTCAGATGCTGCTGTTGCCCTTAGTAATTCTTCAATAAATATTTGTCTCACTTTATCATTAATGGCTACATCTAATGCACTGCGGCCTTCAATATTTGTTATAGTTGGATCAGCTCCACAATTCAATAGAGTTCTGACTAAATCAACTTGATTGTGCTATTGAAATATAATAATTTATCAATGTTTCCTTTCAGGCTAGATATGTAAAGATGTCTATATTTAAAACTTACTACAGCTGCATATAAAAGTGGTGTTCCTTCTTCAAATAGCAATCCATTTAAAATCTTTTCTTTTGAATTTGCATCAACAATTTCATTATCATTACCTAAAATTGTAACAATAAATGTAAAAACATACAATTAAATAAATTATATTCACTGAATTTAGATTTCTCAAGCTTAACTGTACATCAAAATACAATGATTAATAGCTTTATATATGATTCAATATATTTAAATAAACTGGACATAATGTAATACATCTAAAAAATAAAATGAGTAAACCAAAAGTCAGATTTATATAATCGAACAAAGTATTTTAATTTTGGTTTGGAATATCATTTTGACGTAACCATAAATTTTAATGCTTAAAATTATATTTCTTTTTTATTATTATAGAAACATTAAAATGTCATTAAAATGACAATTTAAAAAAAATGCTTCTAAATTTTTCTTATATAAATCTATATGTGATTCTACGATTTTGTAAACATTTCAAAAACTATAATCCAAAATATAAGAAATTATTGCTAATTAAAGTTAAAATATATGTCGCAATTCAAAACTCACATGCATCTAAAATAGATCTAACAATGTCAGTACGCCCATGTTCAATTGCCTTTCGAAAATTTTCAGAAATTTTTTCTTCCATATTTTTTAAAATACATAAAAATAGAGCAATCGTTTCTCGTTTGGCAGAACACTTGCCCTTTCTACTGCATTTTCTGTTCTTGTCTCTCTTATAGTAGCAGTACTAGCAGTGATATTCAGGCCTGAATTGTGCTGCTCTCTCACCTCAAGCTACATCTTTCCTGAACTATTTGATCTTCTATAACCTTCTCTAATTTACAAAGCCTTGTTATGTGCGTTGTAATGCAATTGGTAAATCTACCTTTATACTTATTAAAAAGAAATCACGTACACATAACTAAATCAAATTAAAAAAATATATATATATATATTTAATATTTTAGCAGTAGGACTAGTTTTCAATGTAATAAATATAAATGCAAATCTAGTTATAAATTAAATAGACTAGGTACAATTTGAAATATGCATTGCTTATATATAAAAAGTCAATAAAAATAATTAGAAATTCCTGGAATATTTGTAAATTGTATCTTGATAAAAAAAGTGGTAATATTGTACATTTTCAAAGTGTTATGTTATGAAAAACATGATTATGACATGGCTTATTTTTGTATATTATTTATGTAATTTTGAAAACATCTACATGTTGATTAATTTTCTTTGCTTTTTGCTCGAATGTCTCGAAAAAGAAATCTTGATTTATTAAATTAAAATCAAATTAGAAATAGTGAAAAACAAGATTGGATAACTACCGAAATGACACGTTAGGTTTTTTCAACGTACATTGTATACAGAAGCTGTTAGAAACGTGAAAAGAACAATACATGAGTAATTTCTGTAGGAGTAAAAAATTTTTCTATAAGAAATACGATCTTTCTTGAGGTCTGATCGCAAAAGTACATTAAATTTCAAAGAAAATCACGTGAAAATGAGAAGATAAGCGATTTCTAAAGATTCTCAGATTAGAACATCGGACGACCGTAGACAAGGCGCTGTGTGACGTCATGCAGCTTGCTCTCATAGCTTAGCTTTTAACAAGGTGGAAATTCAGCGTCCAGAAGCGTCCACACGATTTTTCCGAAAATGGCCGCTATTTGGCAATCATGAATAAATAATTAGCAATGTTCATCTTTAATTATGTTAAATAGAATTTGAGCTTTTGTAAACGCAAATATAGTATCAAACAAATAATAAAAAGCATTAATACATGTTAATATAAATGTTAATATCAACTGGAAATGATATTTAATTTGAAGTCGTTAATAATGAAAAATTAATCTGCAATATATTTATTTACTGTATGATAATATGAAGGAATTAACGATATATTTCCATATGTAATGTAATCAATTGTATTAGTTACTGATCGATTGCGTTAATACGAAACACGTACATTTTCTTTTTATTCGTATAAACCTCATTTCAACCAATTTTATGGTATTAGCCATTGAACAAGCTCTTGAGTCGCTGCGAGATATGTTAACGTTTTTCTTTGTTTAAACAAAACCCAGAGCAATGAGTATTACATATGTATATATGGCGAATGTGTGTGTGCATGTGTGTGTGTGTGTGTGTGTGTGTGTGTGTACATTTACGCAATTTGCATTGATATAATTTTTTCATCCACTTTCGAGAAAGAGTAAAAAAGAAAGGTGCGATGCGCATTGACCGAAGAATTTAGTAAACGGTTTAAGCTCGGGCGAGAACATTTTATAATTTAAGGCTTTTGACGTTTTTATAAATTGTCATTGAAGGAGCATCATGGTAGCAAAATATACTTAGAACATAGAAAGATTTCGCGAAATTTAGCTTTCAACCAATCAGATGTTGGTGCTGAAGCCAACGTTAGTGACGAGTCATACCATACAGAAGCGTGATGCCGATGGTTCGTCGATTCGCCTTAAAATGGCCGAATCGGAATGACGTAAAATTGACGGTCATTACGGACGTTAAAGAAATTGTTAATTTTATTTTGGTTTCAATAACAGCAACATTGTAGGTATTTGCAGTTTGAGTAAGATTTTTATATCTATAAAATTAGTCGATAGATATATAAAAATCGTTTATTGATCAAATTAATATACAATATTCAAGTTTTAGTTGCATTCTCCGATAAAGCTCTGTGAAAGGCAAAAATAATCAGTTAAATTGTTGAAATACCGTCATCATAAAATAAAAAAAACTTTAAAAAATAAAAATTTCGCTAGAAAATCAAACTTTGCGGAGATTGAGGGCGTTGAGGCCAATTGTTAATTAGAGACAGACGAATGAAGCCAATAAATAAAGTGAAAGCAAAGCGGTTTTAGAACGGTCCCGGAAAATCCAGAGCCATCGGAATAGAGCGAAGGAGGAGAGGGGAAGCGGAAGGGGCGAGAGTAGGCAGATACTGCAGGCATCCCCATGCGCTGTCTCACTCTTTCAGACGCCATTGTCTATGTATGAGTGCAACGGTGTGCGCGGCTGTCGCTTGGAACTCCCCCTCTTGCGTCGACTTAGAGCGGCAGTGCGCGCTTGGTACTCTTGGCAGCAGCAGTGCAGTCACTTCTTGTTTAGCAGGTGGAGAGCATATCTGCTGTGTGTGAAAGTGAGAGAGATAGGTAGTCAGTCACTGGCATCGGGCGCGCGCGCTATAGTGCCGCGGTACGGTCGTGCGAAGCACACTACTGCAGACCAAGAGGCGAGTTGAGCGTTTCGGTCGTACAGACGGCGTCGTCGTCCAGGTTACATTGAATACGTACTATTCGCTTGGAAGTTGTCACAAGCGGCACCACTACGGCGGCACTCGTGCACGAGCGCCAGGCGGGCCTGCAGCAGCCGGACAAGAAGCAGCGGGGCCGCCAAGCAGCGCCAGGCAACAATACCAGCAGCAACACCAGCTCGAGCGGCGGCAGGATGGTACTCGCCGAGAAGAACTCTGAAAACGTGAGGAATGGGCGCAGGTCCCAGGGCCCCAGTCCCAACGGACAAACCGAGTCCTCCGAAGACGACGAGTGTGAGTCGACAATCATAAGCTTTCTTTACCCCCTTGCGAAAAAATGCTTTTAAATCTCACTAGATTAATCAAGCTTGCTACTCGTATGTCGTCCCGAGCTTCGTGCTCGCATTTTTTACGATCCGCAGAATATTTCGAAATCAGACTCTATCAAGCTAAAGTGAAAGCACAGCCGCGTGCCCGAGCTTACCGAGCTATCCTTGTTCCGTCTTCGAACGGCGCGCCCCACTTTCTGCCCCATTTTCTTCACGATATTCATGCTGTTGTACTCCTTACCCAGGCATAAGTCCTTTCTGCATTGAAATTCCCATTATTTTTTCTATATTAAGCACCTAGACAAATCTTTTTATTTGCAGTACCAGCGGAAAAAATCCGTGTTGGGAGAGATTATCAGGTTATTGTTCCTGAGCTGGTTCCTGTAAATGGTAATGCTCTTTCGTTATATTAATGTCAGTTCTCTGTTAAATTTCACTAATAGATAACTTATATTTGAAGATCGTAAACTGGACTCGTGTCCTGAGAAAGCATTGCTTGTCTGGTCACCAACAAATGATATTTCAGATCAAAACTGTAAGATTTTTTAACATATGACTTATAAATTCATTGTTTATTGTGTTCTTTTTTTTTAATAAACATCACTATTTCTCTTTCTAGTGGATGAGTACATCATATTGGCTAAGGAAAAATATGGCTACAATGGAGAACAAGCATTGGGAATGCTATTCTGGCATAAACATAATTTGGAAAGAGCTATCCTTGATCTTGCAAATTTTACACCTTTCCCCGATGAATGGACCGTCGAAGACAAGGTTCTTTTTGAACAAGCTTTTCAGTTTCATGGGAAAAGTTTTCACAGAATACGACAAATGGTAAGATTGCAATTGAGTTTTAATCATTTAAAGAATTATTATTGCAATGCTTTTACATATTTCTCACTAGTTGATATTGTTGCTGATGGCATAAAAATTTTTGTTCCATTAGCTTCCTGATAAAACTATTGCTAGCCTTGTTAAATACTACTATAGTTGGAAGAAATCTCGCTCTAAAACTTCACTCATGGACAGGCAAGCAAGAAAGTTGACAAGTGGCAAAGAAGGAGAAAATGGAAGCGAAAATGGAAGTGAACTAGCTTCAAACTCAGAGACCGAATCTGAGGAAAAAGTAAGCTAGCCTCAAGTTTTTAAAATAGTACAAAATCATTTTGCATGCAGACAGAGTGTATGACAAAACATTCGTTCATTTCATATTTTTTCTAATGATTTACATCTGTACGTAACTTTCATTTATCCTATGCATTTTTTATTTAACATCATTTCATTGTCATTAGTTATTGCATTGCATAACATTATCACCAGTAGAATGTAAGAGTATGAATTATACCATATTTTTAAAGATATTTACTAAATATGGACTTCTCTTACATTCTGCATCAAGATTTTTTGAAGGAAGTACTGCTATATTTTATGAATCTATATTATTGACAATATGTATGTACTTAATTTCTGTATGGCATTTACTTCCTTTAAAAAATTGATTTCTACATACATGGTTAACTGGATTGGCCAAATATACTCTTATCAAAATTTTTTTAATTGCAAATGGGACGAGTTTCCAAAAATGTATCCACACTGCAATTTGTTATGAAATTGTCCATGCACAAGGTTTTAGAGTTTATTGTAAAAGGCAAAATTGAATTAGGTTCTGTTTTGTTGAAATTATGTTAATAACATAAATTGGTTAAAGTTTATACAAGCTATACCAATAAAATCTTAAAATTCATTCATATAATTTCATTGTAAATTTTCAAAACATACTGGAAATAACAATATAATAAAAATCATTCAGGTTGCTAATATAAGCTGCAAATATAAATATTGATATTTTTTTATTATTCAATGTGTATCGACTGTACATAGAAATAAAAATTTGATGTCTTTTTCAAAGTACTTTGTGAACTACAAATAATTGAATTCAAATTTCAATGTAGCATTGAATAAGTTTTGATGTACAAGTAGTGTAGTCAATATTTTTGATGTGTTAATAAGATTAGTATTACAAATTTACGAAATCAATGTATACTGCTAGCCTTTAAAAAGATGTATCACACAAATGCTTAGATGAAAAAGATTTTATACTTTTAGAAATAAAAAGCAATTTGGAAAAAATTAACATCTGAATGATTTTTATTCTACATCTTCCCTTGATCATTTGTCGATGTTAGATGTCAGAATTGCACATTTTTAATTTTCTCATGAAAAGTCTATTTGTTTTTTCCTCATCTGCAACACACACTTTGTCAATATAAAAGCTTTGATTTACAAAGAGAAAAAAAGTTTGGGTATGGAACGTTCCAGAAATGGACGATCCACCGCGGAATTCGTCGTGGAAAGAACCAGGGTTCGCCAGGCGACGACGCCAGGGCTTCGTCCGACTCGGAAAACTTTCCTCAGGTTCAGGTATCTCAGACTAGGCCTCATCATACCAAAACGAAAATACTACTCTTGCGTAGTCATTATTACTTTTACTTTATTTCTTTATGGACATGCTTGGCCACGTTCTTCAGTATTAACACTTCAACACCACACATACTCGTACCAACGATTCCATGCACCAGATCAAAATTCAACCCTGAAAAAGTAGTTGTTTATATCAAACTGAAACCCTTTTCCGTTTTCAAACACGCCGCACACATCTCCAAAACTTACTCAGCTTAGAGTGCACTCCTGTAAATAATTTCTGAATGAAATACTGAGTGACAGTTAATTCAAGCGAGCGAATTATTTGGCACCTTTTCCTGCCTACTTGTGAAATAACGTTTGATCTCATGAGATTCGCGCTTAACTTTTCTTTCAACTATTCTTGCATTGTCATGATTATTTTACGTACGAAAAGCTGTCAGATAGTAATTATAGAATTCAATTCAGTAAGAGAACCGAATGACTATTTGTGTAGCATCCAACGATCCTTGGGTGAGTAAAGCAATCTGCAAAAGTGCTCATACCCACGTATGTACATTCGAGCTGTTGTAAGTTACACGATAAAAAAAATCCCTTTCGAAGCAAAGAATCAACTGATTCGTTGACTTACGCAATTAAATGAAAGCGTAGGATGAGACGTATATAGTCGGGTAATTATAAACGAGTGTTGGATTTAATGATTGGGGGAGGGGGTTGGCTAATTAACGCAGAAGTTGAAATTCGCTCGTTATATGTTGTAGGGCTCGTGTAGCAACTGCGGCGTTGCTTGTCATAGCGTGCGTGCTACGCCGAAGGGACACACGTGTTATAGCTGCTACCTGCATTGGAGGTCAGTGGACACACCTATGTATTTTCATTCTCCATTTCAATAAAATCGGTACTGCGATTCGGGGCGCTCGAGTTGCACGTAGACAGATATTAAATTAGATCATTGGTGTGGCTCCAGCCCCCTAATCGCAATCATAAGAATAAATAAACAGAAAAGAAAAAAAATACAAATCCGAGATAGCGCAAGAGGTCGAAAGATAAATGTACATTTGTGACAGGCGCACGGGGGTAACCCGACCGCTGAGCTCGATGCCGGGGCGTTCGAACAAGCGCAAGCCTCCACGCGGACTGGTCGTCAATCACGACGACCTGGCCGCATTGGCCGGACAGCCCGGCCCGGCCAACCAGATCCTGCAAGCTATTGACACTGAAATCGTTAGTCTCAAGCGACAAGTACGTTATTAATTGTATTCTCTTATCTTCCACACACAGTCGTCAAATATATACCTTTGCAAACTCGAATGAACCAAATTTACACATCGTGTGGATACATTTTTCTTACTTTGACAACAGCTGTGCTTTTATTTGCTATGCCTCTGTACGGCGCTGGATGGATGTTCTTTTTGCTTGTTTTTTTTTAAATCTAGCTGTTCAACTAATTGTTAAAACTCTTAGATCTATTTTTCTCTTTTCAATTGACATTTCTCATGTCTCTGAATGTTAGCAAGTAATTCAAAAAATCAAAGCCTCACGAAGAAGTTGACAATACTCTTGTTCATTCGCAGATTCAGACGAATAAGCAGCAAGTGAGCGCACTCAAGCGCAAGACAACTGACGGCATCGATGAGTTGCGACCAAGTGAGAATGTCAATCGTATATCGTCGCGCTGGACTAACGACGAGCTGATGCTGGCAGTACAAGGAGTACGCAAGTACGGCAAAGACTTCTCGGCCATCGCCGAGGTGATCGGTACCAAGACCGAGGTGCATCTGCGCTCTTTCTTCATTAATTACCGGCGAAGGTACAATCTCGACATTGTATTGAAAGAGTACGAGGCGGAAAACGGCCCGATACCTATGGACGACGATAAGGACGACAAAGTAGGCTCATCAAGGCATAATAATAAGAGTTCATCGACAAACAACTAATGTTTCTCATTTCCTTCTTATCTCGTTGCAGATGGAGGTCGACCCACCAACAAACTCGGAAACAGCTGAAGCTTCACAAAAAACAAAACCGACAGCCACAAGTACAAATCAAACGTCGGCCAAATAACACACGAGTATTCTTAATGTGGCGAAACGTATTAAGCAAAATTAGTTTAATTATTCTTCAAGCTACATCGTGAGGCTCTATCGTCAGGATACGCACATTTTATATTGAAATGGCCGTTACGTTTGTTTGTCTATCCTGCATCCAGATAGCACAGAAATTTTGCAAGCTTCCAAATCTAAGATTTTTAAAGTATATCAAAATTATAAGTATTTCATCTAAATTTCACAATGTAAACGTGCGTGAGTGCCATGCCTTAGACTTCATTAGATTGGCTTGAAAAATGTAGGATTTTTTTACACATTTTTGTTTTTTTACCTGAGATTGTTAACAATCGAAAAAGTTGAGATTTACAAGTGTTCTAAATATGAGTAAGATTTTTTTCCTGCATGTTTATGACGATGAACAAATTTTTCAATTATCCGAATGTACATATTAATGACGTTTTATTTAAGATAAAAATAGGGATAAATGGTTGCAACAAAAAGTTTTTTAAAATTTGTTAATTTAATTGATGATATAAGACTTACAATTTTTCACGATTTCTAGTGTAAATGCAGAAGTCTAATGTTCTCTCGGCAAGTTCAGTTATTAGATAAACTTATTACCAACGAGAAACAGACTTCCACTTGTTTTTTAGTGATAAAGTGAATTTATACGTTGTCCTAGTATACATACTTTGTGTACATATATACGCGCGCCCAGACTAAATGTCGCACTGATATGCTATGTGTGTATGTGCATCAATTCGTTTCATAACTGCGGAGTTTTCACACAGAATGATACTATTTTATTGTTCATCTCACTGGCGAAGCATTATCGTTCGCAAACACTATGTATATTATCAACGTTAAAAATAGTCAAACTCTCAAGCAGAGTAATTTATAGCGTTCGGAAACAAATAAAATTTAGAATAATCTCCATCACCTGCAACTTCTATGAAAATAGTATCGAATCACTTATTCGATACAATTCTAATGTTTTAAACTCTTAATGCTCTTAGTATTTTAATAATTTTGCATATGACGAACAAATCAATACATTAAATTTTGTTTATTTTATGTAAAAAATTATGAGCAAAATAATTATACATTTTGAAAAAGTATCTCGATAACAATCACTGAAAACTATTTTTAATGTCCTGGAGTATGTACAGGAACATCATGGTATCGTCACGTGCTGAACCGAATCACTATTGGATCATCTATTAATTATTTTTGGAAAATATTGATTTTTAACTATCAAAAACTCCATTAGCATACACGTAGAGTTAGTTTAATCATAAGCTACGGCGGTATATAATATTTTTTATTTGATGTTACAATTGAAATGTACAGCATAAAATTCGTATCGTTATCATATGTAAAGAAACTTTCGTATAAGAAAATTTATTTTAAGATAATTGCATTTACGTTCAATGCTAAATTGTAACATTTCAATGCATAATACGTAGTTCAAATTTTGTTTATGTCAAGTAATTTTATACTTTTCTACGTTCATCATATAATATAAATAATTCAATACTAGAAATGTGCGTTATAAAATGCCATTATATATTGGAAAATTCACAATTTTCCATCTATTTTAACGTATCGATTTATGTTCATAAGCGTTTTATCTTACTCAAAATTACAACAAAATTGCTTCTACAAATTTATCTTAATAAACAAATGTTTACTTAGATTTTTTAGTTTCTTCATACTACAGCAATACATGCATTGTACATTATACATAATTTTTAATTTAAATGATATGAATTGCTGAAGATATGGTATATGTGTTATGCAGTTCAAACACCAATTAGACTCAAATTGTGAATATTGTCTATACTTTTGAAATGAAACCAAACCAATAGTATTAGTGATTTAAATTAAACTAGAAAAAACGTTCACGCTTCATGTTTTATTAGTGATAAATTAATGGCAGCTTATTAACGATACCAAGTATATGTATTCCCAGTCCTAACTTTTCAAACCGTATGCTACATTTTCTCATCCCTAAACAAACGAGTATACGAATAATTATAACAAAGTATTGGAAAACAATTTTAATTTTGAAAAATATATCTAATTGTGTACAGAGAAGTTCAACTATCAGAACGTGAGTGCAGGATATTTTTTTGGTTTGAGAACTTATTGAAAATTATATTATATTGAAAGCAGCTACAAACATCACATGTAAATCAATAAATCATGCATTTTAATGAATTGTTGAGTCTAATTAGAAAAGTTAATGCAAAATCTGTAAAAGCAGTCATTTTCCATATCTTATGGCTGACATGTTTGATCAGTGCTTCATTACATGTGAATTGAAAAAAAACAAACTAGTTTTAAAAATTGTTCAATGAGTTATACATATATTTTTTAATAAGTGAAATATAACAAATATTATTACACTATACTGCTGTTTTCAATTATTGGCTGAAACTTAAACAGTTAATTGTATAAATTATACAATTGTATAGCGTTTATTTATGATAATAATAAATTCAAACATAATAAAAATGATTTGATCATTTTATTGTAGAATACCGTTCATTTACAATTTTTAATTTATTAGCTAGATACTCTTCATCCCTAATGCTCAAAATATGTACTAGATTATCAGTATGGATATTCATTTTTGTTAACAAATTACGCTTAGTATCAAATATATTATCAATAATAATTTCATAAAATACATCTTTGTTACAAATTGTTTTGACAAATTTTTGCTTTATAAAAAATACGATGTAGTTTATGATTTTTGACTCTTCTCTGTAAGGAGATACATTATTATCGTCGAAAGGATTCGTTATATCAAAAGTACTCGAACGCTGTTGCACAGTAGACAAATATTTCCCAAAAAATTTGTTAATCTCAATATCACAGAGCTCACCGATTATAGTTTTTTCTGACACAATGTTTTCCAATATTACAAAATATATAATTTGATCAAAAATTCTCCTAGTTCTCAATTTACAAGTTAAAATGACATCGAGAACGCTACTTCGAATCATCTCTCTTATATTAAAAACCTCATCTTTCATAGCAACTAGTGAAACTAACAAAGGCATTACTCTACATTTGGTATTCAACTGATCAAAGTTACAAAGCAAAAGTTCTAGTCCCTTGGCAATTAGCTGTCTCGTAACTTCAGGATAATTGAAATAGTTAGACAGTACAACTTTTTCGTTTGTGATAGATGAAACGAAATCTTCGAAAAGATCGTATGTTTCGGATCCTCTCATCGACATGACATGAATAAATAACAGTAACTCCGATAAATGAATCGTTCGAGTATATGTATTCTCTAATTTCGACGCGAATATTTTCAGTCTAGATATGTCCATATATTTAAAATGAAAGGTTTGATTTTTAAATGTACATTTAATCGATTCGTTTGTATAAATATTTATTGCTTCAAGAAAAACTGGGTGAACCTTTTCAAAATTATTTATCGCGAAATTGACACAAATCATGAGCAAATTGCGTTTATGACGTGGAGCGTACTTTAAAAAATTTATGCCGAAATCTATGCATTTTGCTTCCAATATAGTTTTTATTTCCGCGCCAACAATATTACAAGAAATGTATTCCACAAAGAGTTGCATCAACTCGTCGATGAATTCGAAAAATCCCGGTCGATTTTTGTCAAATATGGTATCAAAATTATTCTTCTTTTTTGAATCAATACTATAATTTTCTTCAAGTACAAGTTTAAATTGACGCGACATTCTTAAGAGTTGAGCTTCGACAGTGTAACAAAGTTTCTTTTGCTGAATAAACATCGCTCGTCGAGTCCAAAAGGTCCAAAGTGCTTCGATTTTCGCGTGGGTCTCCAATTTTTTTCTCACCTCACTTAACGATTTCATTTTGGCATGTTTCACTACTACACTCTGTACTTCGTCATTTTGCTTGTCAAATAAATACTGTAAAGCAGTCAAATAGCCATTCAGTCGATTAAAGTTGCTTGTAGATGCGATTTGACTCTTTAATTGATCGATTTCTTGCTCTATACTCGACAAACCAACAAGTGCGGTATAGGACTTTGCGGCCAAGTTTCGAACATGCGATATAGGACTGCTCATGTAAAATTGCAAGCAGTTCCTGATCTGCTTAACGTAAAGTTCCGACGCTCTATCGACAAGTTCGCAGCCACTAAAGAACATCATTGACAACAAGGACAAAATATGAATGATGTTCTTGCTGACTTGCCATTTGACATACTTTGCGCCGATTGGCTGACAACAAGCTTGTAAGTTCAGTAATATGTGAGCAGCTAGTTGAGGAAAATGCGTTGCGAAGTAATTTATCGAATAACCATACCCAAAATCCACGGATTTGGCGCCGATATTTTGACCAACAAGTCTTGAGACTATTGCTCCAAACAGCTGAACACTAGCGTTTCTGTAAATAAAAAGTATCAGTGAACTATTGGTCTTCTGCATAATTTTTCATAAATACATACCGAATTGTAAATACCCGAGATGGTATGTATTCGAAACAAGTTAAACAAATATTCTCAACATAGGAGCTCATTTGTGGTTGGAGCTGTTTATCCGCCACAAGAGTCTTTAAAAAGTGGAGATGCATAGCACAGGGATCGTCGTAATTGCTAGATTCTCTTTGCTCGACTTTGATCAGAGCTGAATCTCGTAATTTTTGCATTAGAAAATTCACAGCATAATGAAGTAGTGGTCTATCAGCTCTCGTATCGCTGGCTATAAGCTTGTGAAATAAAATTGTCAATCCAGCTCCCCTTCGCGTTAGATTTATACTCGACGAAAAATCATTGTTGAGCAGTTTTTTCAATTGATCCAGGAGTAGCTCTGCGTGCTGTTGATCTTTACTCAGATGCCTTTTTCAGTTAATAAATACAACAAATAAATGTTTTTCTGAAAAAAATGATCTATCAATAAAAAGATAATGTACCTGGTTAAGTTAGCCATAGATGCACCAGCTGATTCAATAACTCCTTTGTGACGACATTTCAATGATACCGTTACAATAAGTTCAGTGGCTCGGACAATCATTGACTTTGTCGCGAGTTCACTTTTCGCTATTTCAACTAATAGTTCACAAAGTACCTGAAAAACGCGTCGTGAACAATATTGATTTTTCCACTCAAATTATTCTGGAAAGCATGCTATTAGTTATTACCTTTAATGATCTCCAAATACACGTGATAACTATTTGTTGGGCAGGGGATAAGACTAATTCATCATATTCATAATTTATCTCGCTACCTTTTACTGCTTCATCGATAGCTAAACCCATTTCTTGAAAAGACGATGAATATTCTGCAATTTGATTGGTAACTTATGAAATTGAAATAATGTGACTTTTATTTAGACTTACCTGGATTTGAAGATTTGGAGGAAAATGCAAGCAGGAAATAATTTGTAGCATCTTCGCATAAAGTCATCACTTCTTTTAAAAACGTTTCAGTCATGAGCTGACGTTCTGGCCCATTAACGAAACCAGTCATCACTATAGCTGTGACAACTCCATAAAAAGGTGTGTTTTTGGTAGCCGCTTTCAAGACATCATGTTTCACTTGTATTAGTTGATGCACTGCTTCTCTGTACAAGAATCTCACGTAAGACGGACTTTCCTTTATCAGAGACTGAATTTTCATGTTAATCTTGGGTTTCAGATTCGTTTTATTGGCTGAATTCAAAACGAACCATTTTGTTAAAACTTTGAATAAATATGCTCCGCTGGCGGTTTCGAAAAATTTGCAAGAGTTACATTTATTCAATGCTGTTATGAAAATATCCTAAAAGAAACATTCGGGCCATTAAAGTACCACGAAATAAAAAATTTGATAACTTAATAAAGTTATACTTACACTCTTTTCTGCATCAGACAGTATATTGGGCTCAAAATAATCAATTATAATAGAAGATGAAATCTCTTGTATATCGTTAGCTGGATCCAGTATTAGCTTGAATAAAAGAACAATACTTTCTTTATTATGAAACTTCCATTTTCCAAGATCTGTCATTTCCTTTCGCAACACGGGACTGTACTTCATTGCCTCCTTGAAATTTGGATTTTTGGATAGTATACCATTAGCCACATTATCGCTGCACAACAACTGTAAGGTGATCTTGTATAAATGCAATCCGAAAATCTTTCGCTGATAACAAGAGCCTATTTCAAAACAGTCCAACAAAAATTCGTGAAACCAGTCTAGGAAACGAACAAGATCTTTCGAATCCTTTTGGACTGACGATCGCTTAAGAAAATTACTCAGGAAAATTTTGAAGTAGTTGAAGCTACCTTCCCTGAGGTAAGTTGTGTCAGCAATTGCATTAAAGTATAAAAAATGTTTTATCGCATTCACAGAATTAAAATACTGATCGTTGGATGAGATTCCTACTTCGTGACAATGTGCAGCAAAAGCGTTCAATCTTACAAACTCATCTTCATGATCCAAAAGTACTTGATTGTCGTAAGTAATTGGCAACGTTACTACATACTTTTTGGCGATTCGTAATAAATGCGATTTATACAGAATGCAATCGTCGTCGCAACATTCCGCAAGAAAAGGTACAATGTCACGATGTCGTTTTATTACAGGCTCGAGCCAGCATTTGCATAGAGTTTGTAGTGTGGCATACTTCTTCCTAAAACAAAAAAACATCATTAATATTTTATTCATAAGAATCTTATAAAAAACATCGCTTTCAATTCTGTTTTTTGAACAGTCCATTTGTTCAAAACAATTATTTCTTACTCTGTTTCCCAAGTGATGACGAAATTCTTTACATGAGCTCCAAAAGTAGCCTGCCAAACATCTTTTGTCAATTTGTTGCAAATAATTGTGTAGACTTTGCTACTTGCGCTACTGAGATGATTGAGAGTTAAACTATTATAAAGTGCCGATATAAATTGTGAGTCAGTCATCAGATTGATGTCTTCGAGTCCACTACAAATTGCAGCCAATATCGTATACTTCGTAACGTGGCACCAAGATATATTTTCGACGCAACTAGAGAACAAAAATTGCAAAAAACCATCGTATTTGTTCTTCATGACGTCCAAGTAGGCCGCAAAAAGTCCTACCACGTTGGCCTTGCAAATAGAGTTATCCCAATTCGAGAAAATGACAGATTCCAACTGCCCTTCCAACTCGAATGAGTTTCCCGACCACAAGTGGGTTTTTGACGATCTTTGCATCCACGACTGCATGATCTTGAAAGCGAAATAAGTGTACCCTGTGTACCTAATACAATGAGGATAAGCTATTTCAAATATAATTTTGTAAATCTCCTTGGAGCTTTTTGTACTGTCTCCCACTTGTAAAAGTCCACTGCAAATTATCAATTTGAATAAATCAACATTGTACACTTCGTACAGTCGGTTGTATTTGGTTATTTGATTTTTCTCCAATTTGAAATAATTGTACAGTTCATTTTCGAATTCAGTTGTTGAGGAAACAGCTTTTTCAAGTGATAGAAATGCATTGGATGTCAATAATATTGCATCGTTGCCGATTTCCGTATTCGAACAAAGCAAGCTAAATAAATCGACAAGCGTTGGCCGCCAGTTCGTTGCATCGCTTTTTTTTATTTTCGGATTTTTTCCACTTGTTAGACTTATAATTTCCTATAATTAATATTAATATTTTAAACAAATAATAATAAGAATAATATACATAAAGTAAGTAAAAAAATGTTTAATCACTCGAAGAGACTCCAAATTCGTTAAATTATTCTTTTGTTTTATGCTGCTTTTGTGTTTAGGTTTTATAGGTAAATGAACAGGCTCCATTTTGAAATTATATATAAAAATATCTACAAAATTCATAAATTTTACTTAATTTCAAATAAATATTTTTTTAATCTTGATTAAACCTTAAAAATACCATATAAAAATTACCATATAAAGACTTTTAAAAAATATCTTGGACATACAATATCATTTTGCCATTTTTAGTTTATTGTACTAGATTTTGATGACGGAAATATATGGAATGACCTTTTCTGAGAAGTTAAATCAGAGCAGCTAGGAATGTGACCTTCTTTGACTTGTTTGAAACTTCTGCAAACAAATTTTTTTAAGTTATTGATTTAAAAAAATTTTTAATTGTAAGAACTTATAAGCGAATTCTTTTTATTAAAAAAAAAGAAAAAATAGTGAAATTTAGGAATACTGTATGAGTTAAAAAAATACCAAAAGGCTTATAATAATAAATTGTTACAAAATCATTCAATTTTATGTTATAAAAATTAGTTAAAATTTGTTAAAGACTTCCAAACTCTTTCTTACCTTGGAACAACATTAAAAAACTAAAAAGTTTAATTGCAAAAAGTAATGAAGGGTATGAAAGATGACGAATAAACAATTTCATTTTTGAAATGTTTTATTAATATGATTCTATTGGATGAATGCTTATTAGAAATTACATTATCAATAAGGAACTTATATTAGTAGCTATTACTGTTGCTTTTTTTGTGGGAATTCCGGAACGTACCCTTCCTTTTCTAATCGATCCTTAAAAATTAAATAATCTCTTCTTTTATCAAAATGTTTTACCTAAAACCATACATGCTAGTAATAAAAAATAATTTATCATTAAAAATAAATTTAGTTATATAAATAATTCATACCCATTGAGAGGGACAAAACTTTTCATACTGTTTTCTGAATTCCTTACAGGAGTCTTCAGACTTTTTTTCATCCAAACATTTCCAATATAGGTCTCGATTACCCCAGCATACCTGCCGATCCTCTTTTGTCGGAAAAGACATCCTGAAACACAAAAATTATCAGACTAATCAAAATTAAATTAAATATATTTTCTAACACAGTAGTAACAATGTAATATGTTCATGTAATTATAAAAAAAATTAATTATTTTGCTTGTCTTCGCTTAATCTTATTCTTATTACTTTTAAATTTTAGAAAGAAGAATTTTGTATTAGTTATACCATCTTGAATAATATAAAATACTTACCCTATCTATTCAATAATTGCATTACGCACTGAATGAAAAATATTGTTAATCACATTTGCACTCTTTTATACATACACAATTAGAAATTAGATTGATTAATTTTCGGAACCTAAAATTCTATAGACAAACTACTTATGTTATTGTAATCATCATTTAAGATTCAATCCTGTAAAAAGGTAATAAAATATACCTACATATAAATTATCTTAAATATAATTTCATGGTTAATATATTCAAGTTTCATGTAAGCTATAAACAATTAAAATTTCTGTGATTCAGTAATCACAACCTATAAATAGATTCAAGAATTGCAAGAGAGCCAAAACCTTTTATTTTGATATATTTATTGTGAACATACCAATTCTGAAACAAACTATATTTAGAAAGAATAAAAAATAGATATTCAAAACTAAGCAAACTGAAATATTTGTGAATATTTTTGTTGTATATTGTGATATAATAATAAATTAAAATTTCAACGCAATTAAATTAAAGCTATCTTAAAATATTAAAAAAAAGAAGTCAAAAAAATAACATAACACAATCAAAACTATTCGATTAATATTTTTACAACACAGTACTAAATTAAAACATTGTTGTAAGATAATTGTGATAAAAATATTTTGCTATTAATTATTTATTTATATTGAAGCAAAATATTATTTTGCTTCATACAAATCTCTTATCATTGTTATATTAACAACAAATTTTTGATAAAAATTATTCTTACTACAACTATAGTTTTTGGAGTAAAATGTATTAAGTGATTTTTATAAAATTTATTATTTTTATTTTCAAATCAAAATAGAAATTTAGTAAGCAATTTAATCATTGTTTCTATGTTTGAACAAAACCAATGGATATTTAACTTTCTACATGATAATCATGCAATGATGAGTTAAGCTATTTAATAAGTTGATCAACTAATAATATTGGTGTAAGACATCCATATTCAAATTTACAACTCACCTATAACTTTAAATTGAATGATATCTTCTCCTTACAGGATACGTTAACATTTAAATAATTGTAACGAATATAGTTACTATTTTGTTATTTATTGCAATGAATAAATAAATTATTTTTATATCATTTTAGAAACAGCATTCAATGATTGGAATTTAGCAAACATTCACGATATGGCCATTAATGACTCTGATTAGAGTGATGAGGTTAAGCTTTTTAGAGCTATCGTACCCCACCAACACTAGTACAACCACCTACACAATCCAATTATACCATACACCATACGTAACATTCACCGACAATGCATTCTGCTGTACAGAGTACAGAGTACAGCAGAATGCATATATATATATACGAAAATAAAAATAAATATATGTTCCAAATTTACAGATAGAGTTTCTAGTCTACGTATTTTTTTATCCATGGTCGAACAATATTGGAGCGAGTATCAGATATTAATATTGTTCAAAAACATAAATTTTTGATTATTATCAATCAAGTATAAGTAAGTATAATTAATACAAAATATAGCTAAAGATTATAGAGAATATTAATTTATTACAAACCATCATAAAGTCGACATTATGTCAAGTAATAAATTTAAAAAATTCCTTATCATCTATTTATTATCATTTATTTTCAACAATTCAACAAATCACAAGAACAGTAAAATTAGTAATTCATTGAGTATTAGTTTATAAATTTATTATAATTAGTAATTACTTAAGAATAATAAAGAATAATAAAAGAATAATAATAAAGTTTGAGTAAATATAACTCAAACAATTATAGTAAACAGAAATAAAATTTTAAACAATAATTAAAGAACAATAATTTAGGAAAAGTAAAAATGATAATTTATTGGAAATTCAACTGCATTAACAATATCTATAAGTCTTCTTGGCATGGATTTTATTAAATTTCTAATGTAATCTGGCGTTTTAATTACTACTTGTCAAGACTGATTAACCGGTTGCTCTAATTGATCCCTATATTCATCGCTGCTTCAGGTCTTCATTCGCTTACCATCTCTGCCTAAACATTTTCAATTACATTGATGTCAGGCATGGAGACTATATAGTCTCCATGATGTCAGAAGAATATAGTAATGCAGGGGAAAGGGAAGGTAGGCTGCGAACGGAGGAACTGACTCTGGGGGCCTATTCTGAAAAAAAATGTTAGCACGGGGCCTATTCTGAAAAAAAATTTTAGCACATGTCATAAGCATTTATCACATCTAAAGTGATTAATTCTGTGGTAAACTGAAGTGACAAACTGATTTACCACAAAATTTTTTTTCAGAATAGGCCCCCTGGCGCACAAGTCAAGGCGACTGCAGAGTCACATTTCAAATTTCTTACACGTCTAGTCAACATTTTTTTTTTATTTCGTAGCGAGGCTTATAAAATTTGTTAACAGCTGAATACAATTTATTCTATCTATAACCTAAATGTTGTAGACCCATCGAAATTGCCAAGAATCACCCATATGTTCAATGTAGTTTAAATAATATGTTTAAGTTGATAGATTAAGTTTTAGAACAATATTCTGTGTAAACAATATTGTATTTAGCAGCATTTACATGTAATTGAATTCTTATATTTTTAATCACGGGGTGAATATTTTTTTGCAGGCGAGATGTTAAAATCTTAAACATTTCATCAAATACACACGTATTGATGATGATGGATAAGCATTCAATAGCTCTTACTGACTGTTAATAATAAAACTGTACGTATGTATGTTCTTTTATTCTTGAACGGATTGCAGTCTATCGTTGCTAAGACAATTAGATTTTTATTGTTTTTGCCAGAACAAACTTTTTCTTCACTTCAATATAAATAATGATAAATGTCGGTGGGCCGCATTGTCCCACTCTCACCTACTAATAATTTTTTTTTACTTAGAAATCGAAGAACCAATAGATTTGGTTGAAGGTGATGACGTAGCCTCGGACGGTCCGTCATTGAATTGGCTGCAGAACTGAAAAGAGTAGAGGAACTCTGGTAACGATATAAATTATACTTTGGTAAATATATAAATTATATAATCCAATCATCACAATTTATTTGATAATGTCTAGTTATTAAATATTTAGTATAAATTCATCTAAGTGTATATATTGGACTAGGCAAAGAATACAGAAGAACCGAGAATTGGCAAAAAGGAAATCTGTTTCTAAATTTCTAAGGTTTTTGCTAAAACAGTACTACAAAAAAAACATGAATTGGCGGGTAAATTTGTTGACGAAGAGAAAATAACCGTAACAATTAACAAAAAAAGAGACAAAACATGACCCGTCGTGAGTTAAAAACCATCAAATTAAAATGAATTTGACTATTTTTTTATTGCATTAAGGTCTCCCATGACAATCTACGTAGTACACACACACACATACACACACGCGCGCGCGCTCAAATACACACATATACACACAATATGGCAAATGGGACATCCTTTGCACGGTTTTTTCTTTCATTGCAAGGTTAACCTTGATTTTTGAATGGGAATCCTCATTTTTCGTCGCAGGTTTGAATTCATGACGTTGAGGGTGGGGTGGGGAGTTATTCGGACCCCATAAATATCCCATCATCTAAACGTACAATTTTACGTAGAATTCAAACCTGCGACGAAAAATGAGGGGTCCCATTTAAAAACTAAGATTGACTTCGAAATGACTTTGGGGGTGGGGTGGGGATCATTTGGACCCACACATTTTATATGATTTGAACGTAAAATTATTCCGCTCTATCCGAATCCGGGATAAAAATAGGGATTTTCATTTAAAAAAACACAGTTGACCTTAAAATGACCTTGAAAATCAAGTTCAAGGTCAAGTTTGAGGTTATTATAAGTCGACCCCCTCCGAACCATACAACTTTCGTTTGAAACATTTTTCGATTACCTTGCCGAGTTTTGAAATATCCCACTGGGCAAGTTAAAATGGGACACCTTGTATATACTCCATATTGTTCGAAGATACACAAAATAATTTATTTTCATCAAATTCATAAGCAATTCATAGTTCTATTCAAAAAGCTTGCTCTTTTTACTTGTGTTAAAATTTATTAAACTATTTATCTTTGATCAATATTACAATCCAGCTTTAAGCAATATTCCAATCCAATACTTGAACTTATATAATTTATGTATATGTATACATATTGTATGTATATATATTCCTAGTTATTTTAAGGTTATGTTACATATTCATAGTTCCCGCCACACGAATACATTAATAATTATATATTTCCTATAATTCAAAGTTGGCAGTAGCAAAAAAATTACTAGAAATTGCTTATCGCGTGCAATTTTTGTGGCTATTGGAAAAGCACTCTTATCAGTTATGTGGCTATAAACTAGTGTAATAATACTTGCATAAACAGATCGGTATTAATAGTATTGTAAAAGTGACAAGTTTGCTAGGTGACTGTGTGAAACCTAGCAAGAGGCCATTTAGTAGCTTTGAAATGAACTATTCATTTGAATTACATAGTCCATTTTATTTTTATTGGCTACCGCTAGATGGCTTATTACTGGATTTTACGCACTTATATAGTAAACTTATCATCGATACAGTAATTAATACTTATTTTTATTATCGATTGCTAAATTTTGAAACAACTATAAATATGATAAATGTTCATACGTTAAGTGCAACTAATCAATTATACGGACCGTCTTCTGAAGATATTGCCTCATAACCGAATTCAAACTCTAACATTGTTTTTTTAAAACCAAACTAACTTTGTTTTACCATCTACAATTACGGAGGTAAAGTAAGCTAACCCGATACATTTTCTCAATTGATTTTATATTTAAAAAAGTGCATCGATGTATACCAGGGCCCTAGCATTTAAACGGCGCTTCATTTAATTGTAATTATAAGTGTGTTTCGTACTTTTTATATAAGTAACTAGACGGATCAGTTTTCAGAAATTTTTTATTAAATTAAACGTACAAAATACATAAACAATATCTTTCATTTGCGTAAAAAACTATACAATATTCCTTTGCACACAGTTAATTACAGGATTATCAGATTACAAACTTTATCATTTTTGTTTAAATCCTGATGTCGAATTAGTTCTAATGATTACAATTATTCAAACATTCAATTACATATAAAAAAAAACATAAAAACATAAATCTCTTACATAAAAAATCTAATCGAATGAATTGCTGGAGGATGAACCGTTGGATGAACTCTTGGATAATTTTGATAAGGTTTTTATCTCGTAAATATAAATAAAAATTTGTTTAATCAAATTTGGGTGCGACTCAAAAAGTTTTATAAATTCCACTCTCTTCATCATCTGTTCATCATGTTCTTTGATAAATTTAAATGTTTCTTTCTCGATATCTTTCAGTATCTCTTTATACCGATGGATGAGCAAAAGTGTTTCTACGGCGTTATTAATTTTTAAACTTCTGCACAGAAAGTTTTGAAAATCCGGATCTAGAATTAATTTCTTCTCGCCTTTTTCTACAAAGGTTATGATTCCTGTGCGTAAAGCTGTCAAATCATAAAGGTTTGCTATTTCAAGAATTTCCATCACATTTTGATCATTGAAGCTGAATAAAATATACTCTTCGCACAGATCCTGCAGCTCGCTTAACTCATACCTATGAGCGGCTTCAAAAAGTTTCTGTGGCATTTCGGCAACGTTGTCAGCTCTTCCAGTATAAATATATGATAACATTTCTTCAACAACTTCCACATCTAAGTTATCGATTTTAACGACGCCATTTTCCGATTCAGTCATTTGATGTGCAAACATTCTTTTAAATACTTCAGACTTTTGGGACAACACCATTTTGTGTGCGTGTAATATTGTATCCCCTACTTTTAATACAATGTCGCTGTAAGCACCTGTATTCAAAAGCATAGAGCCTACACTATCTTCTAGCGTGATCGCATTTTGTATGGGTTCTGCACCTTTGTATCTGCGTATATACAAATTATAATTATTTACAGTTGATAAATTCAACACATAAGTTCCTTTAAACTGTATTTTATCACTTATTCTATTCTTTGCTATCCAAAATAACGTTTGTTCTTCACGATGTCCATCAACAAAGATCAATGCTTTCACAATTACCTCGTAACAGTATTTATTGCAAAAGTCGTGCAAATAATTATAAAATTTTAATGTAAGATAATAATTGTATGTTGTGATTGCTTTGCAATCAGAATAAAATGCGATCTTTGAAGTATCTACTTTGGAGGTTAATTCCAAATCAAAATTTTCTGCTGGTTCTCGGATCGTCTGTTGTTTTAAATCGATTTTTAAACCACTGGCAAATGTTGGATAATGAGTATAATAAAAATTATACTTCGTAACTGCTAATGTATTCATTTTTTTATTTGACATATAGCTTTGTAATGAAAGTAACAACAAACTAGTATATGGAACGCAGCAAGCTTCTAACTCAGCTTCTAACTTTCTTTTGTAACTGCTTTATGAGCATAAAGCTTGGAGACCACGCCTTATGGTCTAAATCTAGGTCTTAAAAAATAGCACCCAAAATTAGCTTTTTCAAGATAATCAATAAACTAATTATATTATTAGATAGTTCATCAAAAAAGCAATAACTTTCTTCGCAACCATTTGTTAGTTCGTCCTCGAAAATGTTTCTGAAAAAAATTAAATATATCTTGGATGCTACAGTGTTGAAGTTGGAATGTAGCCCAATATCAGATAATATCGAAAAAAATTTGCTTAAAAAAATAATTCAGACTAATCGTTAGTTCGTGAGATTGACTAACGGCACCTAAAATAAAATCGGAGATAAATCTATGATTTAAGTAATTAAAAATAAAAAATGTTTTGGGTTATGACTTCTAAACCTCCTAAAAAAGGTTCATTAAAAAAATTTTAAAAATAATTAAATGGCATTCAGAAATCGTGTGGAAGTGAATTTAGTAATACCATTTAATGCGGTTTTAAATACCATTTAATTGTTTTTAATAAACCTTTTTTACGGTAAAACACCGAAACGGCGCACATCCTTCCCGAATAATCCCAATTATCATCGTTCTTATTGTTTATCACAGCTGACTAAGCTGACAGCGTCAAATCAAACTAATTAGCATCAGATATTAATTATGGAATTTTAATAAATTTTGGTTATTGAACAGTGCATTGTCATCAGTGTTTTCCAGAAGAATTAGGATACGAAATTTATTGACATTCCATTTACCAGGGGCCTTATTGTGATGATGGTCATGCGCACTTGGACGTTGCGCAGTACATTGTATACATACATACGTCGATCGTGTGACGTGTCCGTCACAAAACTAACATTGATTAGTTACTCCAATGACAATATTGACTTTCTCCTCGTGACGAACAGAACAAGGCCCCAGCTAAACGTCAATTGATTAAGACTTAATGCTAATTAGTTTCATCAGATGCCGTTAGCTTAGTCAACTATAGTAAGCAATAAATATGACGGAATCTAGAGTAATTCGAGAAGAATATGTGATATGCGCCGTGACTCATCAGCCATAGGTGGTAGTACCCGAAAATTTTATTTCCACTCAACTGCGTTATTCACATCATTCAATTTAATTACGGCGGAATCTTTCGAATATAGAGATGTCAATGTGACTAAAATATATTTAAATATCTTGAAAATTGCTGAAAAATATGCAATTTTTTGTAATTGACGTTATGAACAGTAAAAAATTCCAATTCATTACAAAAACAGAAAATATTGTAATATTTAGAAATTAAAAACCTATCATACCTACAATTAAAAAAAATTATGGTTTATCTGAATTGTTTATTCAGTTAATAAAAAAATACAAACTAAAGTAAAAAACGTTTGGTTTATGAAGTTCACAGATGATTTTTTTTTCGAAATATATCTAAATTGGTATTTAATCAAAGATTAGCTACTTGCTTTTATTTATGCTGTAAAAAGTTCTGAAGATACAATGGTACTACAAAAGTGAATCAATTCGTAAAAATTACAATCCAAAAAGAAAATAACTATAAATAAAATTAATTCTCTACTTGTTTATTCATTAACGATTTCAGTAGCTTTAGGTTTATTATATTTTATATGCTCCTTATAGTATGTATACAACTATTACTGTTTTGAAAATATAAAAAACATAACACTGTTCTTTACTCTGATTTTAAATTGATAGAAGGTTTATTCTTAAAAATAACAAATATAGTTTTGAGCTATTGATATAAATAAGACAGCTACCTATAAAAAATTGTAATTTAAAAAGAAAATAAATGTAATTATACTTTGCAAACTATTAAAACTCATGTGTATGCAGTTTACTTCAATTTTAATGAACTTTATTTATTTATATAAGAGCGCTCATCTTCTATTTCATTCAAGGTAACTCCATTAAGTTTTATTTTACAACAGAATCGAATCAAAATTTTTGTATAAATAGTATTTTACATGAGCTATCAGATTCCGTAAAAATAAATAGGGGTATATATCGGTGACATACGAGGGTAGAATTGCGTGTTTACATTTCCTCTAATAATTTTATAATAAATGACAGATTTTTTCCAAAAACTATAATACTATACAATACAACTGTAATACAACCCGTCCTGGTGGAGCTACCTTAAACTTTTTCAAAATATTAATAATTGTGTATAATATATTTGTACGAATAATATGGTTCAGCTATAGAGTTAGAATTTGACTAATAGTCAATTAAGATTGCGATTGCAATTATTTGCCACAAATTATGTTCATTATTTTAAAAATTAGAACTCCGAGGATCATTTTATTTAAATGCTTTGGAACGACTTCTATACATTTTTTCTAAAGAGAAATATTTAGAAGTTTCATATCAGCCTTTGATTATCGCAAATTTAGAAGCAAAGAAAAAAAGATCGTAAATTTTCTCGCTACTCGCGGAAATTGGTAGTGACCTTGTGTACCATTACAAAATTATTGTGCTAGAAAAATTTCACAATGTACACATTTCTTTCGGTCTCTTGCTAGGCCGGACGTCATATTAAAATATGTTGACGCTATAACATAGTTTACACATCATCGCAAGATCGTACATTTTTTTAGGAATGATGAATAATTTTCCTTGAAATTTTATATCACCGCTCCTCTCATTCTTGTGCATTGCGTTTGTTCTTTTTTTTTTTTACTTTTTCTGATTTAATATTGCTGTTTTCATTATTTTTCTCCTCGTCATTTGCATCTCGATAGTCTTCGGTACATAACTTACGTTTTTTTGCCTTTTTTCTACAATAACTCTGACTTTCTTCTGTTACATAAGACTCCTCTGATTTATCTCTACTATTTTGTACTTCAACAATTTGGAAATCGTAATTTTCTTTGACTTCATCAGGATTTTGTTTTTGCGATTTCCTTTTAAAGACTGCTACAAAAAATCCGCTACATAGATCTTTTTGGGGTACAGCATAAAGACATTTTTCACCTTTAAAGTTGTAACCAGATGAGCCAAAATTATGCCATTCATTTTTCATCTTTTTTTTTAAATTGACCAAAGTGAAGGCATCGCCGACCTTTTTCAGAGCTTCGTCAACGACACATTCATTTTCTTCTGGATAAATGGAACATGTACTGTATACAACCTTTTTAACATTGGGAAAACGAAGTAGAGCATAACAAAGCATCATTGATTGTAATGACTGTAACTTTCTCAATCGTTCACTTAAGTTTGCTTGACTTGGTTTTCTTATTTCAATTCTACTCATTCCAGAACCTGAACAACTGGGATCAACTAAGATATATTTTATATTTAGATATTGCTCTGGCGATATTGTTAGAGCATCGGCTTGTATAGTTTCTACACACTTTGCATTAGTGTGGCTAACAAAATCACATAAAGTTTTATATCTATTTCCACTCATTTCAACTGCATATATTTTCCTAAAAATAGTGAATTCAAAACATATCAGTCAACTTTGTAATGTAAATCATTTTAAACAAGAAAAATTTACTCACCCTGAGTTATTTATAATAGCTGCAAGATGGGTAGTTTTCATTCCAGGAGCAGCACACATATCTAAAATTTCAGAATCAGGTTCTGGATTCAACAAAAATGCAGAGAGACAACTAGCCTATCAGAATAAATAATTTATTTTTAAAAAATTAAAAAATGTTAAGTAATCAATCAATTTTTAAAATACTTGTTCTTACTTTATCTTGTAGTAATAATTTTCCATTGATGTAACCAGGGTGATTATAAAACTGTGTACCAGGTGGAAATACAAACACTTCTGACATATGAAAATCTTGTATAAAATCTATACAACCTATATTTGAAATTGCTTTCAGATGAGATGAATAAGTATCACAGCGAGGTAAAAGATTCCATCCATCATAATAAAATGCCTCAAGAGCATCATCAATACTTGTTAGTAATGTGTTGATTCGAACGTACCGTGGTAGTTTTACTGCACAATCAGACAAAAATAAAGTTTACAATAATCATTTCAGTCACTCCACAAAAAATCAAAATTTATCAATTAAAAATAAAGTAATTAAGATTATATATATATATATATATATATATATATATATATATATATATATGTAAATGGTACATTTACAAATTATCTAGACACTGTTAATTAATTTAGTATAAGCAAAATTTAATCTTCTTTTTTTGTATCAATAGAATCTGAATCTTCATCATGCTTTGGTAATTCCTTGGATGAATCAGGTTCACACAAAGCTTGGTAGGCATAGACCCCAATAATAATGTTTACTACAACCACAGCAGCAAACACAGATAAGCAATTTGTAACAAATCTGTCTGTATGGAATTCAGTTATCATAATATGACGAACTCCAAAGAAAGCTATAAATGGCAGTGTAAACATAGCTATACTATACAGAAAAAAGGTTCCCAATACTTTTGTTAAGTTAGACATTATATAAGTTTCTTCTTTTTCTTTTTTAAAAACTGACTTCTGAATTCTACTCTTAGGCACAAAATAAGATAAGATTTTTTTTATTTTTGAATGTCGCCTAGATTGTATTCTGTTATTGCGAATGATCAAGACCATCGAAGTCAATGTAAGCTAGATCTGAAAATAAAAAATCATGTTAAAAATGTTTAAATTTACCTTTTTTATTGTCACAGGGATCTACATCGGCATTAGGATTTTGCAATACAGCCTGCTGTAATTTTTCTTTGTAACTGAAAACAGTTAATATAGGTTTAGCCTCCGATCTGAAATCTTTCTTTCCCCACAACAGTTCTGTTATCAACACTCTTGCCAACCATGGGTCAAAACGTGGATTTTCAATTAAAATTTTAGTCTTATCTATTATATTTTCTAATTCTTTTGAATGATGCAAAGTCTCTGACACCAATGCATAGATCCCTTGGACATTCTGAGATGTTGCACAATATTTAATTAGAAGAAATTCTAAATACATAATAACCTATAATATATAAACAAACTTACAGGATGACTATTTTGGAAAACTAAAGTTTTAAAACTGGCACCATCCAATAAAACTTTTTTTACAATCTTTGATGATTCTTTGTAAAGCCGCGGCACTTTTATAGAATGTATAAATTTTGAAGACATATTTTTGTTCACAAACCTTGAAATAAATAATGACTTTATCAGTTATCTTTAGTTAATGTATATACGTAATTATTTAAATATTTTTATTCAATTTTTTTTAATATTATCAGATGGATTTAAAAAATGAATTTTACTCTTCATATTTATAAGTAGACTTGGATAATCATCATTCTTTTCTCAAATTAGTTCATTTTGCACGTGATGACTGATGATTACTGAAATATTAGTTCAATTCCACAATATCAAATCTTATTAGATATTTGTATTATACCCATATGGATATGGAGACTGTACGCTGTTTCCATCGAAGCATTTTCTTACTTCTATGGGTTAGGAATGACGGAATATGAACATACGATATATAGTACAGTATAGTTTAATATCTATACTGGTGGAGGAGCCGCAAAACAATTGATGAATAAGAAACAACTTATAATAAGTGAAACATCAGTAAATTTAATTAAAATAATAAAGTTTCAAAATGTTTTGTAGTAAATTATGCATTTTATGACTTTACACCTCAATTTATAAGTTGATGTAGGTACGTTATAATAATAAATATTCATGAAACATCAAATGCTTATTCAATTTTGGTTATATTTTTATAAATTAGAAATACTGAGTTTTCGTTATCATATAAAACATGAGAAATACAAAGTTACTGTTTTTAGTTGAAACGTCATCATTTTTTCTGTATTCCAACTGTAGGTATTAAATACTATATACAAAATTCATGGTTATAAAGTTAAAAATGTTCAAAAACTTTTGATTTCTATAATAATCTAATAATGTGACTTTTTATAAAGGTAAATGTTTTTCAGGTTGATCAGGAGCAGTATTGTTTCAAGAGTTTATTTTGTTTCATACAAAGAAAGTACTAATTTTTTATTACTATGGCAGATCTATGTACATCTCGTAATAAAGCTTCATCTGTTAAGATAATTCAAAAACATAAACTTATTTATCAAAGTAAGTATTTTCACACCATTCTACAGTTATTTTGTTATATTACATTTCTCCTATGAATATCTTTATTTTAATAGGGAAGCAATATATGAGTAATATTGCAATAGCAAAATGGTTGAAGCTAATTTCAAAAAAATATAAATATGCCAGTCGAGTTTTACAGTATGCTGAGGAGAAGCATGTTAGTATATTGAAAGCTCAACATCATTTAAAACTAAAGGCAAGTATATTACCTTTATGATTGTTATTTAAGAAAGATTGAGTTTTATTATTTATTATTCTTTATTAATAATAAATGGATCATTAGTAAAAGAAAATTTTCCATTAGAGTTATAATGATGTTGTTACTTAACATTTTACAATTTATTACATAGTCTCAAATTTTTAATTATTCAATATAATTAATAAATTACTATATTAGTTTCCAGAGCCATTAACACATTTACTAGAAACAGCTGTATATCATATGGATGAAATAGAATACCTTTTGGATAAATTCGATATTGTAGATCATCTTAATCACATTAATAAATATGTACTAAAAGTTTTAGTAACTGAATTACTATGGGTTAAACAATACTTGTCACCCAACTCATGCACAAGAATATTGTATTATGAAGCAGATCTACTAGAATCATTTACTGAAGCAGCTAAAACTTTTAACAAATTAGAAGACTCTACTGTCCGTACGTTAACTTAATAAAATCACTTTTTATTAAAATTTAATGTTAATATTGTGATATAAGTAATTCAGCAAATTGGTCATTTTCCAACAGCGATTTTACCAGTTTATGTTCGAATAAATACTCTTGCAATTCAACTTCAAGATGGTATTAATGCTTTTCTCAATGATGGCTGGAAACTTTTGCCCAAGTGCAAAACTCATGCTGATTACATGAAAATTGTATCTAATTTAAAAGATAATAATTTTGTTAGAGATTTTCACATATCAGAACTTTTAGTATTCCCTTCTGATACATTATTTTACAGTCATCCCGGTTATATATCGGGAAAATTTTTTATACAAGATAAAGTATGAAAATATTTTAATGCTTTATGAAAATTAACAAAAGTAAACTACCTAAAATAATCATTAATTATTTAATTCTTTTTATAGGGAAGTTGTTTATCAAGTTTTTTACTAAATCCAAAACCAGGATCACGTATATTAGATATGTGTGCTGCTCCTGGCTTAAAAACTAATCATCTAGCCAATATAATCAACAATGAAGGGTAATATATATTTTAAAGCTTATTTGATAATAATGCAATAAAAATAAAATGCAACATTTTATTTCAGGATAATTTTTGCGTGTGATAATCATCCTGATCGATACAATGCTCTTTGTAAACTGGTTGAATCAACAAAAGTTACATGTGTCGAAACAATTTACGACGACTGTATGAAGATCAATCAAAATGGTATAAATTATATTTTAGTTGATGTACCTTCTACATATTCAGGTATTTTTTATAAAAGAGAAAGAAAAGTCTATCTTGAGAAAAAATTGGAGCGCTCGTTTAAAGTAGCAAGCATGATCCTTAGATATGCACTTCAGAATTTTAAGGGTGTTAAAAGAGTTGTTTACACCTCATGCTCAAAGTTTCCTGAAGAAACAGATAACGTTATAGATGATGCATTACGAGAAATTCGCGGGGCGTATTCTCTTTTAGACACTAAAGAAATGTTGTGGAATCAGTGGGGTAACGGTGGAGATTCAACACACCATCCACGGCGTAGCAAAAATTTGCATATAAAACCAAAAGTTGATCTATGTGAAGGTTACTTTATTGCTGTGTTTGAAAGAAATCCGGAAGTACCGATACCACGGTATGTAAACAGGAAAGAAGAACTTTTTTATGAAGATGAGGAAGATGAAAGTGATCATGATATAGACAATGAGGATGATGAAGATTTTACAGAAAAAAATAGACATAAAGATAATGGATCTAAAAAGAGTTTTCCTAATCACGATATAAAGGATTATAAGCCACAACATTATAAACCTTACAACAAGCATTTAAAAAATGATAAGAATGATAAATACTCTACAGCAAAAATTAAAGCCCCTAAGCCTCGAGCTTCTAGTTCAACAAGTTATTCCCGATACAATGATTATGATGATTTTTTACATGAGACAACACATAGTCAATTATATCCATAATTTTTTAATTGTTACATCAATTACATCTGTGTAATATTACTTTGCATTGTCAAGTATGTCTTTCAAAATTATGTACTTTTTTCCATTGTATACATACATAGTTTTATTGTAAAAAGTAAAATTCAATTACTCATATCAAACATCCAAAGTAAGGTAATCATACAATTTTTCTATGGCAATAAAATCATTGAAGACAAGAGTTTTTTTTAAGTTTCTGAACATTGAAATTTTTCAACCTTTGTCTACTAGAACAATATTTAATATTGAAATTGTAATTAAATTTTTTTAATTGTATATTTGTAGACGATGACCTGGTATAATTTCTAATCTGTGATAAAGCTTTTTTTGAATTTATCTTTATTATCTCTCTTAGCTATTGGTCAATAAATTTTGGACGTAAAAGACTGCATATTAACATTTTATGTGTATTTTTAAATTAAAAAAATATGTCTGAAAGTTTTGCCAGACTACATATATTTTTGAATCATTCTATCATGATATTAGTTACATTAATGTTTTTTTCATCTGTTTTATTGCATTATTAGATTATACATTACATTACATAAAATAAAATTTCTATTCTATATATACATATAAATATGTAAAACTCATTTAAAATATCATCACCACCACGCACACTCAGTCAATGAGTGAGCTTAGTACCTGCTTTATATGGAGAGTACCATAGTTAATGCTGGAAAAATTTTTCTCAGGGTCCCTACAAATTATTGCATTATGTTAAATAGGGTAATTTCTAGAGACCCTGAGAAAAAATTTTGTAGCGGCAACGCTACTGTAAGTATACATTCTCCATGGTCTGTCTGCTATCGCTAAAATACAGTGTATATACTTGTACTACGACTCCTGTAAAGTTGACAAGATAATTATTATATTTCAGAACTTTTAATTATGTTTATGCTTTATTTAGAATAGTAAAACTTAATTCATTCATGTGACAGTTATTTTAAAAGTCTAATTATTTATAATTTAATTTCATAAATATTTTAAATAGACATTATTTTTCTAACCTCTACTGATGTATAATTTAATTTTTTATTTTTCCGATGAGTAACAAATAATTTGAAAGAAATTAGTGAGTTGATATTAGTTATTGAAAAGAAATGGTAGTGGTAAAATAATAATTACAAACTATCTTGGAAATAAAAGTGTAGAGAATACTTAAACTAGTGGCATAAATTTCACAATTTTGTAATGTGATGAATGGAAATAGAATGACTATAACTTAAAGTTTTATTACATGTAAAAATTTGAAATTTATTCAAAATGCAAGGTTCAAGAATAGATAATAAATTATCATTAAGAGTACTCAATGCTGAGGATCTTTATAAAAAGAGTAAAGGAATATTAAGTGCTGATGAAAATTCCTCCATCTTACAATAATACATAAATAACATTTTTTTTCTTTAGGAATGAAGTATATGGATCATAGTATAAAATTATTACAAATAAAAGGAAAAGAAATTCCTCTGAATTACAAAGCTGCTAGCTTAGCTTTAAAGTACATGAAAAATTATCAATTGAATCTTCATGAAGCAATTGATAAAGTGGCTTTGATAGAGCCATTAAAAGAGGTAAATTAAATTATTTTTGGAATCTGATAATTTGATTGAAAATTTATGTACCTTATAGACTGTTTAAGAATGCAAATCTCAGATCAATCAATAGCAAATTTTGGTGCATAATTGTTAAGAGGTAATCAATTGTAACTTAACTTTTATTGTTGCCAGTAGATGAAAACGTAGGTTTCCAATAACAATTTTTATTGGTTCATGATTACATGTCATTTAAAAATTGCAAAAAATGTGTTTTCTTTTAGAAATTAAAAACCACTGGAACAATGTGTAACTACAGTAAACAAAATCATAGAAGATTCAAAGACCTTTGAAATAAACTATTGCTTATCTGAAGTTTCTATCAAACAATAATTACAATTAAAATTAAAGAAAGTATAAATTTGTTAAAAATAGATTTTTTAACATTTGTATCTTCATACAGTGTAATGGTGAATCTATAACTGCGAGATTTTGTACATTTTATTCTTGACATTATGTATACAAAATATAGGCCCAATCAAATAATTAGTTTTTAAATTATAGCATTGATAATTAAATTTTTTTTCACGTAGTTGCAAATTGTCCTGTTGCACAACCGTTAGACTTATTTAATTTTTGATAAATGTGGAAATCACATTTATTGATTTTATTAAGGTTAAGCATAGAGGAATAAAGAAGTACCATTTTATTAAAAATAAGAGTTTTTTTACAGAAAATAAAATCAAGTCAAAAATAAAACGCAGTAACGAGAGAGCATGAGTTTTAAAACAATTTCAAATAATTAAAAGTTTAATGTCGTATAAAATCTGTTCGCGTGAAAATAAGCAAATGATAAGGAATGAAGATGTCGATAAAGGAAAAGAAGATATGTAGTAATAATAGGAGTCCGACGTTCGTCGTTTATCTTTTATATTAAATAATTATCTCTAAAAGTACTGAGACCGTCTTGTTAATTTTTTTTATTTGTTATCAAAGCAATCAAGCCGTGGTAAATTTTATATTCCCTTATAAAAAAGTCACAATTACCAGATGTTGTGAAGCTAAGATAAATGTTATCTGATTGACATATGTAATGCCAATGTTCTTATTTGAATTTAACCTAATCTAATTAAAAATTGCTTCATTAAAATTATACTAATTTATGTTTTTGTTTAAGTATAAATAAATAAAATCATTTTAATATTTTTAATTAAAATTATTTGCATGTATATATATTATATTGTATCAAAAAAATTAATTTTTTCTATAATACACTTTATGAAAAATGCTATTTCCTCCACTCTGATTATTGTTAGAAAGCAGAAAATTTAGAAGGTATATATTTCTCTGCATCAACTGTTAATCTCAGATAAAAGTCCTGAAACTTGCAAGAAAGCCAGAAGTGTTCGCTTTTAAAAAATAGATTAATGCATCATTTTTATATAACTTTATAATGTGAAGAGATATTCCTTTTACTCTCAAACAGAGATAGTTTCCAATCAAATTAGCTTTTACGATCAAGTGCAAGGTCAAACTTGTCACAAAATTAGTATAGATCTATGAAGAAATGTTTTTAATGACGAAAGCCTTATGTAGCCATGTCTCAGATTCAAAGAGTACAAGTGTTAAAAATTATGTTTATAAAGAACTATATTCATGATTATTAAATTTTTTTAATTTATTATATTAATATTTTATAAACGTAAAATTTCTTTCAGTCAAAATATTTCATAGTATCAATGAAACAATCAATCAATAATTATTAATCGTGTTTAATTTTATTAACTTAATTATGGAACACAAAAATGTTAGTGCACACGAAGCGCACTCTTCAAATTCTAGTATAATTAAATTTCACGTACTATAATCATTAAAGTTTTCATTATGAATTTTTCTCAATAAACAATAAATATCAAGGTACAATCGGTTAATTGTTAATAATTATGTGATAAAATGCTAGAAAAATCTTACTTTTTTGCTATATTGATTGGTATAATATGTTCATTGCATCTATTCATTATGATTTCTTTATTTGCCATTTCTGTTTCTTTGTTTTTAAAGATCAAATTCAATTTTTTTAAGTAGTGATTTATGTATAGATTATAAAAGTAGAATTTATGATTCAGAAGAACTCAGAGGTTGAAGATTTGCTGAGAATAACTTTAAACCATGAACAAGAAATAAATTATCTTATTAAAAGGGTAAAAATTTTGGAAGATAATTTAGATTTGGATCCATTTTTAATAAAAGTTTCAATAGCCGAAATGTTATGGGGTAAATTATTCATTAAATTTAACTCCTTAGACTCTATATATTTAAAATATTACGAAGCAGATATTAAAGAAGCATTTATAGAAACAACAACAGTTTTCGACAGTGCTGAAGATTCTTATAGCTGTAAGTTTTAATTAATAGAAAGTATTTTCAAAATCTAAAATACACAAATATGTTTTATTGATTAAATTTTTATGTTTATTATAATTCAAAATAAACATTAGATGTTTTAAATTACCATACAGGTTTCTTAAATTTCAAATATATTTTTTAAAAATTACTAAATTTACAGCTAAGTTACCAGTATATGTGAGAATTAATACATTAGCAATTTCACTGGATAGTAGTATGAATGCTTTTTATAAAGAAGGCTGGAATTTCTTACCACGTTCGTTAACATACATAAATTTTTTAAATGATGTAAGGCAATTACAAAAAAATGAATGTATTAGGGATTTCCATATATCTGAACTTTTAGTATTCCCTCCTGGTACATCGTTTTATGAACATCCTGGATACTTAGAAGGAAAATTTTTCATACAAGATAAGGTATACTTTCAATAAAAATTGTAATAACTTCAATAATAATTATTTTAAGTACTTTTTATAACTTTAGGGCAGTTGTTTGTCAACTTTTTTACTGAATCCTAAACCAGGATCATGTGTATTGGACATGTTTGCTGCACCTGGTTCTACAACAAATCATATTGCTAATATGATGAAGAATGAAGGGTAAGATAAACATGGAAGTATAATATAACTAATATAATAAAATATAACTAATAGATTATATTAAGATTTCTTGAAATTATAAAAATTGTTTGTTGTGAATTTTCAGAATTATTTATGCATGTGATCATCATCCTAATAGACTTAATAGACTTAATTCATTAATGCAGTTAACAAATGTTACATGTGTAGAGCCTATGAATAATGCCTGTTGGGACATTCGAATGAATGACCTTAATTATATCTTACTTGATGTCCCTTCCACTTATTCTGGAATTCATCATAAAAAAGATATCAAAGGATTACTTAATCAAACCAGATATTTACGTCACAAATCAAGTCTTATGCTATTACATGCTCTCCATAATTTTCCAAATGTGAAAAGGGTTGTTTATACCTCATGTTCGATATTTCCTGATGAAGGAGAAAAAGTTGTAGCAAATGCTTTAAAAGAACTTTGCAATTCATACACTCTCCTTGATGTTAAAGAAATGTTGTGGAAAGAATGGATAACCATAGGAAATACTGATACATATCATTTTGGTGAAAAGTGCCTACGTACCAATCCAGAATTTGATCTATGCCAGGGTTACTTTATTGCAGTTTTTGAAAGGAATTATTCAGTAGCAGTACCACCTTGTCCTATAAAAATTAGGACAACTTTCGAAATTAGTAATGAAATACGTCCTATTAAAAAACCTAAGAAAGCTACAATTATTGCTGCTGTTACTGCTATTACTACTAAGAAAAAGCCGAAAGTAAAAAAAAAACAAAACACAATTTTGTCTAAAACTATAACTAAGAAAGCACGTTGGACCAAAACACAAAAGAAAGAGAAAAAAACTACTCTAATAATAGCTCCATCTCAACAGCCTCCTAGTTAGCATGACCAAGATAAAGAGACAAAATTCTCATTCAAGATGGTTACACCTACATCAAAATTTGTGTAAAATTCAGATGTAACTGTGCTATAACTATATTAACTAATTTTTTTAAATTGAGGAATATTGGTTTAATTATAAAGAATAACATCTTGTTTTCGATATACATGTAATGAACATTATTGAAATATGTAAATAAAGTTTTTTATGGAATATTGTAAAATTTTATTTATTACTTTAATTATTTTTATTTTAGAGATGAAGTATCATAATAAAGTAAAGTCATTAGTTATCGGCCAGGAATCTTAAATTGAGATTCGACTACGAGTGCACAGAGCAGTAATTTAATAAAACAGGGGCATTGATGGTCGGCCATTTTTTTTACCTCAAATAAATAAGTAATTGACCGTAAATTTAAAAACTAAAATTATTCTATGAATCCTTAGTATCTAAACTTTTGAAAAACATAATATGAAAAAAAAAATAAAAAAATAATAACATTTGTGTTTTTATATCTTGACGCTACACGTCAGAAATATCTATTTTCTTATTTCACTGAAGCATAGATGGCTGCCATTAGTCTACAGTTTTTACAGTTACCCATGGATATATTTTGCTGCATACCTACCTATTAGATTAGTCTTAGTCGGGATTTTTGTGCGTCGTTTGCTCGAATTCATCGGGATCAGATTTTAAATTATAGGAGTGAGAACACGTAAGCTAAGAACAATAATTACTCGATTTCGTAAGCGACAATAGAAGTTGATTAGTATTAAATCATTTTGTAATCAAATGTGAATTCAATATTTAAGTTGAATACGTTTTGTTAGCATCCCGTTTTCACGTTTTAACCTTTAAATCAGTGCGGGTCGTACGTAAATACAGAGTGTATTTAGTTGGAAATACGATTTATCAGTTTGATTGTGAAGCAAAAAGATTACAAAAGATAATAAACATTAAATCTAATAACAATATTATATTAATTTATTGTTCATGTAAATAATTGATAATAAAATGTAAAAACAAAGTAAGTCACATTTTAATGTTTAAGTGGGTGTATACTTGAAACTAAATGAATGCTAGTTGAATTAATTGTATGTTAAGAAAGTGACAGTAACAATTTAATTTAACGAATAGTAACAAAATTTTGTTAAACTATGGCTCATTTGAATATATTATCCAAAATGATTCCACCAGAAAAGCTTAGCCAAGAAAGTAAGACAATCTTACGTTTATGAAGTTTTTCAATCTTTAAATAATTAATACTAATATACTTTCCATTTGCAGGAGAAAAGTATATAGGTAATATTATAACTCATAATCAACAGAAAATTCTTCCATATATTTATAGGATTAGTGCTAAAATTCTAGATTGTGTAGAAATTGAAAAGCTTGATGTTGAAACAGCAATTAATCTTTTGCAGTTAAATCATGTAAGTGTTTTACATACAACAAAAAGATGGAAATTTTAATAAAATAACTTGCAAACCAAAAATGTTTTTGCTATGGTAGATTAATAAATTAAAATCATTTTATAGATTGGAAATGGTGCAAAACGTTTGGTAGGATTGGTAATATCTAACCAAGACAAAATAGAATATTTGCTAAATAAAATGAAATTTCTTGAGCGTTATCAAAGCGTAGATGTACATTTAATCAGAATTTTGATTGCTGAAATGATCTGGGGAAAGCAAAAGATCAAGATTGGTTCTATAGAACCTGCAATAATATTATATCACGAAGCAGATTTAAAAGAAACGTTTTTAGAAGCGGCAAATATTTATAATATTAGTAATGATATGTATTATTATCGTAAGTTTTTCATTGTTTACCATGCTTAGAAATTTGTAAAACTTGATAATTACAAAGTAATTACTTTGCTATTCTTAACTGATTAATCATGGATATTTTCTTCTTATAGCAAAATTGCCGGTCTATGTTCGTATAAATACATTGTCCATTTCACTTGAAGATAGCATTAAGGCTTTTATCAAAGAAGGCTGGAATTTACTACCTCGACCTGACACATACTTGGATTATGTGAGAATTATATCATATATAAGGAAAAGTGATTTTATTAGAGATTTTCATATATCAGAGCTTTTAGTATTTCCTACTGGCACAGTATTTTATGAACATCCTGGTTATTTGAAAGGAAAATTTTTACTACAAGACAAAGTATAATTATTATAATTAGAAGCTTTTTTAATCATTCTAACAAAATACTTATATTATATTTTTTCATAAATACAGGGTAGTTGTCTTTCAAGTTTTCTGTTAAATCCAAAACCAGGGTCAGTTGTATTAGATATTTGTGCTGCTCCTGGCAAAACTACCAATCATCTTGCCAATATAATCAATAATCAAGGGTAAGTCAGTTTCATTAGTTATGTGATTGTCATAGAACAGCTTCACTAAAAGAAATCATTACTTTTTTAGAACTATTTATGCGATTGACAGACATCCTGATAGGTACAATCAGCTTTGTGCCTTAATGAATTTGACAAATGTCACGTGTGTGAAGCCAATATTTGATGACTGCACAAATGTTACAATTAATGATGTAAATTATATTTTAGTTGATGTTTCTTCGACATACTCGGGAATTTTTTTTCGAAGAGATGAACGTGATTTAGATAATCAACTAGCATATTACAATCATCTTTCTAGTAATATACTTAGACATGCTCTCCAGAGTTTTCCAAATGTAAAACGTGTTGTTTTCACTACATGTTCAAAATCAGTTACAGAAGGAGAAAAAGTTATAGCAGATGCATTAAAGGAAGTTGGAAATTCCTATTCCCTCCTTGATATCAAAGAAATGTTATGGTGCCAATGGGTAGCTTCTGGAATGAATAATAATTACCCATTTAAAGATAAATGCATTCGTACAAATCCCGACTTGGATAAATGCCTAAGTTATTTTATTGCAGTATTTGAAAGGAATTTTGAAAATCTTCCACCGCTATATGTGCACAGAATAAATGAGTTTAATGAAATTATTTATGAAAAAGATAATTCAGATGATGAAATTACAGAAATTGATTTTATCAATCAAGAAAATCAACGTCCAAGTCAACCTGTAGCTGCATATCCCCATCACCATCAACGTAATAGAAATAACTTTGATGTGTTTATGTCACATAGTTTTTGGTTAGAAAATGATGTCTTCCCTATACCACCACCACCTCGACCATCTTAGCTCGATATATAATATTTGATTTTGAACAAATACATTATGTATAATTATCTACATTTTTAACCTTTATTGCGTTTAACTTATTCGTTAAAAATTCTGTTTTCCTTAATCTAAAATTACAAATTTTCATTGTTTTCTTAAAAATATTGGTTTCTTGATTTTTCGTTCCATGATTAATAACCAGATATTGCATGATGTAGTGTAACATAGTGTAGAATTAAACTTTTCATACTATTTTTTACTAATATGTACAAAAAATATATTGATATAAAGTAAATTTGTTTAAAACCAAAATAAGACATCAATTTGATCTAGCATTTTATTTTAGATCAATGTCCTATTTTGATAAACTGATAAAAATATAAATGGTTCAGAAAAATATTATTTGGAATGAAATGTAAATAAAGACCAGATTTACATTTAATATAAAGTAATTCATTTCGTTCCATATAATATTACAATTATCCATCATCAGAAGTAATTACTATAATTTAGAAAAATACTTGTAATCAATTATTTTAGTTTAATATGAATTTGACAAATGTATAGAGTATTGAAGAATTACTAACTTTATTTCTTTTTTGCAATTTTTAACTTTTTTTAATCAGCTATTTTTTATGTTGTAGTGATATATTAACTTGATAATGTTCAGAAATTAATGCTCAACAATTTCATTATAAACGATTGATACATAAACTTTACTCATACATAATTTCTTTGGCTATACAAACCTGCATTTGGTTTGAATCGCTCAAATAAAATAATTATTTTTTTGACAACAAAGTACTTTTCAAAGATGTTGCACAATAATTAAATTTATAATGATCATTTGTTTCACATGTATTTACAAGAAAAAATAAACGGCATTTTGTCAAAATTGATAAGAGTAAATTCTTTAACATTGCCCTCATATCCCTTGATTTAGCAACGGATATTAGACATCAATAGCAATTTTCGGTAATGCATTGATACTTTTTTCCAACGTAAAAAAAGAAAAAGTTCCATGTTCGATCTGAATTTTTCTTACCGAATTCATAAAGCAAAAGATTGCGTATTTAGTTTAATTTTTGACTTTATTTTATTTTTATTTATTGTTGACGACTGCAAAATGAAGGAGGCTTTGTGTTCGACCTAAACATTTTCTTTTTTTATATAGATATATATTCGGTCATATACCTTTAGAATGGTTTAACAGACTTTAGTGGGGGTCGCTTCATTTGACAGTTCATCATAAACTTAATTTGTAACTAAGTTTCTGCTCGCCCGGTTAACTATATATAATATCAACGGATATAAACATTTACTATATAATTTTATTTACGGGCTTAATCATCTGAAAATAAAAAGAATACTCCGTCATTACGACTTCAAGTTCTCTGAAAACTATTTTTATGAAAATAATATCCGGTGATAAAATGCATTAAATTGTTCCAATTGTAACATAATCTAAAAGTTTTATAATAAACTACAGTTCTACAATTTTAACATAAACCGATTTATGTTAATCAAAAACGATCGTTTATTTTATTCTGTATGTAAACATCTTTCACGTAAAAATTAATTTTTTTTTCAATGGTTTGGCAATAATACTGAGACAGGAAAAATCATGTAAAAAGGTTGACTGTGATCAGATGCTTCAATTTTACCAGGGGGCCTATTCTGAAAAAAAATTTTGTGGTAAATCAGTTTGTCACTTCAGTTTACCACAGAATTAATCACTTTAGATGTGATAAATGCTTATGACATGTGCTAAAATTTTTTTTCAGAATAGGCCCCGTGCTAAAATTTTTTTTCAGAATAGGCCCCCAGCTGCGAAAAATGTAGTATATTTTTATGTCAGTGAGGAACGTTTCTAAAAAAATCAAACATAATAAATCCTAAATGATTTTAAATCATGCGTTGACTTTGGGTCAGCTACCTGTCCAACCAAATCCGAAGTGCTCCTTACGAATGACCTTATCATTTTTCTGTTATCAACAAATTGCATAAGGGCTTTCTATAGTGATGTTCGATTATATTCGATTAATCGATAAGCATACGATTATTTAACAAAATATTCGATTTTTTTTCTCGATTATTTTGAAACTTGATTATTACAGCTTCGATTATTTTTTGGCCAATAATCGAATCGACTGCACTTTGTGCAATTTGTGTTTTGCGCATGCGTGGATATTATTCTCTCTATTTACATACGTTCGAATAGAAAAGAAATTTGTTACGGTTGAATGTGAGGTGAGAGTGAGACGTGAGCTGAGGTGCAATAGGTAGAATCAAGAATGGATAACAATGATCATGATGTTTTCAACCCATTCGTCGAAGACAGACAAAATCAAGGTGCATAAAAAAATTTTATTTACATATTTACTACATTTAAGTTTAAAAATTTTATTGTTGTAGTAGCAATTCAAAGTTTATTTAAATCATTGGACGATGTTGAATATTTGCCTGTTAAATTGTAAATGATTGAAATAAGCAATGACCTTTTAATAAATACCATCAGAACGTAATTTGCATTGTTTAATTTATCAGTAGTTCTTATTTCCTACTTATTTTTCTTATTATAATATTGTTTCCATATATTTATAAGCACTTTATTCTTTTTTTTAATTAAAACAACCATCGATTATTCATTTGATTAATCGATTATTTTCAAATAAAATTGATTATCAAGAATCGATTATTTTGGTAATTCGATTATTAGGAATCGAATACTTTTTCGAATAATCGAACATCACTAGCTTTCTACATAAGGAGACTTCGAACGTCGAGCAACGCGGACGTCGTACATGTACTGAGATTATTAAGGTAAAAAATTAATATAATTTGTTTAACATTTTGGAATATCTGTAATTGCGCAAGATGCGAGCAATGATAAAAATATTAGTTTACTAAATTATCGTTATTAGTACAATAATATATCATTTAACTATCTTTTTTTCACTATGATACACGTCTGATGGCCGATGTCTATTTATGTAGAAAACTTCCTTAAAAAGATATTTTAGCGGTCAATTAATCCTTTGAAGCGTATTTTTTTAAATTAAATTATTAAAAAAAAAGTTTGTTTGATTTAGACTGTAAAAAATTACACACGCATATTGTTTCATTAATGTTCTGTAGGTAAGTCTTAATTATATGTGTCATTTCAAATCCTTGACTAAGCGATTATTTCCAAACGACTAATACGAATGAGGGTTGTCAAATTTTTAAAAATAACCTCTAATTGATTTATTAAAATTTAAATATGACTATTGAATAAATTCATTTATTTGTTTATTATTATCGGAAAGTCTATCAGTCAATGTGAAAAACATCCTGATGACAATTTTACTTATAATTCACTAGCTATCTTTTTTCCAAAATTTTTAATGCTTTCAATAACTGCTTAATCCATTACCCATCTTTTGAGTGACCTAAAATTGTGAATGCCAGCCTGGTGATTAACAAAATATGATAATCGACGATTCATTTTGCAAAATATAGTTATTTTTTAAAATAAACTTCAATTTAAGATAAATAGATACAAAAATAACATATATGATATATATGCAATAAAATTCAATTTAAAAAATACTTTCATTTTCAATTATGGTAAGGTGTGATAAATCATTTGAAAACTTAAACTATAAATTTCTCTTTTATTTCACAAGTAGTATTATTATTTTTTTTTTTTGAAATATATAATGTATACATTTCAAAAATATCCATTCATAAAACTTAAATAACAGAATAGTATATATTATTATATACCATTGTTATCAAAGTGAAATCTGATATTTATATCATCTGGCTACTATCAAATTCATAAAATAAAAGCCTCTTCGTTTTATTTCCGTTGTAAAGAAAAATTAAACGTAAGAAAAATTTTTTTCTAGAAACAGCGAACGACATTCGCTTACTCTCAAGTTTCAAGAATGAAGGTATACGGAAAAAAAATTAATAAATGATAATTTCAACACACTTTACTTATTTACACTTCCGACATTTGTGTTACGCATTAATCATCGGATTCACCTTCCAACGAAATTTTAACGAGAGGAAAGTAGGAAAAGGTTTTCCGTAAAAATCGCACTCATTTACTTCGTCGGTAATCATTTGATCCAAAGATTACTTATTACTTTATTTTAATCTAAAAATTATCTGCTAACTTAGCTTAGCTGAAACATAAACAGACCTATCCTAGTCATCGATTCTATGCCTCAATTAACACAACAATCACAAGAACGCAAGTGAAAAGTTTACATCAAAATCTATTTTTTGCATCTTATCAAACAGTAATCGTTCTTTTCCTCACTTTTGTGTTGTTATTGCATTATAGCAGCATGATCTTAAGAAAGGAAGAAAATTAAAAATATACAGAAAATTCGCATACAAAAGAAACGTCTACATTATCGCGGGACTCGCGCGCAAGCTGTCCTCGATTGGACATGTCACACATTGATTCATCAATGGGTATAATAATGATCCTTAGGCATCTATCCACAATTACATGAGCAGCAATCCTTCAGCAGTCAAAATTAAAATTCACGATAATCATCTTACGAAGAATTTTTCCAGATAAATAGAATTAAATGAAACTCTCATGATGTACATTAAGATTTCTGAGGCTATGATACCTCAAATCGTAGTGTCTTAACGGCTAATTTCAAAATGAACGATAATAAGATGCATTTGTTTTTTCTCAAATTTTCGTTCAATCGAAATGAAAATTCTATGTTAAAAAAAATGAAGGCGAAAAATAAAGGACACTGATTGGCGCGTGCTTGTCATCGCACAAAGAGGTCAGTAGAGGAACCGAAATTGCGGCGGTAGCTCGCTGCGATGCGGTCCCGCTCCTAGCTTCATCGAGAAAGTGAGTGTGAACGTTCGTGCGACTGTTGAGACGAGTCGCTCGATGAACGTGGCTCAAATAGTCGATGGTGCGCAGGTAAAGAGTCAAAAAATGGATGAGAAAGCGCTTCTTTCAAGGTAATGCGGGTCAATGGCTCGTATTTCAGCATCTTCTTTATGAGATCGAAAAGCTGCTGGTGATCGTCGTCATCAGACAGCAGGTATCTCTGTAAAAACAAAAAAGATTGATTTAGTGGAATTACTTTATATAGACATATTTGAAAAAATAGATTCAACATTAATTTTGTTCAATAGATACTTTTAATTTTATCATACTTTCGATCAAATGATTGCGAGAAATATTCTATTAAAATCACTTTTCAAGTTATTCTGATGCAATTCTATTATTACGAATATGCATTAGTTCTGAAATAAAACCAATATACTTACATGCAAAGGTTTGCAATTGTCACGAACATATCTACCAGCAGAGCTCTTTTCGTCCCATGCAAGTTTGCCATGATCAAAGTATTTAGTCTTGGTTTTACGTGCCATCCTGTGTGGAATTGAACCAAGTATACGTTCCATCATTGCAAGATGTTCGCGATTGTCATGTGTTTGGAATAAGGTGATTCCGAGGTAGAGCTCAAAGAGGATGCAACCGATCGACCACACATCACAAGGCTGTGCCCATCCTAATTCTGTAACGTATAAGTTAAAAATAAAACACCAGTTTTATTGCATAGTACACAATTTTCTGAGCATGAAATGAAAGGAAGTAGTAAATGAAAGTACCTAGAATGACTTCTGGCGCTCGATAATGTCTTGTGCTGACAATAGTGCTGTGATGCTCGTGGTCGAACGTTGCACTGCCAAAGTCAATAAGTCTAATGTCCGTCCTTTTCACTCTCCTCACATCTCGGCGCTACGAAAATAATAAGATTATTATTGTTACATAAACCATCCCAGCTGTTATCTACTTTCGAAGATGCATTTTTATTTTTACCTTTTTGCTGTTGTAGACAACGTCATAGTCAGAATCGACGAACAAAATGTTTTCAGGTTTCAGGTCTGTGTGCGTGAGCTTGTTGTCGTGCAAGAATTTTACGGAGTAACATAGTTGGTAACCCATATGTCTCACATGATCCAGTGGGTAGGGTTGGAAGTTATTGTCCCTCTATTGATTAAAAAAAGAAAATTAGTTAATGTTATTTTGTAATTAACACTGTTGAGCTAAGGTAAAATGATTAATTTACTAAAAAATCAAAGACGCTGAGTCCAAGCATCTCGAAAGCAATACACATGTGGCCGTGGTAGTTGAACCAGTCAAGCATCTTGACGCACAAGCTATAAAAATAAGAAAAACCAGAGTTAACAAAACTTCCGATGAAATAAACCATCTTCCTGATTTGAAGTTGCATATGCATTGTATCCAATTTGTATTTAAAATACTAACTTATTGCCTTCTGGATCCTTCACGGATATCTTCTCTAATACATTGATTTCAAGCCTGGCGGCTTCTCTGTACTTTTCGACATTCTTGATTATCTTCAAGGCCATGACGTGATCCCTAAGAGCAAATAAAATAAAATAATGATTTTTCTTTAATGCAACTGAGTACGTATCAATTTAGAATCCAGGGCGATTCGATTACTACCATAACTGTTGTAAGAATACTACGCCAGTAGTGCGTAATTTATGAATTTCTCATAAAAATAAATTGTATTTTTATTTTCAAGTACAAATATACACCATTATTATTTAATTTTATGGATAAAATGTTATGACACTTACTTAACATTATGTTAAGTACAAAAAATGTGTCTGTCTATGTGTGTGTGTATGTGCATGCGTGTGCGTGCGCGCGCGTTTTTAACAGTTGGAGTCGAGCGTCGGAGACATATGCCGCACGTACGCAACACATAGCGAAGATTCCCCCGCGAGAGTTGTTTTCATCGCGTCGCGCCAAAAATACGATAAGTTTGAAATTGCGTCGATAGTTCGTTTTGCATACTACTCTCTCGAGTACTAAAAATACGGAGGGGCGGCATTGAGTCTTACTTTAAATACTCGTTCGCCAGTTTAAAAATAGTCCGTTTTAATAATCTAATCGACACGATCGTGTGTCACTCAACGCCAAGACGCCTTAGATAAAATAAAGTATATTTCGTGGATACTTACATGTGCACGTCCTTAACCTTGACAACCTTCCCAAAAGTACCCTCGCCAAGGGTGGCCAAGATAACATCTGCAATTGAAAATCACGAATTAACTTCAATGGATTCTGAGGCGCGTGGCTTATAAGCACAAGCTGCACTTTTCGTTTGCCGTCACCTCCGATTTTTATCCAATAATAAGTATCAGCAAAAATCAGTTGAGAGGCAAACTTTGTCACAGATTGGCTCCTGCCTTAGTTTCTTTGTTTCTTTTTTTTCTTAGGCAATCATTTAGTCTTAGAATTAAAAACTGTATAAAGTAGAGTTTCTATTTTTTTTTATCTCATTTAAGTTCCTGTCTTCTGCACATTATATTTTTATTATTTACTTGAATGAGTGACTTGAAGTAATATAGAATAAGATATATACGGTTTTGTCTATTTTTATCATTATGCATTATCATGTGATAACACACGGAGACGCAAACATTTGAGATTTGCTGCGCTCCAACATAGAGAGAGAGACCCTAACAATGACCCTACTTCTTGTAGTTTTTGGCGACCGAGAGGGACTCTTGGTGACCTTTGTCGAGTAACTCAAACAAAAAGTAATTGTTTCCATTTGTATACTTATTATCAAAGTTTGAGAGTGTTCGAGATGATGAATGATTTGTTAGTGGAATACACAAACGTCACCAATTGTTGACCCACCGGTCGCCGCGTGTCAGTGGATGGAAAAAAAAGTAGAATATGTATGTAAGGAATATCTGTGTAAGGTTAGGATCATATAAATAAATTTTCTCTTGTCTTTTTTTCTTTTTAATTTACGAGCGCGAAAAAAAAATAATGACTTTGTATCTGGTGTGCACACTGTAACTCATTGAACTTGTTGAGCGAAATTGTTTTTTGTCAACTTCAAAGTCCTACAAAGTTACAAAATTTCTTTGTACGTCAATGAAATTTGAACTTTTCAAATTTTAAAATCAATAAAACTAACCAAAGACATTACTTTCTGACCATTTAATTGAAAAAGAAAATTCAGCAATAGCCGAGTCGACAAACTTTCAATCTATTATGTGAAATAAGAAGCAAAAAGTTGTATCGATCAGCTCATGGCTTTATCGCTCGTTATATTACACAAATAAATCAAATGAATGTAAGAATGCATGAATCGTGTCAGCGTTCTCTGTGTATGTGTGAATGAGAGTATGTGTTTATAAACAAAACAAAAAAAAAATTATAATTAAAATTAAAAAAAAAACAAAACAAAACAAAAAAAAGTACAAGAAGAGAGAATTCAACTACAATGAGTGTGTATTCACGTATTTGCATAGAGTTTGGTATTCACGAACATCTATTGGCCAGGGTGTCGCCAGATTGGTAAATGAGGTGGCCATCTTCGTCATCCTCGACGGAAGGCGCTCGTGGGCTCTATACACCGTGACCATGATCATCATCATCATCATCATCATCATCATCATCATCACGCACGCACGCGCAACACAAGCGATTTGTCCCCAACAACCATGGCGCAGTATCCAAATCCAAATCCAGATCCAGATCCAGATCCAGATCCAAGTCCAAGTCCAAGTCCATCCGTGCAAAGCCAGTATCCAGACGATGCAGTGGTCGTTGTGGTGGTCGTCGTGGCCAGGTTGCGCGACGAATTCGCGGCCGATCGCGGATGGCGGACGACGACGACGGCGTAGGGGTAGGGGGAAGAAGATGCGTTATTGTACGAAGACACACGCGGGACCACCATCATCATCACCACCATCGCCGTTGTTGTCGTGTGCGTGAGAGGAGACAGATAGATTGATCCGCCAATCGTGTAGTGACGACGACAGAGACAGTGAGACACAGCCGCAGCAATCAGCACGTGTATGGACCATTCAGATCAATCGCAGATGGATGTAACCCAACAATCAGAGAGAAAGGGGATAGGGCAAAATAGTTTGCCAAGTCAGAGATTTTGTTTGCGATTTTTTTTGTTCAATTTTGTTACAATATATTTATACATATTTTATAAATTATATTGTTTTTTTAATCATTAACTTTCGCGCGATGTACGCGCTTCTTTTGATTGTTAGCGCACATGTTATATATCTTAGTTCTTATGCTTCGTTTGATTAATTAATGTATGATCGTATATTATATAATCTTAATGGCTAATAGCATTCTTTTTCAGCAAAAAGCTTATGCTCTCTTATATGGTCGAGTACTGTATGTATTCGTAAACTTGCAAGCTAAACCACGAAAAATGGTTAAAAAAAAACGTAGCCTTGATTTACCTTGCAAGCTTTCTTTCCTTTGATATCGTCATTGCGTTCTTAGTTCGTAACGGTATTATCGAATGACTAAACAATATGTATGTTACAAGCTCGAGCCTCGCAGAAAGCTCACCTGTTTTCTTCTTCTTACAAATATATACGAAACTCGAGCTATGCGTACACACATAACAACCCACGACTCGTGTTTATGCTTGCATGCAACTTGATTAATCGGCTTAGGATGTATACATTTCTGTTATATATGTATGGTTATAGTTCACACAGTAGCTTGAGGAAAGTTGAGAAAGCGATCGTGTAGAGCAGACAGAGGTGAAAAGACAGTAAAGCGATTGATTTGTGTTAGGCTTTAAGGACAAAACAAGTTCGTATATGCGTGTATCCTCGAAGATTCGCAAATAGTGAATTGAACAAACAACCACAATAAACACGTCGATCGAGCAAAAAGACCCCCCCCCCTTTTCTGCCAGCTAACGCGCGAATATTTCAACGACTGCAATCAAAACAAAAAAGAACGGTTCGTAACTGCTATACTCGTCGTCGCTGTGTCGTTAGTTAGGCTGCTTAATATAAATCTCGGTTGCGCGCCACCTCAGCCGCAGCGCAAAATGGGGCCAGGAGGTAGGAGGTCGGCCTCGATCGAAGGACAGTGATAAAAAGGCCCGAAATAATGTGCCGATTTAATGCGCGACCAACAGGGTTGCGTGGCTAGCTCGTCCATTGTCGAATTTTTCTTTGCGCAAAGCCCACTTCGGCATCGCGACTCAACGCGGAGAATCGGAGTGATGATTTTGCCGATGTTGACGTGAGAAGCATTACTTTTTTTCTATTTTTTTTTTTTTTTGATTTGCAATCTATTTGACATCCAGCGATACGTAGGCAACGAAAAGGAATGTTTTTGCTTGTTTCATTCGGGGTCAAGTGGCGTAAATACGGCGTTTCTCTCGGGAAGAAAAGATTAACTGATGTAAACAGCAGTGTTGACGATAAGTTTATACATACATGTATATATATATATATATATATATATATATATATACACATATATACACATATATATATATGTTTAGTGTCGCAATTCAAACAAGTTATAAACAAGCGCTCTCTCGATTTTTTTTTCCTTTTCTCCTTAAATTACAAGGGCGTTTGCATCGCAAGCGAAAACAACACATGGCGTTTCCCTTTCCGACGTCGTATCTTTCGAAACGTATTTTTGCTGGGATGACTTACGATGGGCGCCTTCCTAGAGAATCTCCTGGCATTATCAACCAGCAGGAAATCGTCGTCGTCCACCAGTTCGTCCTCGTTATCATTCACCATCAAATTACAACTACTCCTCTCGACGTTATTGTTATTATTCTTTCTACGCTGATACTTGCTGGCGATGGCATCGGTCGCGCTTTGGCCGTCGTTGACCTCGTCGAGTGCCGCGTACTTAGCAATGAGGCTTTGTATCTCTTTGCGCTTTGCTTCCCTCTCGACGATCTTCGGATCGTTGTCCAACAATTCCGGAAGGATTTTTGCAGCGCGACGTTCGACTTCCTCGGCTATCGGCGTCTTATCGGGATCGTCCGATAAGGTTACGTGCGTCGACATGTCGGGTTGCTCGCTTTTGCCTTGTCGTAGTTGTGGACGGATTTTGCGGCTGCGGCTCTCGGCGTGACCGGATTTGTGACGACCATAGCGATGGAACGAATCCGACGACGACGCCTGATGACTTCGGCCGAGCAATGGCGAGTAGGTGTCGGCGAGATTCAGCTCGCTGCTGCTGTGACTGTTGCATTTGCTGACGAATTCGTTTGACGACGATTAACATTCGTGTTTCTCTCTCTCTCTCACACACTCTCTCTCTCTTTCTCTCTCTCTCTCTCTCTCTCTCTCTCTCTCTCTCTCTCTCTCTCTCTCTCTCTCTCTCTTTGCACGTTGGCTTGTCCGCGGTGCTTCTCTTTGTTCGAGCGTTGACGGGAATAAAAAAAGAAATGTGGAAATAGCAGCGCGAGCGTAGAAATCTTGGCAGAAGAGCTTCATTGGATTTGGAAAAGGACGAAGCGACGACGGGTCGCAGCCGATCGAACCTCGATTCAACCGATTTTTCCCACTCGAAAAGGTTTCGACCAAGTTTTCGTTTCCTCTCCCTATGGTCGCTAAACTTTACATTGAAAATCTGCTTTTTTATTTTTACTTTTTTCCATCAGGCAGCGCGTTCTGATTTGTCGCACGAAAAATCTTCTACCAACAGCTATAATAGCGGCAGTATTTTACTTGAAAAGCAATAATAAACGTTATTTCGAATCGATCGCAAATATCCACCAGTTGAACACCTATTAATAACCGCACGCGCACGCACATACGAGTGATCGTGTCAATTTCGAAAAACCCACGTGTGCTCGTGTGCGTTTGCCACTGAAGCTTGTCGCCGGGAAATCGGGAAGTCTATTTCCGCGCTGAGGCAGGTAATTGAAGCTTTCGCGCGCGCGCGCTCTCCGCTCGCGAGCGAGCGAGAGAGAGTGTATAGGTATTAATACGACTGTTGGCACAAGCTCCAACATAACTCTCTCACTCTCTGCGCGGGGAATTATTTTTAATGTTCCAAGCGAGTGCGGCACGCGCGCAAAAGGAAAAATCGGCGTAGTTCGCGACGAGCGAAAGGGGTCGAGAATTTCGGCTCCCTTAAGTGAGCAGCACCGCGTCGTGCGCGTAGATCGTCACCGTCGCCGCGAGAGCCAAGGTCTCGGCCGACCTTGAACTCCATTTCACCCGCGACCGCGGGGGAGAAGGAGAAGCACCGCGCGAGCAAGCAAGCGCGCGCGTCCACGCTCTGCCACTAACCCTGTGGCGCGGCCCTCGGCGTTCCTTCTCGGCCGACCAGCACGCCTCTCGTGGCCGCAGGGCGTCTTCTCGCGCCTGACCGGGCTCACGTACGGGTAAGCCTTCTCGCTCAGCAGGATCGCGCTGCTGCTGCTGCTGTTGATGCCGCCGCCGCCGCCGCCGCTTGGGCTCTTCAGCACGCTCCTTCTCGCGGACGGCTCCAGCGTCCTGTCCTCGCGCACGAACGGACTGGGCTCGCGCCGATGACGCTGCTGCAGATTGACTCGACTGCCGCCCAGAAAGCTGGGCTTCCGATCCAGCACGCTCGAGTACTTCTCCTCCAGGCGCGTCCTCGCGCTGCCCAGCAGCGTCGAGTCGTCCTTGTGCTGGCGATGCTGCTGGTGGCGCGGCTGCGGTCGGGGCGTGCTCGGAATCGAGACGCTCGCGGCGGACGCGGAGGTCAAGAGCGCCGGACGCTCGACGGTCGTCGACGGGCCCCTAACGCGGCTCGTCAGTCTCTGCAGCAGGCTCGAGCACGAGTCGCTGAGCAGCTGGGTCACGCTCGTCGTCGAAGAGCGCGCGTACCGATTGCTGCGACGCGGCGTTGCCGTCGTCGTCGACGCCGACGACGTCGTCGCCGACGGCTGCATGCTCGCGCCGCCCGAGCTGCTGGCGTCCCTCGCCGACGCGGGCGCGAATATGAACATCGCGCGCAGACCTCACCGAGGAGCACGCACCAACACGCGCGCACACCTGCACAGAAGCCACTTTTGCTTCGGCTCTCCTCAATTGATCCTTATCTCGTCCTTGCGCATCATCGTCTTCATGATTGATCACGCGCGCGCGCGCGCGCTCCCAACTCGGACGACGCAAACGTTCAATCTGTGCTTTGCTACGAGTGCTAGCCGTGACTGGCCGTCGCCGCTATTACTGAGCGCCCGTCGAGACAAATTCGAGCGCCGGCGGCGGCAGCGGTAGCGGCGGCGGCGGCGGCGGCAACGGCAACGACGAAGACGAAGACGACGACGAAGACGACGACGAAGACGACGACGACGACGACGACGACGACGATGACGACGACGAAGACCACGACGACGAGCGACGCTCGTGCAACCCGCCAAATAGCCTCTCAAGCGCGCGCACTCACACGTACACACAGCGCGACTGATACTAAAAATACAATCCTCCGCTGTGGACTCGCGTGTGCGTGTACTCGTGAGAGATCTTGGCTACGCTATGTGCTCGTGTGTATTCTAAACCATCCGTTCGGAGATAGATACTACGCGAGGACGCGATAGAGGGAGAGGTTTCGTCGCAGGCTTTTCTTTTGTCCGGAATTTTGGATGCGCAAGGTCACCGCATGCATGCATGCATGCGCGCACGCGCGTCTTCAGAGCTGCTGTTTTTCCGCGTAAACGGCAAGAATCACGGCCAAAATATTTCGTCGTCGTACCTCTGAACTTGAAAAAGCTACATTGGCTCGCTGGAAAGACCGCGGGAAACGGGCAGCCGCGCGCTTCGGGTGAGCGATTTTTTCTCTTTTATTTTTTCAACGCGTATTCATTTGCCCGTTCTATATCGTGAAAATCCACGTGCCTATGTTTCTGAGATGAGACTTTTCACAAGATTGCACAGAAAAGATCTACGCACGAAAAATAATAATAATAATAAGCAAGGAAAACACAAAGCATTCACCGTGAAATACGATAGCGACGTTGGGAGCTTCTGCCAGTACGCGCGCGTCGGTCGGCGAACGCAAAAGCCGACTCGCGTTCGAATTCGCGGCAAACGGCCTACATCATGTCGGGCGCTTGATCAATCGACGCACTTTTCTCGATATCACGCGCGAGTTTTGACATCGCCGTCCCTCCCGGAAAACAAAAATGATGATTCACTTGCGCGCGCTGAGTGAGAGAGAGAGAGAGAGAGGAGCTTTATTTATACAAAACTTGAGACGCGGCGCAATGCTTGCGCGTTATAATGACTTCGCTGTTGGCTTGCACCCGATCGCGAGTAAATCGGCGCCGAGAGGAGGGCGGGGCGCGTGGGCAGCGAGAACGTTTATTATTAAAAATCGTTATTAGGTCGATCGCCGAACTAGTTCGCGAGAAGGCCGCTGACGAAACGGCCGACCGAACACCTTCGCTCGGTTCGACGATCGAACGGCGGCATTGGCGCGCGGCCCCTGCTGTGCTTTCCAAACGCCGACTTCCCTCGCCGGCGAGATGCTTCGACCTTAGCCGAGCTTCCACTCGCATCTCGCCCAGACTGGCGAAGGCTTTCCACGACAGCCAAGAAGCCCTCGACGCTGCCGCGAATCACGGCTCTGCGCGTTACGTAAACGCCGCGAGCTCTTGCCAATATTTACATTGCAAAGGCAAAACTCCAATGCTCGCCGCGTGGGCTCGTGGGCTCCGGTGCCAAATATCCCGCGCAAGCGACTTCCCTCCGAAGGAAAAAAAAACGAGAGAGAGAGAGAATACTCGAGTGAGGCGACTCCGCGCGTTCCATTTCGAAATAATCGCAAGCGCGGAGCTCTCGCGAAGCGCACAGAGGGAGCCTTTTCCCGGTCGTCGGCTGCCTCAGGCGCGCGACGCATGCGCGAGCAACAGCTCGCGTAGGAAAAACGAGGTTACGCAGACGCGGTAGGGAGCACGAGGATATCGGCCGGCGCGCTGCCTCTGCCTCGCTGCAGGTCAAAAGTCGCCTTGCGCCTGATCGCGCGAGCGGCGTGCGCTTGTTTGTTTGGTTAACACACATTGCAGATAACAACACGCATGTCTCGGGGCTGTTAGTGGCCAGCAAAGGAATTTGCGCTGAGGACTGGACATTTGCGACAGTCGGCGCGTGTTTATGATATTCGGACGCGTGTGCTTTATTAATAGTCGGTTCGAGGAGTACACACGACAGCCCGTGAGAAGTAAGCCACCGCCGCGCTGAATATCACGTAATATCAGCGTGGCAACATTTTTTTTTCTTTTGCCCTCCGTTGTGCTCGTATCTCGATTACATAACGTAAAATAAATTAAATCATCCGATCGTTTGTCGCGTGTGCGTGTGAGTGTGTCGAACCTCAGTAGTAGTAGTAGTAGTAGTAGTAGCAGTAGAAGTAGTAGTAGTAGTAGTAATAGCAGCAGCAGTAGCAATAGTAGATTGGTGTCGAGCGATCTGCATCTGCACTTGGCATCGCTGTCTTAGCGGCGGTGGTGGTTTCTCCGTGATAAAGACCATCGTTGGCTTCACTACAACGTCGCCGTCCGACCCGTCCGGCGGCCACGGCGGTGGCCAGCGCTGGTGCTGTTGCTGACTCTGCTGGTGATCCGGCGGCCACCAGCCACCGCGTACCTCGTGGTGCTGTAGCAGACGTTTGCGCTCGCCGAACGACGACATTTCGAATAGCGAGGAAGCGATGATCAACTGCGTGACACGGCGGCGGTGTACGACCACGCCGAGTTTGTACTGCACTCGCTTGCGCGCGCGAGTTTCGGAGAGCGCGCGATCCAAAATAGCAGCAGCAGTAGCAGCAGCAACAGCAGCAGCAGCAGCAGCAGCAGCAGCAGCCGAGCCGCCGAGTTCCACACACCGCCACCGCACCAGATGAGAAGGCCTCCTCTCTGTCTGAGTCTCTGAGTTTATACTGGGTAAAAGCTCTCTATCTCTCTTTCTCTCTCTTTCGATGCGAGATTCTATGTTGCGGCTTCTCATCGGCAGGTTTCCTTTCGGGTTTAATATAAACCACGACGGTGAGCCTCGCCTCCGGATGCGTTTTTATTTTTTTTATTTTTTCACTTATTTATTTATTAATTTTTTTTATTAGAAAACGCGGCACTATATTGAGATAGCCTGTGTTCCGCAATCGCGCGCCTTCGATTGTGCTTATCTCGTCGGTTCAAATCGTAAATCTTGAAAACGCCACGACGCTTTTTATCAGCCGTAACGAGTAGCTTCTGACCTTCTCGCAACCGCATGCGCACGAAACGAGAGAGGAATCGTGAGAGAGCTTTTCCCGCTCGCATGATTCATCCGACTGTGTTTATTCCCGGTGGAGCTTTCATCGGGGAATTTCAAAAGCGAACTTGGTAACGTTGCCATTGATTAGTTTTGCGCACGCATAGGGCGTCGCGTACATCTCGAGCGGAGATCGTAACGCGCATACGCCCAAGATGTATATTGAAAATCCGTTGTCCTCTTCGTAATCCAGGCGGCGATCTTGGCATCCATTCAACTATCTAGTACCGATTTCTGAGAAGTTCTCTGCTACGTCCAACAAGAACCACGCGCAAATCTTTTTCCCCTCCGGTTTCATAAATATGAATGACCTCCTTGTCACGCACATCAAGATCGAAAACTCGTTTTAATCGAGAGGACAGAACTCATTTGTCAATTCAACGTCGAAAACTCTCGCGAGCGAAGCCACCTAATTAAGACATTGGTGTGTAGCGAGGTAGGAATCGCCCTCGCATTGTTCTCGTACGTGGGTAAAAGTCGGGCGAAAGAAAGAGAGAGAGAAAGAGAAAAATCGCGCGATGACGAAACGACTAACTATGATTATCTAATGTATGGTTCGCTTGAAAGGACATTTTTCACTTCAGGTGGCCGTATATTCGGGTTTTTCATGCAGAGGACACTCAATCGGTAAATGGATCCCATACCCGCGAGCAGTTCCTGAATAGTGTAATAGCACTATTACAGTCGAGGAGGCAGGAAAAGGGATTCATTCATTCATGGAGCGTAAGTTAACTAAATAAATGGTAGTTTTACTTCGACGCGTCAAGTGTCAAAGTGTTGACGGCAGCGCAGATCTGTACCGGTAGATATTATTCTTCAGTGTTCTTTGTATACGTTGCCGTATTTTGTACAGATTTATATTATACTTACAAAATAAATTCAGCCGATAATCGTGATTATGGGGTAATTAGTGATGAAAGTGATAGTGGAACTGAAGAAAATAACATTTTAGATGTAAAATTTGAAAAACAAAAATGTTACGTATTATACTCAATATATTACTATCTGTGAATAGTTGTGCCGTATATGATTCATTTACCGACCGACTGTTCTCTGCATGCAAAACTCTCATACGGCCTTGTTAGAAGCAAAAAATTTATTAAGCATCAGCAGCGAAATGAGTGCCACTTTACCGCAGGGGGAAATGTTTTCATTATACTATCTTGCACTGAAAACATATCCTCGTCCGGTGTCATGGCACTCGTTATGCTACTGACCCATAGATAACTAATACTCTGCATGTACGCCTTTTTCCGTTTTTCAATGCGGAACCTTCGCTACGCTTTACATCGCTCGTTCGATCGGCTTTCATCCGTGCGCGTGCGCCTCTGTTCGATCGACTGAGTTCATGCATTACACGCGGGACCATTTAACGCCGACTTTATTCTTTTGCTCTTGTTCGTTACAACTGCACGGGTAAATCAAGTGATGCCGAAAAGAAAAACGCGCGCGCGCAGGTCGTTGCGAAAAAACGCACGAGTTTCAGGATGTCGAACCCGCGTAGAAATGGGCGCAGAGTCAAGGCTTCCAAGCGCGCAGAACGACAAATGAGATTATCAACGTCGTTTTATTATTTATTTTTTTTCTTCGGAAAACGAGGATGAAATTGCTCACTACGTGGTTTTTCTTTCCATCGGGTAATCGATTTGCCTTGTATTATGAAGATTTTTTAGGGCGAGTAATTTGAGGATATAATCGAATTTATTTAGGAGATAATTGCGAACGTTTTACGGTAATTCGATATTTGACTATTTTTGTTAGTTATGAATTGTATAGCTTTGATAGTAGTGCTAACGAGCCTCGATTGTGTTAAATTAATTGCACAAAAAAAACCGTACTATTGACTTGATATTTTTGAAAGAATAATGTTGTGGATTCGCGTACCATTTAGAAAAATAGATGAATAGAAATTAAAGACATGTCGGATACCACTGCATTTTTTAATAATAAATTTAAAGTTATTAATAAACTGTCAACTATTGCAAAATGATGGATTGACGATTGTCATCACAACCGTTGTTATCGAATAGTGTTAATATAAGAGCACATTAACAATGCATCCACTTATTACAATTTCTGTTTGCACAAATAGGTAAATACCGCATTGTTCATCTAACATGTCTTTAACTCACATGTCACTTGAAAGTACAACATAATAATTTCGAAGGAAATGAAAAAAACTCGCTCGGTCACGCAGTTCGTTTTGCCACGACATACAGCCTTTGACGACAATATAAAACTGCAAGGTTTAATTAACCGCGTCGCGTTCACTCACCTCATGGTAGAAGACGTCGAGTCTGACGAACGCTCGCCACTTCATGTCGAACTGTTGTGAGTCGTCGCGAGAGACTGTTGCCGCGAGTTCGAGTTGTTGCTGCTACTACTACTTCGCGGCTTAAAGAAAGAATGGGAGAGAGAAAGAGAGAGAAAATCGACTTGACGCGCGCGGACTGCGTTGCTGCAGTGAGTCAAGCGCAAGCGGAAGTCCTCGAACAAAGCGCGCGGCAGATCGGGATTTTCGAAAAAGGAAAGTTGCTCCGCTGCAGCCAGCGCGCGCACACAAAAGGGCCCACATGTCAACAAAGACGCGCCAGGGGCAAGTTTTGCGAATTCTTCGAGGATGATGATTTTTCCGAGGGTGCATGTGTGAAAAGTTGCAAACGGTTTTGTCAGAAGTGCGATTTCGACGACTTTTTATCAACGGTGCTCTTGCGTAAGCGTTGTCTTGGAGTCGAACTGACTCACATTTTTTTCTCCCGATCGAATTTGGTATTTAACAGTCGCGTGCTGAACTCACGCGTTGATCTGTTTATGTAAAGGAAAAAAGTGCAGTTAATTTCATTCACGACGATGGTGTGAATGACGACGAACCGAACGGTTTTGGTTGTAAGATTACGACGTCTTTCTTTGTTTTCTCACGATCTCAGACCTCTTGTTTCTCGGTGATTAGTGTCTTATTTTTTCACTTGCTTTCTGTCATTTCTTTTGTCGTAGTTTATATTACAATTGTTTGAAATTCTTGTACTCGAGAGCAAAACTATTCTTTAGTTTTGAAAAAGAATGAGCAAAGAACGCAAACGTCAAAGTCATCGAAACACACATTTCAAAGCCGTTCATCGAGTGCAAAGTGTATTTATGAAACAGCATACAGTAAGAAGAAGAAAAAGAAGGAAAAGGGTAAGAAAAAAAAAGAGGAGGACCACAAGGTCCGTCGGAACGTCGGCCAATTTCGTCGCATGTGAAAACTCACCTGACTCTTAGAGTGTGAACGATGTCGGTGTCGCTCGTGATTGGATGGCGGTGGCGTGGCGGTCGAGCGATGGCGGTGTGCCTTGTTGCGCTTCGAAGATGACGACGACGTTGTCGATGACGCTGTCTTGTCGGTTGCCGTTGACATCGGTGGATGAGTCGAATGGTTCGCCGCGAGTGCCGCTGAGGTTGCCGCCGTGGCGGCTTCCTGACGATCGCGCTCCCTTTCGCGTTCGCGTACCACCGCATGGAACGACGTGGTGTTATGATGCTGGCGTGACGAAGACGGCGACCTACGGTGCGAGCGCTTGTAACGGCGCTCCTGAGACGTGCCCCGCTCGTGCTGACGGGAACGTAAGACCCTCTCGCCACTGTTGAGAGAAAAAGAGCCATTCGTTTCAAATTAGTTGTCTTCTCGGATGATCGTGCATGAATTATCGTTCGCTCGACATTTTTCTCAAATACCGTTCGACGACACGGATAAAAATTTACGGTTCGCAATCCTCGCAATGTGAGTTTTGCTGCTGCATTTATCTCATCTGACTGCACGCGTGGGAGCTTTCGAATTAATACACGCACAATTTTATATACCATTTTCATTGGGAATGCACATTCGATTTTTATTGCACTGGGCGTTTCGGTAGCAGTTTCATTGTTCTGTAATTGTGTCACTGAGACGACCATTCGAGAACAGTGTTCAGCGGAACTCACTGCTGTTCCATGCAAACTTTCGAACATTAACAAAAAATGTAACGTTGATTTCGGGGTCAGAGCAGTCGACGTTCTACAGCAGTTATCGATCCTGAGCTAATGATATCCACGCTCCAGTCGGCTGCTGGCGTACAATGAACTTTAACTGTATTTCAGATTGAGAATTAATGAAACGTTGAAATTTGCGACAAAACTTTTCCTAGCACAACAAAGAAAAAAAAAGCGAAGAATATCAGAGGGAGCGAGAACGACAAAAATAAAAATCGAGTGTAACAAGCTCAACAGCGGAAAACAATGCGTCCAATTCACAAAGCGAGAGAGGCAGATGCTAACGACCTCCCGCATTGAGGCTTTATTTGCTGTATGCGTGTGTGTCTGTGTTTGAAGAGATTCCAGTGTCGATTGATCGTCGCGTGGCAATATACGCCGCATTGCGACATAACGTGAAAAAAACTGTACGTGCAGCTGATCTCCTAATGAGTTTTGCATGTGCCGACGTTCCTATTTTCGATGAATGGAAAGCTGACTTCTTGGATTCTTTCGCCGATAGATGGAAAAACTGTTGGCGCACATAGTCCCCTTGACCTTCTCGAAAGAGAGACAGGATAACTCGGACGTTTTCAGTTGTCCATTTGAAAAGTTGCACGCGAGTTGGAGCTTCCGGATGTGTTTTACATCAAGCTGACTCGCGCGACAAAGAGCAGAAGAAGAAAAAACAAACAAGCGGATTTCCAAGTCGGTCCAGATTTCAGGAGGTGAATCAGCGGGAAATGACGCGCTCCAGCTCAATTTTTCCCGAATCGGCAGATTAGATTTTCTTCGAGCGTAACACAATGAATTTCGATCAGCGGCGCACTTCATAACACATTGGACTTTCGACAAGAGCAGTTTCACAATTGCACCTACCCGAAGCAAGCAGGCGCGAGTCGCGAGAACAGGTCGCCGAGCAACTTAGCGCTGTCCGTTCGGGCGCGAAACAACAAGCAGTTGTCAACGTACCATAATTGCGACGGAGCTTGCGAAGAGAAGCGCCGACGCGCAGGTGCTATATACGCGCGAATTGGCCGTATAGTCGTTCGGTGGCGCGCGCACCACGCGCACGAACGGAGCGAGGCGGCCGCAGCCATCCGGCAAAGAAATAAACCGCGCGAAGCCGCATAATTAAAATTCCCCGAAGGCATGACTCACAGCCGGAGTCTGCTCTGAATTCTAACCTTGCACTTGCCTCGCTCCTTTTGCAATCGACAAATTAGGCATCCGCGTGGCGCATCCGTGAGAAGATGCGAAGGTTCAAGGCGAGTCGGTAAACTTTCCGTTCCGTCTGTCGAGAAAGTGAAAAATAACGACAATTTGCGGCCACAGCGGAGCGAAAGGAAAAAAAAGGACCGATTCTGGCAGAGCAGTCGTTGGACCGGGTCCAGAAGGCCTTGGAACGGAGGGAGCGAGAGAAAATCTAACGAGGGAGAGTGTCTCTAGGCGACACAGCACAAAACCGAATGGAGGTCAAGCCCGCAACGGCAACTTATTGCACCCTTCGCCGGGGCTTCGCCGCGAGCACGCCGTGGCTCCAATGAGCTGCGCTGCCCAGCGTCGCGAGCGTTTCATTTCGAGGCACGCGACTGCCAGCCGAACGGTGAATCGTTCAGCTATAAATCGAGAGCTCGTCGATTTTCAACGTATTCCAACTAAGAGAAAAGAGAAAGACGTGCTTTTTGCTGCGAAACGAGCTTGACGACTTTGTTTGACGACTAATACAAATTGAAAGCCGATTGACCTGCCGCTGGCTGACAATCGAAAGCCATTAAAAAACATTTCTCCGAATTGAAAGCTACAGCAATGATAAAAGAAATAACGAAACGTGCCATTGTTAATTAAGGGTTGCGGAGTGGGCAACAAAGGAATTCCTAGCATTATAACGAATCAGCCGTCGCGTGCGCGTGAATTGACTGTCAACGAGCAGCAGTACAAGCGCTGAATTGCAGCTGGTTAGCGTCTTTCGGAAAAGAAAAAAAAAGCAACGAGTAAGCGCGAGACAAGAGAAGCTCTTTCGCGAATGGGGAACTTCCGGCAGAAGGTGCACAAAGAGGGAGGGAAAAAAATTCCGTTGGACGAGCGTGGCGCGCGACCTCGCGACTCTCCTCCAAAGGACGAACTTGTGCTCTTCTTCTCTTTCAATATGCATGTGCGCAAAGCCATGGATGCGCAGTGAACGACTTGGAGAGATTCCAGCTGTCGCGCGGATACAATTGAACTTTTCGGGAGGAGGGTCCTCCCGACCGCTTCGCACTTTCCCACGCTCCTCCTAATGCACCTCGTGATTTATCGGGAATGAAAAGACAGCTACGTTGTTTTTGCGAATGCCTTAGGCGCGCGCGACTCAATTACGCATTGAAATATAGTCGTCTGATAAACGAAATGGCTCTTACGCATTAGACGCGTGGAAATGGTTTTCATGCGCACGATCGCGTTGCCGTATTTGTGCATCGCTCTCGCGCGGCTAAGGTGTTAGCGAACACAACACACTCTGCCTGCGTCGCGGCCATCTAAGCTCGAGCATATTTTCGTGGCACCCTGAACGATCATGAATATGTAGTAGTACCTCTGCAGTAGAAAGACAGCCAGAGCAGGCATGATAGCACTCTTAAACTCGCCGCTGAGTGAAATCGCCGCCGCACCACTGCTGCCTACTCGGCGTACTACTCGCTGCACATTCGCTGTTCCAACACAGACGGCGCATCATCCAGACGAATCTTCTCTACTTCTGGCGCGCTATCCGCACTAACTCTGCACTCTGCGAGTGCGTGGGAGAATTTCGGGTTTGCGTACTCGACAAAGTTGCGACTGGAAAAGGAGCTGCTTGAAACGCGCCGCACCAAAATGGTAAACGCTTGTCTTCTGGAACTCCCGCGCTTCGCTTTTAAAAATAAACAGCGCGCGCGATGCAACGAATGGATAATTATGCTGTAGGCCGTGAACGCTCGCGCTAGCTTTTTCCAGTGTTTTTATTCAAAACAAGCCTCTCCGAGCTTGAATTCCAGGCGAATTCAATTCCTCGCGGTAGCACACGCGTCTATGCGAAAACCACAGAATCGCGCAACTCGATGTTCGGTCCGTGTTATTTGTAGAGAAATAAACGTACTCGAGAGCGTATGACTGGGAAAAATAAAATTTTAAACAAGACCGTAGAATCTTAGTTACTACCTTGGCGCACGTAACATAAAGAATTTGCAAACGTCGTCCGGCAAGGCTCTGCTCTACGATTGCATGAAACGAAAATTCAAAATTCTCCCGGAGTTAGAGAAATAAAACAAATGTCCAAACCTTTTCTTTGCCTTTTGTACACACTAACTCTTGTACGTGAAAAAAAAAGGTGGTTGCTCTTACGAGCAGCACGCCGGGCGAGCGACTGTGTGGTAACCACCACAGCTCGAGGATATTGAATGATGTGTACGCGCTACAACGTCGTCGCGGCGCGCGCGGTGGGAGACGACGCTCGATCGGCGAAAAGAGGAGGGATAGCAAGCTCTAATGAAAAAAAAAAGAGGGAGTAGGACGACGCGTGCCAAAATAAGACATTCTTTTGTCGAGTGTACTGCTGATTTGCAACGTTCGTGGTTTTTCAGTGATACGCCTCCGTATATACTTGCATGCGTGAGTGTCTGTTTATTAACATTTGAATAAGTTGGATAGCGACGTCTTTGCTTTCGAGTATAAGTTAGTTGAGAGGATGTAAACAATATTGAATTGACGACCGATCATAAAGGAACCATGAATAATAGCACATTTCATGGCTGAGCAAATATACCTTTCTGCGTCATGCATATTTTGCCAAGATCATCTGAGTAGACATGCAATTTGGCCATTTTACTATCCGTAAGAAAAGTTATTAAAACTTATCAAATTAAATTTGTCCCTCTCCTTGCAACGATGGATCTCATCAATACATGCAAACTACTGATCAATTGATGTACACACACTCTCGCCATTTTAAACATTAAAAAAGAAAGAAAAATGTTTACCCCTTTTAGCATACAATACACACGCCCATTATGAATAATCATGTGCGTGTAAAAAAAGGCAAACTCATTTTCGTAATAACACTGCCCAACAGGGTAATGCGCACTACACATAGGCGTGTGTATATAAAGAAAGTCAATCCTCCGCAGTCACGGCAAAATTGTAGTAAGAGACTAGCCTGTCGCTTCCTACATAGGCGAATCTTATCTGAAACTTTATAGATTGTAGCCCTCATGAATTATTACTAGCTACTAGCAATTATCTCGGAAACTTCTGACTTTTTTTGTGAGCTTACGTCACCAAAGTTTACGTAAATATTTTTTACATTAAATTACGTGCTTATATCAAAATATTGTCATATTGTGTTGCTAATAGATTATTGTAGAACTAGCCTCTTAATTGCTATTTTCTTCTAGATCGTAACATTCGAAAGGAAAAGATTAACGGCCATTCTTATGACTTAATTTTTTCGATTGATGTTTAGGATGCTTTTTTCTGAATTAATTTTTTATTTGTTGGATTTGCTTATACGAAATAACAGTTCAGATGAGATAAATTCAGTGACACATAAAAACAATAATCAACATTTATAAATATAAATAGTTTCTTATTAAATATAAATATCGAAGTAGAAATCTGAATCACACTACTGCAATATAGAAAAATAAATTGATAGCACATTATTCATTGTTCAAATGCTAGGTTTTGTGTAGTTTTTAATAATAAAATGCATTTCCTAATTTGATTCAATTTATAGTTTTTTATCTATGACAGCTTAAAGTCCTCTATGATTTTAAGTTACATAACAATTTATTTGAAATGACATAATTAATTTACATTTTCTTAGATCAATATCTACTTATCTTACAGTAGGTAATACAGATTCCTATTTGCCGAGAGCACATGTTTTTGAATCACCATTTCATGAAAATTGTAAATTTACCTGTATGTTCCTTTGCTCTGTGGACTGTCGTAATCAACTCGTCTCCGCTTGTGGTCATATTGTGGAGAAGCTGGTGTATGTGACCGCGAATGGCTTCGCGAGCGGTGACGTCTTCTGCTTCGTGGCATCTATATAAAATAAATCAATTAGAGACAATTTTTTAAATAAAATTAGAACTTACTATAAACGAACTGTAAAATTTGTAAATTAAAGGAATGCTAATTATTATAAAGCACTCATCTGTTATTTAAGATCAATTATACATGCAAACATTTCTTAAAAATAAATTATAATAGCAGGCTTTAGAAAAAGTATTCGTGTACTACACATTAGAAACTTATTTATTTGGAAATAAACACTCAATGATAGCTAAGAAAATGAACAGCTGAAAATTGTCGCTGATTGCAATACAAATGACCATAAAATCAAAATAAATATTGCAAAATCAATATAAATATATGATGAGCATGATGATGAGATAAGGGAGTCACTCCTCACTTACGTTAGCAAGTCGGAAGAGACTCACTTGGTCCCAAACAAAATTGAAGAGTGATGATATCCAAGAACGTGAGGATGAAGTGAATGACGATAAAGAAGCTTGCTGTGGTACAACACTGCTTTGTGGTATTGAGGCAGATGAGGAGGACATCTGCTCAAAACACTCTGCAATAGGTGTTGATGATAAATGCAAGGGTGAAAAGAAAAATTGATGAGTGACTATTTAGACTATAAATGACTTCAATTAAGATGCAGGTATGGCAACAAAAATACATAGAGAAACTTTACACCTCAGCTTAATAAACTTTGTTTTGTGATAAAGAATTTAATGTTGAGTTGCTTGTTTATTTATATTATTATTTTGAAGTTTGTCAGTTAAAGCAAAATATAATTTTAAACAATAGTTATTAATTTTTTTTTAATTTTTTTTTAAAGCTTACGTATGTACAAGGTATATCATTTTCTTTAAATGATATATTAATAATATTTATTCCCACTACAAATTTTATATTAAAAATGTGAATATGGCATAACATGCAATGCTTGAGTATCTTTTTAGCCAATGGTTATACACAAAGCATAATATTGAAATCATCACAGCTGTACAATATTCCAACCCATTAAAATTTTTTAAAATAAGTAAATAAGTATCTTAATAATAAAGAATAAGCCCATTATTTGATAGCACTTTCACCAAGTATAGTAATATGAAATCACAAGTCCAAAAAATTTGAATAATCTAAGTACCAAACAAATTAAAAAATTTTTATTTCAAGTTGGAATCATAAGAAAAGACATCTGTGATATAGATGAATAAAGACCTTGAAATGCAAAGATGTGAACGACAGCAAATGTGTCAACTCCAGCCGTAGTAACTATATATAATATGCAAATCACTTAGAGATTGGCAAAATAAGAAACTTTTTATCAGCGAAAACTATAACCGATACATGTTTCTTGTGAAATACACGCTCTCAAACAGAAAATCAACGAAATTCTTGAGTTAAATATGCTCTGATAAACCGTGCAGGTATACTCTGCTCTCGAGACGAACTTTCACGATTCGACCGCCATTTTGGAATATCTGCTCTGTATCTTTGTTTCTATCTCATTGTAACGCTCGTCTGCTAACCGTTTCATGACCATCAAATACTGTACTCAATGATAAGATCTGTATTTACGTTTACGAGTAGTTATAGTTTTATTAATAATCATAACAACTATTCTTAATGACCTCTCGTATATGCAGTGGCTCAACAAAAACTTTATCGCAATTACTAGTCTTACACTTTTATCAAGACATAAAGTTTTTTATATAAGATATAAAACAAATAAAATTATAAAAGCTTCTAATTTAAGTTCAAACACTTACTGTTAATAATTACTATTGTAACGAAATTATTTCAGTTTATTGCAATTTAAAATCAAAGTATCGCGTAAGATACACGTCATTATTGAAAAAAGTGAATATTATATTTACTGTTTAGAGACAATCACAGAAACAAAAAATACTATTATCAATCAGACAAATTAAAACAATATTCCTGCTAATAAGATTAGCAGGATGCTGAAAGGTATCTGAGAATAGCAAAACGAATCTGAAACGAAGATGCGCGCCTTTTTTCCGAAGCAACAACTGCGCACACGGGAAAGATTGACAGTCACAAACCTTCCACCGCGTATCTAATCTACCAGCATGGGAGAAATGCAACTGTACGTAAAGTTGCCGCGTCTTTGCGTATATATCTCAATGCAATAATTCTAAATAAAATCAATTCCAAATGCAAATCTGCTGCGTAAAAACCTAAGGCAACTTAATTAAAAACAAAGACCAAACGTCAAAACTCACTCTTATCGTACATAGCAACATGACACACGAAATGCACGTAACACCGCTGCCGACACCCAGCTGATACGCAACACTTACGGTGATTCGCCTACTGCTTCTGGTCTCGTGTATCCGATTGATTAGCAGCTTTATTTTGATAAACTACCGTGCAATCTTAATTTACAAAGGCTATTTGCTTTTAGTTTTTATTGGTACGAATAAAGCTCGACAGGCACATGCACGCTATCTGTGGACTGCGATGTGTATGTTGCTCTGGATTAATGCGTGTCCCTAAGCTAATAGCTAAACTGATGCTGCGTCGTGACGCGGAACTGTACTGTGTAGTGAGCTCTAGGACTCGCTCTATCTCTCTTTCCCTCAAGCCATCATCACACACAGCTATATATTGCTATCTCACTCTCAGAAAGCGATCGATGGGATTGGCTGGAAACATCGAGAAATACGCGCGGAAGTATACGAGTCTACACGAGTCAAGCCGGATATACACGCAACGATTTATCCTGGCGGGAATTTTGAATTAGACTGCCAGCATCGGTTGAAGTTTACGATTTCAGTTGTTTTTATTGCGAAAGAAAAACTATTACATTTTGTTTTCCTTTTTATATGAATGAAATATTAAATTTTCCAGTGAAAAATTAATAATTTTATATGAATTATTTATGAAATATGTTCATTAATTGCACAACAAGAACTATTTGATTAAAATAATCCATATTACTAATTTATTTTTTAACTCGTTGAGAGCTGTAATGTGGATAGTGATTTTCAATTATAAAATAATTATTTATAATTATGATTAACGTTATAAAAATAAATAATTTACTCTTATTTATTAATATGAGTTATGTATTGTGAAGAAAATAGAAATGAAATAAACTGACTATTTAATAGTTATTATGAATGGGATAAAGGAACTCATAGAGAATCGAAAAACATCGATCCAGAAAAATTATACAAAAACGCGCATGATTAGTAAGAATTCATGAGCATAGCAAAACTCAATAACTTCGCGCAGCTTAGTTTTCGTTAATAAAAGAAATTCAAAGTCTGAATACTCCCGGATCAATTGAAATAGAATTTGCGTAGCGTTTTAATTCTGTATTTTATAGAAGTGAATGTGTTAAATCGTTAGCAAAACTCACGTACATTTCTTCTGTGCAATGAAATTATCATTAAAACTAGTCGTTAAAGAAATCAATATTTCTCATTAAAGCGATGTGTGTATAAATATCAGTAGATAACATAGACTCGAGAAAGCCTGCCATAATTATAATTATCCCACAAAAACGAAGATCTATGTTACCGATTGATTTTTCAGATGTGTATATCGTTACATTGAGAAATATTGTTTATTTGTTTGATTAACTAATGATTATAATAATTTGATTAGATAAAAAAAATTGCACATAATTTTTGCTAATGGTTCAACACATTTACTTATATAAAGACGAATAAAAACGCTATGTTAATTCAGTTTCTACTGATCTGGGAATAATCAACTTTTGGAACTATTTCATTAATGAAAACTGAATTACGTGAAGTTATTAATGAATTTTGCTATCTTTACTAATTAAGTGCAATTTTTCTACAATTTTTCTGAGACGATTTTAGACGATTTCCTGCCGAGTTTCTTCATCTTTATTAATGTTGATAAATTAACATATTACTATAATTTATTTCAAATCAATATCTAACACTCATTTTTACTACGCATGTTATACACAAACACACACATATACCCGCGCACGCGCGCACACATACACACACACACGCACAGTATATACATCATCACATATACAAATTCTGTTTAATTTGTTGGATGACAAAAATGACTAAATGAGAGTATTTTATGAGACAAATGGTAGCAATCATGATAAGGTAACAAATCAAAGATAATACCGTAAACTTTCAAATCGATTGCCTGTACGCTATTCACTTATAGTGTATTGTCTTCAAATTGCTATACGAATAAAAAAATTTAGTGATATTCGAATTCATTGACCAAGCGTTACACAAGCTCAACCAAAACAGCTTATTAATGTAAATCTTAGGTAATAATTCGATCAGCGCGTTAGTTCTATCTGATATTTTTTGAGAACACGTGAACAGTTTTTATCATGCCAACCAAAGCTAATCAAAAATTACATGCCAGCTCAAGCTACAGAATGCGTCATTTATGAAGACTTCTTTAATTACATTGAAAATTTTCGAAAAAGTATCGAATCTATATAAGCGTATATAGGTAGGTGAATAATTTATGAGTAAAAAAATGAAAATTCCTAAGAGAAGCCAACACGAGGCGTATAATCCGATCCTAACGTAAACACTAGTACTGTTTCTGCAATAGACGTTTCTCGGAAACAGAATTATTATTCTACTATACAGATAAGATATCTATAGTATTGCCAAACGGGCTTTTCAATAATGATATTTTAGAATTTTTTTTTACTTGCTAAAGACGAAATATCATGTGACACGTATAAGGAAACCGGCTTTCACTAACCTATAAAACAAGTTCTCACATTTTCCCTCAGAATCTTATTAAATAAATTTTAATTTTAATAATGGTATCACCTGTTCGCAGAGTAGGGGAGCCATTTTCATTTTTTGTTGGTGTTTGTTTATACGTTTTTTGATTATTCGTTTTTTTTAATGGTCCCACTAAAATTTTATTCGCTGATCTTGATTTTCAATAGATGATGTTTACATTATTTTTTTTCATAAGATTGCGAAGGTTAAAAATAACATTGGACGATCGCAGATCAAAATTTTTAGAAATCACCCGTATAGAAGTTATCATATTACGGTATCTTCGATAAACATTTTTTCTATTAGAGCTACTATTCCCATGTTTCCAAAAAGAAATCAGAACATGCACTTTACCTTCTAAACACTAGATAAAGGACTTTTTCATTCACCCTTTATTTCGCGAAAAGGATGGGAAAATACATTTCTTTTTCTCTGGTGCCCCCCCCCCCCCTTATACGCATGAATTAAGGTTTAAAAAAATAGAGGAAGTGCAGCCAAGAGTAATAAGAGTATAAGAAAGTTATAGAACAAATACCTCACGGCTAAGCCACCAACGGCTGAGAAAAGTCTTACAGATAATACTGAAATAGCCCCAGAGCATCATGTCAATGATGATCAGAGGCACAGAGGAACCGGTGTCGACGGCCCCATTCACTCTAAAGTGGACTACTGACACGACACAAACACGACGTGTACCCACCAGCTTCTCGTTTCTTACTACTACTATAGACAGTAAACTCTGACACTATTGGGTCTCTCTCTCTCTCGTTCTCTGCGCGCGCATGCACAACACGAAAATGTGACGAGCAAAACGTAAACACACATGGGAAATATTTAAGATTAAACGCGAGAAGAGGATTCTGCAGATATCGTGTGTATGTATAAAAGATATTAGTAGGAAAAACGCAAGAAGCATTAATTAAGAAATACCAGGAAGCTTTGTGTGAAGTATGACACGTGTAAAGAAGTTCATTGGCTTGTGTTGTAATCTATGATGAATAATCTAGCTATGCTAATACTTGAGTGTTTCGGTTTATTTTTGACATTTTCCCTCCTGCTTATTTATATAGATATAATGTATACTACGGCTTATTTATATACATGGTTTGTGTTTATTTTAAAGACTAATTTTTTTACCAAATAATATACACATGTACATTTTTAGTTCGAGATTTTTGCAAGTTTTATTTAGGATTAAGTAAATGAATTCATCAATATAATTAACTAATTACAGTAATGCATTTTACTATAGAGGCGAAAAAATTTATCAATTTGACGTGTTCCATTCTAATTTTGGTGACAGACATATTTATTTAGAAAGTAAAATATATAATTTTACTGAAGCAAACTACGGTATTACAATATAAGTATTAAATAAATAATTATGAAAGTTAAAGTAGATTAAATTTTTATAAAATTTATCACTAAGATGGTTTCAGGAAAAAATTAGTATTAAAAATATAGTTAATATGCTAAAAATACAAATAAGTTTTCGATCGATCGAATAGAATAAATCAAATAGACTATTGATTATACATAGTAGGCCAATTAATACATAAATATAAAAATACTAAAATGTAATTGAACTTTTATTTACATCAGCAATACAAATTTTGATGAGGCACAATTAAGCTATGAAAAAGTTTTAATTCTACGATATTCTAGGTTTTTTTCAATTTAGGTTAATAAATACAGTTTAATGTAACGATCTAGGTGAAATGGTACTACTAAGTAAATTATTGGGAGATAAAAAATCATAAAAATATATAAACGTAAGTTCTTTTTCACAATAATGTTGATATGAAGTTACTCCAAATGAGAGAACAAAAAACTAACATAAAAGTAGTAAAATCTTTATTAACAGTTATGGTTAATCGAGTGATAGACGATAATACATACTTGTACGGCTAGCAAATATCCGGTTGATGAATAAATGTGCGATCTCTTATCGAGTCTCTTAAAATTACTTTCCACGGGAATTATTTTTGGTGACAATGGCTTTGATGGTGAAAACACGTTATCTAGTGATGTCATCCACAGCTTTTTGCATGCCAACTGAAATGGAATCGACGTTTTTTACTCTAACTGGACGGATTCTTGTGATTTTGATTATAATCGATCGTTCATCAGTTAAATTTTGTCGTCTATCAAACTTCATTTCTAATTTAAATATTATAAAATAAATTTATTGTGAAGTCAGTTTATAAATATCCTGAAATATTAAAAATACGTATAAATAATATTTTTAATCCATCAATAAATTTTATTTCCCAAATATCAAACTAAAATCAAAATATATTCAATTAAATTAAGAATTTAATTGCATTTTACTTCTCAACTAGAATGTAGCATTGGTGAAGGCATGTAATTTGTCAGCGACAATGATTACTGCAATTTGAATGAGCCTATCATAACGAGAAAGCTTTATCAAAATCAATACTAAATACACACTTCATTCATGCATAGAGATTGAAAAATAATAAAAGATCGGATATACATTCCGAAATTGTAATTGAACTATTAGCTACTTGTAATTGATTGTATAGTTCTGCAAGCAAAAAATGCTGGCAGTTTTGAATTTTCGAGTGACAGCGTTCATATCATACGAAAGCAATTTCTGCAGTATCGATACGACCTACATATACGTACGATCGATCGACAGTTTCACCAAGTAGAAAGAAAAATTCACCAATTTTATATTAATTATGGTGCGCAAAGGAACTGCCAGAATTCTCTTTCTGAAATCTACAAACGCATTGAGTAAAAGGCAAGCAATTGAAGTGGATCGATAAATCCCGAAAGGAAAGTGTGTTACCAAAATCCACGCGTCCCTGACTTAGAAATCCTATCGGCTCTCCTTTTGGGCGCGCGCGCAGCTGCGCGCGCGGAAGTATAGAGGGAGTGCGACCGTCATCATCGCGTGGTCAATATATCGGCAACACACGAAGCGCGTGTGTGAAGGCCGAGGAGCGCGCGCGCCGCCACATATAAACAACAGCAATTCAAGAAAAGAGCGGAGAGGAAACAGACCAAAAAACGTCAACAGCAAAACCCGGTCTTCCGATGAAAACAGATTTTATGACTCGTTCGTGTTTTACCTTGCATCTCTCGAGTCTTTCGAGAATGTAATGACATGCGGCTGGCGTCGAGTGCAATTGTCGCCGGGATCGAAGGAAAACAAGGTGAAGCTGACGCTGGGTGACTACCCAGCTCATGCTCGCTCGAGCACTGCAGCGGACTGCAACAACGACCACTCACACCCTTTTCCTCCTCCTCCTCCTCCTCCTCCTCCTGCCGCTGATGTTGACGGTAGCAAGAGTCGGCGCGCGCACGCGTGCGAGAGGAGTGCGTGGGCGCCGCCACCGCGAACTTTACTGAAACGTCGCAGTTCGACTTTTCGGAAAGGGCCAACCTGTCAGCACCCGGATAGCCCAGTGCGCCCTTTTTTTTCTTTCAAGGGACGCCCTAAACGATTGCTTGCTTTTTAGCCATCTTCCGCGATGATCTTTCGTGGCACGCTGCGAAAGACGATAACGATTGCTTTTTTGCTTTCTTCAACTATGATAAACTCTTAGGAAATGTGGCAACATTTGTTTTTCATGCCTCGCTCAGATTGAAACTTGTTCGGGTTATTTGTACGGCGACACTAGTATTCATAACAAATTGCGCGTTACACACCGCGATCCCAAAAAGATTTACATACGATTACAATAAGTCGTGCGATTAGTATGCGTGTACGCGCGAAGTCGGACACTGTAATAATTCAAGCATCGCGCGATTTTACTCACGCAGCAAGCGACGCGATGACGATGATGACTAAAACTGTATGTAAAATAAATAATGAAGCCTAAGAACTACGCGAATAGTACACTCAACAATGTTGACAGACGAGATCGTTCTAATTGTCCCGCGCTTTTTTTTATAAGCGTGCCAAATCAGTCGCACGTGTGAATTACATATATTTGCAATACATCGCGACGTGCTCGCGCAGGCGAAGATAACGCCGAGTATGTATCCAAAAGCTTACGTAAAGTAAATGTGGCTACCTAAATGTTGAGCTATGTATCCGTTGGCAAAGATGCGGCTTTATCTGCACTCTCTGCCCTTTTATAACAGCGACAATGCAGATAAACGATGAGTCATATCATGTGCTTTGCTTGATTCTTTTTTTCTTTTATTTCGTTCGTCAATTTGCATTTAGATGGTCGTGACAAAATTACGTTGATCGATGCGACGCAGTGCGGCTAAACAAAAGTACAACAAAAATAGACAAGCTGTCGTTGCAGATCGATCGCTATAATCGTCAATAACAAAACTATAACAATTACATAAGTGAACAAGCAGAACCGCACATAATAAATTCACAGTAACAATGATATTCGTTGGTTTTTCGATATATATGCAAACACACGTACCAGCTCACGAGAGCATCCAACCATTAGGGACTTGTTCTTGAAACTAAAAATCGAATAGCATCTTGCAGGTCTATTTTCAACTCAAGAATTAGACGCTCGAAGAGCAGGCGAAATAATTACGTCGCTTGTAAACCACATTTGAGCGCATCTTTTCGATAAGGCGATTTGAAGTTTTTCTAATGTACCGCTTTCCTCAGCTTTGTTTTACAAGTTACGCATGGACCTTCTAACTTTTATTACAAAGGTTAAATCCTCAGTTAATCATAATAGCTGTTCATTAGTTATTTTAATTCGTTGGTCTAAATGTAATTTAAAGAGTACCAATTAACTAAAGTAACCTATTGAAATTTTTAAGCACCTATTAATTTTTTAAATCTCATTTTGAATCTCGCGAACCATAGCGAGTTAAATGTGCGACAAAGATTTATTTTTGGTCGAAATTTTTGGGTAAGCTTGTTAGATCGAATAACTTTGTTAGTCATTGAAATTTTTATTTGTACATAAGAAAATAAATAAAAGTGCTGTTTTTACAACACAACCATTCTAAAACAAATCGAAGATTTTTACACTGAAAACTTACATGTCGTAATCAGTCACAAACGATTTCTCCTTGACAGTAAAAATTTCCAAGCAAGGCAGTAAGCACACTGAAAAAATAGAAAAAAAGCAAAACAAAACAAAATAAACGCAAGAAAGCGAATGCACATACGATCAATTCTGACAAAACCTATCCGCAATGCTACTAAAAATTTCAGTCAAGCAAGCTTTGCAGCATGCAGTCATGCGGCATTTCGACTCTAGTATTACGGAAAAGGAGAACAAGCAAGCATATGCCTGGCATGTATAAGTAAAATCGCACGTGAGCGTGCGTGATGCCGAGAATTTGAGCAGTCGAAAGCTCTCTCCGCAAGCTCCGGGGGTATGAGTCGTAGCGATTTTTCAAACTCCGCGCGTGCAATCCGATGAACTTTCAGTCAAACTTCGCAATGGATCTCGGATCCTTTTGCGTAAAGTGTCCCGACACAATTCTCTCGTAAATATGTGTGTCGGCCAGCTGCTATGTGCACGACTTGACGTGATTATAAATCAATTAGTGCTTGACATATTTTCTCACTTTCATTTATTTTTTACTATTATTTTTTTATAGAGCAAGGTCAGCACGCTCAAGGGTTCCACGTAGACTGTGTGAGTGTGTTTACTTTTACTGCAGCTTCTATATAGACCCTTGAGTGGAAATGCCTGTAATTTTTAACGGTACTTGGATTTCGTATTGTTTCATTTTTTATGATCGCCTATTACGGGAGTTTTACAAACTTATTATTGCTACAATATGACGACATAGATTTTCTTATTCGTAGCATGTGTAAAGAACAAAACAATAAATTAAAAGTCTACGTAGACGTTATCGTCATTGGAAGATTAATTAACTTTAAAATTTCAAGCCATTCATACTTGAATAAATAAATTAATTTGAAAATGCAAGAAAAAGAAAAACTTTATCCAATATTTGTTAAATCAGAGAAAAGAAAGTGTAATGATTAGTAAATGTACAGAAAATGGATAAAACATTGCGACAGCTATACACACATAATTGGGGACGCATACTTGGGGAAAAGAAAAGCTCGGCTGGGGATCAAAGAATATCTTCTCTGCTTCGCCACCCACTTAAGCCAGCCAACTTTTGTATTCACTCGAATTTATTTTGTACACTCATTGTTAACTTTAATGAATCCAAATGGAAAAGAAGAGTCTCTTTTAACAAAAGCAAGCGGACAAGAGATCCATCCTTTTTTTTACTCGCCGTCCAATATTTATTTTCCGTCCTTGGATTATAAAGCCTCTCGTCTCTTGGCAATCAAGAGGAATCGAGTATTTCCTTATTACACCTGAACTCGGAGGGAAAGTAGTTCGCGTAAAATAAAGGGAGAAAGAAAGAAAGAGAGCGAATGCAGAATAATAATAGTTTGTTCCGCTCTAGGTCTATCCTTATTTGCGTGCTAGAGGGGAGGTCAATCGATGCAATAAATTTGTAATTCTTCACGATGGGCTTTTCCAAATGCGCGCGGTGACATTGATTTTTTCTTTCGTGATGACTGCAAATATTTTATCGTTACCAAATACGATCTCTTCTCGAAAATCCAATTATAAGACATTCATTCAGACAAAAAAAAATCCTGAGAATCAACCTTCTCGTTCGAAAAGCCGCCAAATTGGCACCTGTTCAACATTCGCATCGACATTCAATTTGAGAAAAGGAAAAAGAAAAACGTCACACGACAGTGCGCATCCATTTTCAAAAAAAAGAACCACAAAAGGCTGTATAACCTCTTTCGGCACGCAATAAAAAAAAATATACTTTTCAAAATTCGCGAGTTGACTTTTTCTTTCGGTCGAAGCGAATGCGCATGCAGCGCACGTGTGCAGGTCGGAGGTGGATCGATACGATCGTTTCCTCGGCGACGACTGCGCGGACGAGGCTCCTCTCTTCTCTCTCCTTCTCTCAGTAGCCGTTCGCGCTCCTCTCCAAACAACACATACACACATTCACTCACACACACACACACTCACTCACTGGTAGTCAACCCTCCGTGCTTCCGCGTGCCGCAGTAGCAGCAATTCGTTCCTTCGCTTTCACTTCGTCGCCTCTTCTGTTTTTCTATTTCTTTCTCGCTGATTGACTTCTCGTTTGATTGTTTCGACGCCTAAAGCTTTTCTTTTCCGGATAAACGCAGCGATATCCAGACGAATTCATTGGCCAACACACTTTCACGAGGTGAGTAAGATTTTCTTTGACGTTCTTGTTGCACCGAGTTGTTTGTTGGTAAATGCAAGGGAAGGTCGCGAGATTTTTCTCTTACCAGAGGCGTTTTAATTTTACCGCGTTTGCACAGCTGAGAGAGATTTATTGTTCACTGCTGATGTCGACATCAAAATTGAGCTTTCCGTTGTTTTCTTTTTTTCATTTTCTGTTTTTGTTTTGGTTTTTGTTCTTTTTGTTCTATTCGTCGAATTGTCGAGAATGAATGGAATCGTCTCGAGCAGCAAGAAATATTGCAGTTCGAAAAGTCCACGATAAACAAAGCGCAAATATTTTCAGGATACACGCGGATTAATCAATATAATCCGAGATATAACAAAAAAAGTAAATAGCCCGTAATATCGATTTTTCTCTCGAACGTACTACAAGATGGCCAATTTAATTTCTGACATATCGTTAACTGCAAGCGTGCAAATTGTACCTACAACTTTGCGGACCGATGTACATGTGTTAGGCGTAGTCAACTTATTTGGTTCCATGATATTCGCGGACGCAGCAGTTTATTATTTTTTAATGTTTATTACTTTTTTTTCATAATAACACTTGTTATCTGACTTTCCAATATAGCACCGCATGTTATTCAGCAACTTTAAGACCGAGATACATTAAATATCGCCAAAGTAAGATAAAAATAATAGAGAAAAACTGTTACGTAATAACGTTATTTTTTTAGCGACACACAATTTCACACTGTGGCCTTATGTATATAATACATGTCAGTCGTGGTAGAATATATTGACGTGATTTATTTAGCGTGCATTCACGTATACTCTTCACACATCTTTGAATTATATATGGAATTTTCTGAGTTCTGTAATATTTATAATAAGATTTTCCGAATGGCAATGATACGTGCGTACATACTCTTCGGCAGGCATTTGTTTGCGTAAAATAAGAAAATGCAACGCGAGAAAGCCGTTGTCCAGTCTGACCAAACCTCGCGATTTCTACTGATAATCGTCTGTTTTTTGCAGCATCAGCGACAGGAATCATCAAGCACCAAGACGAGTAATGCCGGCCTG